GGTATTTTAAGGGATAAGTGGGTCGGTGGGCTGCTCTCCACACCTGTGGCCGGCTTAGTCACCCCCGCAGCTGTGAACAACAGGTGCTCTCATATCCAGCCTTGAACTCCCTCTACCTGGTTTGACTCGCATATATAGTTCACTGGCTGGTTTAGTGTCAACAGGTGTTTGGCGGGTGATTTGTACATGTTGGATGTTTGTAGATATTTGGGGGGTTTGAGTGAGGCGCATCTCCATCACACGTGGCTTGAGACGCAGTAGGTATACGGTGCGGTATATCTAACCAGAGTTGAGAGCTTTCCTAGTTTACCTCCTGGGCTCAGTTTCTGGTCTTGTGCGACAGCTGTAAATACAAATTAGTTATAACCAATAACGTACCTAGGTTTCTAAATTGATGTAGCGAGTGTTAACGCAATCACTGAATGACAATATATGTTTTTCGGGAACGTGCTACACTAGATTGTGAGTGTCTTCAACGTTGCTAGTGTTACTGGTGCAGGCGGCCGGCCAGTCAGGCGCAGGTGCCCGCACGTTTGAAACGTCAGATATAAACGTTGCAGGAATCTATAGACATTATCAACCGGTGAACAAATGTAAAGGAGTTAAAGTATCTTTTGAGAAGTGCAGAGTTAAAGCATTGTAGTGGAGGTCCCGCCTATTAAACAATACCTCGTTTTTTAGTTTTAAATTCAGCAATAGGAACAAAATTTTAGTGTAGCACAAGTTAGGATGAGCCCATACCAAAGCTGCCTCCTTAACCAGTGTTTAAGATAGGTGGGTTAATCTTCATCAATCAGTCGTAATAGGTGGCACGGGCGTGAGTAGCCAGGAGGTGGTAGATGTTTGGAGTGAATGTGATCTTTGGTTGTGAATTAAGGTTGGGTCGTAATGCCTGGGATGAGCTGGCATTATCTTCCACCAGAATTGGGCATTATGATTTACGATGTTAGTGTTGCCGTTGATGCTAATGCTTAAGTTACATATTTGTTCATGCTAATGTCATCCATTGTGTTGCCGCAGTACTAGTGAAAGTTGATCTATTGCAGGCTGTAAGAGGAGGATTAACGTAGCTTGCTTCCCAGCCCCACTCTCAACACGTCTAAACACAAGGTCTGTGTAACCCCAGACACAGTGCTGTGTACACAACAGCTTAGGGCGCACTTTACACCTTTAGCACGCGTATGACGCCACGTATCCCTCCTCCTCCAGTCAACGTGTAATAATAATCATCTTTATAAACAGTCTGTACACTCGAGCATCCGTGTCTGATGTTGGCTTAAGGCTTATAAACCTCTGGAAGGTTAAGGCTGCCACACCTGCTTTCCCACCACCAACAAAAATACTTTGGTCCTGACGTACTCCTTTGGTCCTGACGTACTCCTTTGGTCATGGAGTATCTGGCCGACACCAGTAATTGGGGGTTAGTGAGAATATATCGACATGAGGTTGGTTGTAGGTGAAGTTGTGGGTATGACGGTAATGTTGATATGTTGGAGAGGCAGGTATGGTTGTTGGTGTGGAAACTAGAGGCTTCATGGAGGGAAGAGGAAGTGTGTGTGGGGGGGGGGGGGTCACTGTGTGTACTTGTCTAGTTGTATTGCGGGGGTTGAGCTTCGGCTCTTTGGTCCTGCCTTTAAACAGTCAGTCAACTGGTGTACAGATTCCCGAGCCTCTTGGTATGTGTCATATCTACTTTTGAAACCGTATGGAGTCTTGTCTCCACAACATCACTGTCTAGTGCATTCCATTTTTAACTACTAAGAAAAGTTCCTTCTAATGTGTGTGGGGTTCATCCGAGTACTGTTTGCATTTGTGCGTGTACCACCTATGTTGATTGATGAAGATTAAGCCACCCAAAAGGTGGCACGGGCATGAATAGCCCGTAACCTTGTGCGTTAAATAAACTGCCTTTATCTACCTTACCAATTCCTGTGTGTTTTGGTAATGAGGCGAGAGGTTAGGGTTTAAAGATGGGAATGGCGACGAATACAAAGTTTCAGTTCGTGCCTCGGTTTATATTTTGTAACGTGCTTTGTATTGTAATTACTACTGGAGAGACCCGGGTATTCCCGGTGACCCTTGTTTATTCAACACTTTTAACCTAGTCCAGATACTGTTTGATGTGTCATGAGGCGGTCATTGATCTGGGTATGGAAATCATGGGTGGGCGGTTCGTCAGTCTATGCTTGGTCATAGTGTCTGGACCCATATTGATTTGCTCTTGCTATTCAGATATTTTTTGGCGGTTTATGTATTATCAGTGTGCTCGAAAAAAGCCCATTTTTACAGTTTACTCGCAGAAATGGCGCAGAACGGACAGTTGATTAGTAAAATAATATATATAATTGTTCTCACTAGGCCCCCCCCTCCCCTTCTGTCTTTCTCCACGTAAGTGACAATCTGAGGTAATGAGTCAGTGGAGTTCCCCTGGCTGAGGACGTGACTGGTGTCGAGTGGCGCCGCTGGTCCCTCACACAGGTGAACACAGTTCTTCCAGGTACCTTCGAACATTCCTTCCTTCTGGGCTTCGCACGCAATTAAGCAATGGTGATCGTTCCTGGGGAGTGACAGTGGCCAGCTAACACTAGGGCTTACGGGTGATGTGCAACTGAATTAAGCGATGTTAATATCACCTGGAAACTACCCCCACACCCCCTCCCTCCGCAGTCTAATTTAATGATGTATGCACGTTTATACTTTGATCTTGTCTACTGGGCCTAGGACCCTTAAGTAGTGGTTGCGGCGTCCGTCGTGTACAGGTAACGGCGAGCTCCTTCAGATGGTGGAAAGAGAGCAGTCTTGAAGGGTTACATCTTGATGCATAAGATGCTAGGTGCCGGTAGCAAGTGTGAAGGATGCAGGTGGCCTCGGCCAAGTGCTTCCGGACACAGGTGCCTTGGTGAGAGGGGGTTGTTGCTTGGGCCGTGGAAGTGGCGCGAGAAGGTTTATTTAGTAGAGTGCAGTGTCATGCTCAAGGTGTACAGGCGCGCGCACGCACTGTGAAAATAGCGTAGTACAGAATACAGCGTGACTGGTAAACTAAAATGGCGAGAGTAATGGTTGCCGGACTTAACAGAGCGATGTAACGTCCTGAAACTCAAGACAGGAGACCAGTGACAGTAGTATGATCAGAAAAAGTTCCTTTTAAAGGAAAACATGCTAGGCTTGGCTTCTCTGTAGAACTTGCATCAGATGCCCATATGAACAGAATATCAGCTTCGAATGCCGAGCTGGTGAACGTCAGAGCAGCATAGAAACCTGGCCGAAACGCTGTGCGTAATTAGTAGGTTTCTATAAAACAATTAGATATTGCCTGAGAGTTGTTGTAGGTAAGCCTGGCTGGGGCCAGGCATGATCTGTGGGTTACATCACATTACAACCCAAGCGAGATAACTGTTAACCATTGTAACACGTTAGTGTGTATTTTCCAATTTTTAGTATATAAGTATATACTTGTATACGTATATACAAAGACTGAGCCGTGTATATTGGCCATGTGACTAGAGTAATTTTTTATTCTTTTTAAGGGGCTGGGACATGTATCACTTGTTATTAACATCTTTACCGACAAAATTAATTAAAATTTTGCCTAATCTGAGGATTTCAATTAAGTCTTATTAGTGAGGATAATGCAGAGGTTTCTCTATCTAGAGAAACGGGGAAAATATAGACGGATCAGAGGTTTACCACATGCCTGATCTCTGGACGTGAGAAGGTTGGACTTATGAAACGCTGCTTGGGGGGGGGGAAGGGGGGTTACCTCTAGACACTGGGGAAAAATACCCCCTCCCCCCTCCAACCTCACCCAATCCCCCCCCGACGGGTAAGGGAGGAGGCGGCTGGGAGCGTCCATAAGATTGACAGCCTCCTCGATTGTTCTACCTTTCTTGTAATACTCCAGTGGTGACGGAGGGCGCAAGTTTTGTTTAAATATAAAAACATTTGGGTACATCTGCATTTATTCAGCTCTTCTAAATGAAGAGGTACATAATGTGTCGAGAGCTTGGCTACATGATGCAAAAAAAACCATCGCATAGGATTCTTAGTTATACAGGGGCGCGTGATCATTAGTCTGTACTGGCAAATTTTGGGAGCTTCATGAGGGTATCATAAAACAGATAGGTTAATAAAGCGAGTTCAAAGCTCCAGGTTCCTCATAGCGATAGATCTGAAGTGTCTAATGACTGGGGATTCAGTAATGTAATATGAGATCATGACCCAGTTCCTGCTCAGTTTGCACCTAGAGCGCTCCGGATTGGGGATGATGCTAATGAAATTAATGATTCTAGTGCACCTTGGGGGCATCAGGAATAATCATGTCCTCGTGTCTTCATACTGTATTACTTCTAATTTGTTCAAAACAGAAGCGGGGAAGTTAATTAGGTGAAAGGCATGTCTTGCCCAATATATCTAATATAACTATGGAGCTAACAAACATAATGTAGCGAGGAGAGACAAATATTGATTTGTATACAACAGTCTCTATACTCTTGTTGGCAGGATTGGACGATGCTTATCCTATTTGACAGCATACACAACACACCCACGGCCTAACAAATTTGAAACATTAGATAACGTCTTTATAATCAATGCTTTTTGTAGCGCTACTTTAATGACCTTTCCATTAATAAAGCCTGTTTTGAATCTATTAACCTCTTAATTCAAACTTAGATTAAGGCGCTATACGTTTGTTAAGCAGTTTTGTGAAATTGTTGAAAATACAGGAATTAAAGTTTAAAGTTACGACCCGTCGGCAATTTTAAATGGTTTAAACCCTTACACGTTTTCTAATGCCTTTTTTAAATTTGGGTTTTATGCTGTACTGTGTGTGATTTTGGTATGGATCAATAAAGGGTAAAAGTTTAGAAATGTACAAATTACTGACTATATAACAGCAGTTTGTTTCGTACCATTTCAATGCCGATTATGTTACAGAATGTTAAGATTGGTTCACAAAGTTTGCAGTATAATTAGTTAATAATAAACGTTTTCCCCCGCAGAGACCAGGGCAGATACGTTAAAAAGAAGTGGAAACATGTTCGCGTTGGAGACATTATTCACCTCTCGTGCAACGAGATCATCCCGGCTGACCTGGTGGTTCTTAATTCATCAGACGAGTATGGTCTATGCTTCATTGAATCTTCCAACTTAGATGGAGAGAGCAATCTTAAGCAAAGACAAAGCGTTAAAGGCCTTGGCATGGTAAGAATAAAATGAAACTATTTTTTTACTTGCTAAAAATTTGGTATAGTGTACTTTTTTGTACTTTGCGTGTTCTTGAATTTAGTGCTGTAAATTTTCTAAAATACAGTATTGTGCTTGATTTTTTGTAAATTTTAAGTGCATATAAGTTGACCATTTAACATTGCCTGTAATATCACTCCAATGATTATCCCCATTCACATTTAACAATTTTCAGTAATACTGTAATATAAAATTTTTAAGTTTGCAGGATATTTACAAATGTGTAAATTTTTCAGGATGACAAGTTTGAGGTTGCCAAATTTGATTATCTGATGGAAATTGGTGCCCCATCCACCAAGATTTACCACTTCTCTGGAACGATTCCACTTCAGACTGGGGAACGTGTACCTCTAACAAAAGACAATCTTTTGCTTAGAGACTGTGCTCTCAGGAACACTGATTACATTGAAGGAATTGTTGTTTATGCTGGTAAGATCTGTAATTATTTGCCTCCAGTATTAATGTTGTGCAATATAATGAGCATGTAAAAGGCTTTGGGATAATCACCTTTGTTGGAGACAATTTGACAGTATGATTTTGATTTCAGTGAAAGTACAGTAATATTTTCTTTGCAAAATACAGTATTTTGAATGTTATTGGGTATTTAAGCTAATACATTATTTCCTGTTGTACAATGCAAGGATGCAAATTGTAAAACTACCTTCTCATTGTTTATATTGGTGCCAGTCTGTCAGCCTTAGTAATGTGCATTTTCTGCACATTACAGCCCCTCTTGTCTTCATGTCTGTAAATTTCAGTTCACAAATATATTTTACAGTTCAAATCCTTCATTCTGTTCTGTCGTAGTAAATTTGCATTACCCATAACATTATATCCACTGTCACAAAGTATATAAAAGATTATATATTCAAACTATAATTGAGATGCTGTTTTGTACAAAGCCTACAGTTTTACACCCTTAGAGTATACACGGGTGTATCCTGATTCATTAGAGGTCAAAGCTCTGTGATAATATATTATAGTACGAGTATTATAAATAGTGCGGCTTTTTAGGTCGTGAAACCAAGGCCATGCTGAATAATGGAGGTACCAGATACAAGCGCTCCAAATTAGAGAGGAGGATGAACGTGGAGGTCATTTGGTGTGTGGTGATCCTGTTTGTCATGTGCGTTATCTCTGCTACTGGATCTGGTCTCTGGCAGGTATACAGTCTGTATTTTTCTTATCAAATTAAATGAAAAGGAATGGTGAGAGAGTATACGTGTGTTGATACGGTTTTTATACCTTACTAACTCTAGTGGTCTCAAATTCAAATTGCTACTCTTAAGCGATGTAATTCCGTACAGTGATATATTTCTAATGCCTGTACTCTTTAGTTCTGTTCTCTCTAGATTTTTTTTTTCTAGTTTACATTAATTTTCCAAATGTTTTTGGCCATAATTCTGGAAATAAGGTGTTAAATATACTGGCATAGAATGAAAAAACTTAATAGAAATTGGATATGCTCAAATTCCAGAAGACCTGGGTAAAAATTGGTTTTGGAATAGGATTGTTGCCTTATGTGTAACATAGGGAAAGTTGAATCACTGGATTGCTTAAAGCTAAGGTTCAACATATAAAATCTGAAGACTAGTCACAGGTAAATCACAGGTACCTGTAGTTCGGAGTAATGAAATGGAATCTTTGGCAGTCAGTCAGAATTAGTTATATTGTCTCGGTAACATTGATCATGGATACAAACAGTATTACAGTACTTGACATTTTAAAGATACAGTACCTTTTTTTTTTTTTTTTTTTGTTAAAAATAGAATTGATTATTTTTCAGATTTAACATGTTCTCTTTTTGACAGAATTATCACGAGCTGAATGCCACCTCAGGGTTGGTGCCATTCATTCCTCCGAGTGTGCTGGGGGCAGCACTGAAGACTCGTGAGCTCTCTAACAACCCGGTCTGGGTTGGTTTTATTAGCTTTTGGACTTTTGTAATTATTTATCAGGTATGTTATTGCAGTTATTTTTATTTGAGTGGGTTTAAAGTGTGTGCAATATTTGAACATTCATAAATATTGATATACTGTTCTATACAGCATACTGTTTATATACATTTTTTGGCTTGTACAGAACCGAGTACCTTTTCCTAGTAAATTTTGCATCCTTACCAATTTTTCCCTCAACCTGGGCGACATTTTACAACTGGGTGAAAATCAAAGATGGCTGCAGCCTTTCTTTGTCTACATCTGTTGTTTAGACTATAGTACAGTACTGCATTAATTTGCTAGTACACATGATTATTTTTCTCTTCCAACAGGTTATTATACCAATATCATTGTATGTTACGATTGAAGTGATAAAGTTGATGCAAGTTTATCATATACACTGTGACAAGGACTTTAAAGATAAGAAGAGTGGCAAAACTATAGGTATGAAGCCAACTCCAAATGTGTTCTTTAACATGTTATATAAAACAATTTTTCATGGTCACTCCAGAGATATGTACGTATGTAAAAAGTACACACTGCACTATATCCTATACTGTTAAGTTGTCCTTTACGTTTTTCTGTATTGACACGTTCACATTCACAGAATGTCGAGCACTTAACATTCCCGAGGAGTTAGGTCAAGTAGAGTACGTATTTACCGACAAGACAGGAACGCTCACAGAAAACAACATGGTCTTCCAGCGCTGCTCTATCAATGGTACTGATTATGCCCACACAGCTGTTATTAACAAGAATCAGGTTTGTTTTATTTTCACCCCAGTCAACACCTTAACACTTATGGCCTTATTCCTCTGCATGAATTTTTCCCGTTATCCCAGTGAAAATGTACAATGAAATGTTTTGACAATGTGGTTACGTTTTGTACTTAAACGTTATGAGATAAAAAATTATTAAAGTTGGCTATTCCTTCAACCAGAGCTGTGATCAAAGAGACACCTTCACCTTGAACAATCAGCTGCAGGAGGAACTTGCTTCCATTGAGCTTCCATTGATATATGCTCAGCCTGGTAGACAGAATTCAACTGCTCTCAGCCCTCCAAAGGATTCACCTTCTGAGAGAATCATGGATTTTTTTTTTACTCTTGCAGCATGCAACACTGTCATTGTTGCAAAGTATCCTCATCGAGATGCGGTAAACAAATACTTTTGGATTTTACGTTTTTTCCTCGCTGGAATAATTTAATGTGTAAATAGTGTACCATCTTGAGAATACTGTATTTAAGCAAATGTTTATGCTTTTGCTATGAGTCTTTAATCATACTAGAAAAGTTTTAATTTTTTCAGATGAATGCAAGTGGTATGATTGTGCCAAATGAAAGTGCCAATAGTTCAAGTATCACCGATCCAGAAAATTCCAGCAACACCACCACTACAACTAATATTAGTTCCAGTTCATGGGGACCCAATCGTGTGTTGCGTAGTTTCCTACCGTTCTCTCGTCCACTTTCTCCCATAGCCTCTTCCCCTCGTAACACACCTCCACGTACCCCAGAGGCATTGCCACGATATGCAGCTCCACTCGGCCTTACACCAAGTCATGATCAATCGTGCTCATCTGTAAGCATAATACTGAACCCCATCAACGAATCAAGCACTATGGAGGATGTCCAAGTGTCGTATGACCTTAAAGATCAACCCAATTCCTCTCCATTGCGACCATCACTCCTAAACATCCAATCGGCACAAACTTATAATGCTAATTTATCGAGAGATTCACGTTCACCAACACCATCGCCTATGGATATTAAGCCCATCTATGAAGCGGAGAGCCCAGACGAGTTAGCACTAGTGGATGCAGCATACAAATATGGATTTCGCTTGCTAAGAAGATCCTTGCACAATATTTTAATTTCACTGCCAGGTAATTTTCTTTGGTTCTTATCCAGATTTATATTTATAATTATGAATTTAATGTGTACAGATGATCTTTGTAGTTAATTTTAAGGTTAGTGCTTCATACCTAAATACATAGTTGCAATAGAGAGTTCTGATTGTCAGTTTGATCTATAACTTTTGTATTACACTATCCTTCACATAAGTTGCTTCTCTTGTATGGAAGGTTTCTTGCTGAAGTACAGTAGTATACTGTGTAGCTTTTCTTTATCAATAATAGTAGTACTTAATGAATAGAAGTTTGGGTTTTAATATCTGTAACCCTCTTTCACACTATCACACTATTTTACTATGTAAGGGCTGGTGCATCTGCACCTCATGAAAGTGGGTAATATTGGTTTACTAGAGATTCATAGCATAGTTACTCGATATACTGTACGTTATATTTTTACTGTAAACTATAACATATATAATCATTACATATCTGATATGAATTCATGGTTTCATCATTACTCTAACCAGTTTCTATTCAATATATCTAACCCCCTAGTGTATCGACTCAGTCTAATGTACTTTCAGTTTAAACAAAGTGTGGCTATAATTGAAATTGGGTAATGTTTTTGCCCAGTGCTGTTGTACCGAGTAGTGCAACAGCACTGTAAAGGCTGTAAAAGGGAGTAGTAGGATAAACAAATACAGTACTCGCAAAATCAGACAAATGACAAGATTTCTGCTCTTTATTTTCTTCTCCAAGGCTATGGATTCCCAGAGGTGGTACCCCTTTATATAATACATTTTTTCTTCCTAGTTTCATATGAATTGATGGTGTGTGTTATGGATACCATTTCCATTATTAGCATTGATGTCTGGCATTGTGACTGGGGTAACTCTAGATTGTCTGTAATCAAAATTAATAATTTTTTATCTTGTCACTTGAATCTTACAATATGACCATTTTATTTTTATATACCAAATTCTTGCAGGTTATGGATTGTGTGAATATGATGTCCTTCATGTGTTGCCGTTCGATTCCAATCGAAAGAGGATGTCTATAATTGTTCGCCATCCTGAAACTCAGGAAAAAATTCTGTACTGTAAAGGTGAGTTTTTTACTACAATTAATTTTATTAAAGGTACACTATTTGCTAATCCATATCTTGTTTATATTATATTCAGTATAATAGGGAACTTGAATTGCCTTGTTAATTAGGACATGTATAGCTTTCACAAAAACCTTAAGTTTCACATTAAATTCAGAATTAGAAAAGTTTATACCAGCATTTCATTAGTCATTCATACCTATATTATTCTAAAAGCATGGTACACCTAATATTGATGCTTCATTGAGCTAATTGACATCTGCATCAATGGGTTGAATAGGTTATCTAGGTTCATATGCTTCTGGCTAAGCAAATCCACTTTAAAGTTTGATGCTTGTAAAGTTGTAAGTTACAGTACAATCTGCCTGTTCAAAGAATAGGCGGATTGCATGAGCACAAGACAAGTGTACAAATCTTGGGAAAAGGGTCTGGCATTTCTTTTAAGTGGTTGTTTCCATATTCAGTAAATAAATGAAAAAGGAAGCAGCTTTTGACTTAAAAAATGAGTTGTTAAATTTATGTACTGTACAGTATGTAGAGCAACTTTAAACATTCATTTAATGAAGATTTTTTTTTTCTTTCAGGTGCCGATTCTGCAATACTAGAGAATTTAAGTAGATCAGTAGATGATAAAACAAAGTTTAGAATATTTCGTACAGAGCAACATTTAAATGGGTACTCCAAAAAGGGCCTGCGTGTTTTGTGCATGGCCAAACGAATTTTAACAGATCCAGAATATGAAGACTGGGCAATGAAGCACAAAGATGCTGAGAACTCTCTCTCGGGTAGAGAACATAAACTAGAAGATTCCTACAATAGGATTGAAAAAAATATGAAATTAATAGGTTAGTCACTTATTACGTAATTACATTTCTGGTATATATTCTTGGCATTAAAAATGTTGGCTTTACCCTGTTGCCAGTGTTCATAGTAGAGATCAGTCCAAAGTTGGAAATAGTGACCAAGATATAAATATTATGGAAACTATACAGATGTACTAGTATACTATATTACAGAAACTCTATATACTATAGAATCATAAAGAAGCACCAGTAGCACATGTTTGCTTTATTCAGTTATGGAATGCTATTCGTGAGTTGTCATACACCATACAAGCCAATACATTATTCTTGCATTCGATGTCAATCCTCTATGTAGCTTGCCTCATTCTCCACCTCCTCACACTACTTAGTAACTCCTGTATCTGTGATTTATTTTTTGCATTAGATTTTAGCTTCTATTTTCATCATTCTTCGCATTTATTTTCAATTAATATATTCCTTAGCTTTAACTCTCGTATAAACTTTAATAATGTATATGCAGTCAGATGCCTCTTCCACTATGGTATCTGACTGCTCTTCTCATGCATTCATGCTTGTTGACCTGTTTCCTTTGATGTTAACACATTAAATTTCAAATTTAAATAAAAAATTTGACAGGTGCTACTGGCATAGAGGACAGATTGCAAGATGGTGTTCCAGAGACGATTCAAGCCTTGAGAAATGCAGGCATTGTGGTATGGGTGCTCACAGGGGATAAGCAAGAAACTGCCATCAATATTGCATATTCTTGTGCACTCTTTGTGCCAAATATGGAGGTTAGTTATAATAGTATTTTGTTGCAAATCTGCAGTAAGGTGTAGTTCAGAGCACAATGCAGTGTTGCAAGGGAAATTGAGTCATCATGTTAATTCTGTATAATCAATCTCTAAGTTAATACATTGTACCAAAATTATACTGATCCTGTCTTAATATGTGAATGAATTTTCCCACAAAACTAGATTCTGAATTAAGTACTGCATAACTATGTACACAATCTAGATTCGGCATCTTTGGTTAAGTTTTCTTTAGCCTTGAAAAAAATTTATTACATATATATATTTTTTTAAGAGCACAACTAATTTTAAAATTTTATCGTGATTAAATAGTATTGGAGTTGGGGTAAAGCACAGAAGTCATTATAGAAAACATGTTCCTTTATTACCCTTTAAATATATTGTTTTTATTTCAGATCTTGAAGTTAAATGCCCGCACAAAAGACCAAGCCGAACGAACTATACAGTTCTATCTGCAGCAAATAGAACAGCAGGAAGAAGTTTGGCAACATGCTGTGATGCAGGGAGCTGCTGGTGCTACTCAGGGTGCTGCTGTGTCAAATGGTGTAACATCAGTGTCATCCTCTGTCCACAATAATGGCCACAGACAAAGTGGACCACCAAAGCAAAGAGGTCTTGTGGTGGATGGCAGAACGCTTGTGTAAGAAAACTCTTGTTTCTCAAAGATTTTACTAAATAAGCAAGATGTATATGCTGACATAATTTGTTTGCAAACGTGTAATTAGTATACTGTAATATTTGCAAATTGTGGATGCTCCTGGGAAAATTAGTCTTTGCGTGACATTTGGGCCTAGACCATTTGAATTCTTGGCATGTTGAATTTTGTGTAACGCATCACATTCCATATGTGGTAGGGCAGTTAGTCATTGCATCACAAGTTATACGAGGGGAAAAAAAAATATTTTTTAATGCGTCTTTACAGATATATTCTTGACCGACGAGCAAATCTGAAGAAAGCCTTCCTTACTCTTGCTGGGAAGTGCGGTGCAGTATTATGTTGCAGAGCTACGCCCCTGCAGAAATCTCTCATTGTTCGCAGTGCCAAAGATAGCCTGAAAGTTCTTACTCTTGCTGTTGGTGATGGTGCAAATGATGTCTCAATGATTCAAGTAAGAGAATAAGTTATACTGAACTTGTTTTTAAATATATATTTGTAAAATGTTTATAGTTTTACAGGTTATATTAAATTATCTCTACTAAAGACAGTTGGAACTAGAGGTATCATTAAAATTGAGATTTTGGTCAGTAGTTACCGTTTTAATTTTAAATTTAAGCAGTCAAAATAAAACATTAGATGTCTTTTTTGGAAGTAGTGAAAGAGTAAAGGACAAAATTGCTACAAAGAAATAGATTTCAGGCTGTTTTGTTATTGTGCAAATTTATCTTAGTCAAACAAGTCATTTCTGGCCCAAAAAAAAATCCACGGAAGTTCAGAATACTGTAGTGTGTTATATAAAGATTATATATTGTTGTACTGGTGGTATATTTTAAAAGCAAATTGAATACCTGTACCTAGAATTAGGAATTAAGAAAGCAGTGAATTTGTTGGTTAATATATTTATTTACTGACAGACTGCAGATGTGGGTATTGGTATCTCGGGAGTGGAGGGCAGACAAGCAGTAATGGCATCGGATTATGCTATTGCACGCTTTCGCCACCTAGAAAAATTACTGCTAGTCCATGGTCATTGGTGCTATGATCGTCTATCCCGTATTATTTTATATTTTTTCTACAAGAATGCTGTGAGTAATGGTTAATGTGTCCTTGCTTTGCTTGCACTGTATTAGACTGGGAATGGTTTAATGTATGGAGGTGAAGCATTTAAAGTGCATTTTGTGTGTGGTGGGAGTTGGTGTTTGTAACTTTGTACTCTAAATGATGGTTCACAAGAGGTACACCTGGGGCCAGATTCATGAAGCGGTTACGCAAGTACTTACGAACGTGTACATCTTTTCTTAATCTTTGACGGCTTTGGTTACATTTATTAAACAGTTTACACATATAAAAACTTCCCAATCAACTGTTAGTTATAAACAGCCTCTTGGTGCTTCGGAGCTCATTAACTGTTTAATACTGTAATTGTAAACAAAGCCGTCAAAGATTGAGAAAAGATGTACAGGTTCGTAAGTACTTACGTAAATGCTTTGTGAATATGGCCCCTGCTCTTGTGAAACCATTTAGATGGCTAAAGGCCGAAATACTCAGATGTATTTGTTTAATTCTTAATACAAACAGTATTACAAAGTTTCCCATCTTAATGGGGGGGGGGGGAAGACATTAACCCAGAGAAAGAGCAGTATAGGAAGTGATCAAGATTTTCCTATTCACTATCGTAAATATGACAGATCACAATAAACCAGCTGCAATCACCACTACAGATGATCTGTAGCAACACCTCGCTTTGAAATTAGGCATATTTTATTTTGATATATCTTCTAGAGATTGATATAAAACTACTGTACTATTAAATAAATAAATAAAAAAAATTCTCATATTATGACATAAATATTATTGCAATTTAATTAGATTAGTATTTGCAGTGTACTGTAGTTTCCTCGAGTGCTATATAAATTTTTAATCTATTTCAGTCTTTTGTGCTGATATTGATGTGCTACCAGTTATACAATGGCTTCAGTGGCAGCAGCATGATAGATCAGATGTACCTGATGGTGTTTAACCTTCTTTTCACTTCCATACCTCCTGTATTAGTTGGTAGGTTTGTGGTGCATTACGTTTTTTTCTTTATATAAAGATTACAGTTGTCTGTTTTCTCATGCATTTGTCATTTTTAATACTGTACCAATAAATGTAATAAGTATTTAGATCTTGTACAGTACTGTATTGGTAAATAATTATGACGAGCAATGTAGGACATGCGAGATGTAACACAACAAATGTTTTGCACAGGCATCTATGACAAGGATGCACCAGAAGAAGTACTCCTTGCCCACCCTCGGTTATATGCCCAGGGGCGTGAAGGTCGCCTGTATAAACCTCACTCCTACTGGGTCAACATCTTGGATGCTGTTTACCAGGCCATTATTCTCTTCTTCTTTGCTGCCGTCGTAAGTTTAATCCTCTTTATTTTAGATAAGAGGGAACTGGTGGGAAATTATGCTTGGTTAGTCTTGTGAATTGTGTGAATTGAAGAAAAATGCAGAATATCTGCCTAATCCATTTACTCTAGATTATAGTTTAAAATAAATTTAATCCCTGTTTCCTGATTAATAATTATTAAAGTTTACATTGTATCAAACTTTATTATCTAAAATATAAATGAAATGGTTCTGCATGTTTGAGAAGCCAAAGTTGTCTGTATTATGCCTTCTTATTTATATCTTTCCTTCGTCTTCATCATCCTCCTCCTTGCCTATCTATTGCATATGGGTAAGGAGTGTTTTTGCTATGTATCTGATGTGTATCTGTGTGGCTTCCAACAGCTCCATGAGGATTCCAATGCTGGGATGTTCCAGTTTGGCCTAACAGTTACACATGCTTGTCTTATTGCACAATCATTACATATTGCTATTGAAACCAAATCATGGGTGAGTTTACTTGGATTTTTCTGAAAAAAATGTGTTAAACACTGTATATCTGCTCTGTTGCAATTAATTGCATATTGATAATAGAACTACTATAAATCATGGTAAAGTTAATTAGATTTGATCTTTAAATTTTTAGTTAATTTTTTACTTTATTAAAAATGTTGACATGTTGCATTTTCAACTCTCCAGACTGTGATACATGTATTTGGATTGGTAATGTCGTTCGTACTGTTCTACGTGTTTAGTGCGATATACACCATGAGCTGTGCGGCCTGTCTAAGCGAGCCTAGTCAGTATGGCGAGCTGGCATATGCATTAGGCTCTCCTATCCATTGGCTCACTGTTATACTTACTGCTACACTAGCAGTCTTGCCAAGGTAAAAACAAAAACAAAAATCTTTTGTTTAAGGTAACATTTTAATTAAACATTTAACCAGTGGTGCTCTTGACATAATGTATATTGAGAGGAATTATGCTATAACTTAAAAAATCCACCACAGGTATATATACTTTATGTAATTTCAAAATTTGTGAATAGGGTAAGTACATAATATAGTTTATATATGTTGGGAATGACTGAAACACTAAAAGTACATCTAACACTGGACATAACTAATGGCTCAAATTTTGTGTGTAAAACTGTAGGAAGTTCTATAGGTAATATTAAGTGTCTTAAGTCCTAAATTGCAACACTTTAAAAGAACATTTACTATAGAAAATATAAAAGAGGGGGGTTTAATGAAGTTCAGTTTCTAAGTGCTCCAATATTACACAATTTACTTTCTGAATAAGTTTATACAGTATTGGTATACAAATGCAAACTATTGCCCCATTTCCCACCTTCATGGGATGGGGCCATCAGTAGTATTTAGTTTGTACCAAAGATCATTTCTTTTAAGGTTTGTCGTTCGTGCAGTTAAGTGTACTCTGAATCCTGATGATGTTACACAAGCCCTAATAGATTACCGAGGATCAAACCCTAAAGATTTTATGGTGTCCTGGTCAAGATCAACATCAACTTCCTCTGTATACAGGTACTGTCATCCACTTGAATTGGCTTGACTTGATCTTCTACTCTTATCCTTTACCTGCTATGCAAATAATAGAATTTTGTTGCCAATTTAGATGTTTAATTTTGGTTATTATTGTATGCAATAACTGAAAGGAAAAAAATAAAGTATATACAGTACTTTACAAAAGCCATATATAATTCTATAAATAGAAAGTGATTAGAAATAGTAATTGTTAGGAATTAAACAATTTTCATTGCGTAGCCAGCACACAAGTGCTGAAGGACATCTCCTGAGTATTTAGTAATTGCATAAATGTTAATGTACATAGTATGCAAAAGAGATCTCTGGAAATTCTTATAAAATTTGCTTCATATTTTTTATAAGATTGTAAGAAATAGGTGAGGTGTGTGTGTAAAATAAAAACATGAAAATTCAGTAGTTCTTTTTAGAATTATATTATAAAAAGTTCATTGGCATGCAGAAGGCTAAAAACATTTTTCAATAGATAATTATTATTGGCGTCTTGCTAAAATGGGCTTCTTATACTTGGCAGCATCACAAGAAATTGTGCCAATGCACCCTGGTAGTCGATCACATTACAACGGCTTTTTAATAATTTCATGGTTGTAATGTACTCTACACTAATTTTCATTTCTTGTAAACTTTTCCAGTCCTGTTCGTTTGCTTTGTTTAGGCACATTGTGCCAAATTTTTCAACCTACACGTACATCTGTGCTCGCGTATTACGGCAACAGTACTAGTAGTTTTAGCTAAATTAGTGCATTGTGTAGTAACAGCCAAACCATGAATATATTCCTACTTGGATATACAACCTTTTTTAAAGTTTTTGATGTACAAAAGCTAGATAATACTGGTAGAAAAAAAAGTTATTAATTGGTTCTTGCCTATGACAAGTAAAACTTGTATGTGAATAAGCTTAATGTACAATATGTAGATGATTATGACAATTTTTTCTCTACTGTACAACAGAATGTTCATACCAATCACTGCATATCAAGGCAGCATGGTCCATATTTTCTAGTAAAATTTTAGATATATAGGTACCTTGGGCATTTAACTGGTGTGACAAGCTCTTCTCGTGCTTCAATTTATCATTTTTATTTTAGTTGGTTTACAATGCATGAAACTTGCCTCGCCTGCAAAACCTGCCATTGGTTATACCCCACACCTTTCTACACAGTAATGAACACTTTGCTCAAATGGTGCAGCTTTGCCTCGAAAGTGCTAAAAAGATCCTGGAAACTCATATTTGCCAACCGTTAGGTTATTTGGCTTGAGCTTTTTAGCAAGTGTTGTATTGTGGTGCTAAATGGAATGGACTTTATATATTTTAGTAAGATGTAGATGGTACCTGGTTTTCTTAAGAGTAATGTCTTTCAGTATGAATATTTAGCATGGAGAAAATTGCCTTCCTTAAATTGGTTATTTTTCTGAATAAAAGATCTGTAATTTTGATTACTTTATCGTTCCCAAAATATAAAATTATTTTATATTCTCATTGATTATATGGTTTTAATTTTATTCAAAGACAGGTTATTCTTATTAAAAATTACCTTTGGGAACTAAGAAATCACTGTTAAGGCATCATACATCAATAATAGTTTCCTATTTTTTTATTAGTTATTATATTTTATATCCATCTTTAAGACAAAACTCTTGTAGTTCTTTCTTGCCTAATATTCCTTTTAATTTTGCATATACAGTTTCCTTTTAAAATATGTACCATTTATGGTAATAATTGTGTAGTTAATTGAAGTTCGAACATGCATGTATTGCATCTTTAAAGCTTTTTTATTTGTTTTGCAATTCACTCAACTCTTGAATCCTTCCTTGCTACAGGCGCCGAGATCCTGACATCTAATATATTTCTTCAGTCATTTAGAAGACAATGCTAATTCATACTTGCTTAATCCTGCAATGATTTAGAATGAAAGTTCACATTTATTGGTGAAAATATAAATCATTTTGCTCAAGGGATTAAGAAGTTGGATTTTTTTGTTTTAAGTAGGATAGAATAATCTGTATATAAAACTGTCTAGTCTTGGCATTGTGTGTTCTGCTCATGCAAGTCATCCAACACAAATGAGTACCAGTGGATTAGCATTGTCTTCCCTGGCCCCACTGAATTCTCTCCTGGCACTGAAGGACTTGAAACCAGGTTTGTTGCATGCTTTTCTCATTATATTGCACATCTACAGTGTATACGAATAATTACTTTCTTAAATGTACAGTATACAAATGCTAAACAATTGTAATTTTTATTTAGTTGCACTTTAGTTGTATCTTGGTTATTTTACATCAATGGTCTTGACAATGAATGCATTTAGTCTTTGGTGGGCTTTTGGACCTGCTGCTGCCATGGACCTTATAAATTTTTAGTTTCATTAGAGTAAAATAAACTGCATAATAATCTCACTGCATATTGATTATATACTGTATTATAATTGTAAATTTTTTGTTTTGGTAAATTTTGTATTTAATGCATACAAAAAAAAGGTCATAATCTTAAGTAAGCCTTAAACTGTTGGGAATTTGATGCACGGCTACTCCTGATATGATTTAAATCTTATCAAGATAAAATTTCATAGCCGGTAAAAAAAAAATCAGTTATTGTATTTTATAGTACAAATCCCATTATTGGCCTTGAAGAATTTAAGATATTATTGGCAATAACTTAAATTTGAGACTGTCATTCATATTTCTACATTTCCTTTTTGCCTTGCCTTGTCATTTTGCCTTGAATATTCATGATTATGGTGACTAAAAAAGTTGGGTAAAAAGCTCAACACGGCCACAAAAGTTAATAAAACACACAACACTCGATGAATGCTATAGTATTTTGTTAATGAATGTAGACAATATTTATATGAAGACCAAGATTCTACTGTAGTGCAGGTTTTTTCTATATTTCTAATATTACTTTAATCCTTTGCTACAGCTTGCTTTAAAGTTGTTTAATATATATTTATGCTATATATAATGGCCATCTCTTAATCTAATTTAACTTGGAAATACTTTTAAATTTTAAATTACTAAATTTTTTTATCAATCCAAATTTAAGGTATCAGCAGTAAATTATTTTCCACTGTATGTAAAGCATAATCTTAAAATATGATAAAGCAAAAATTAGAATTTGGGTAGAATCTCTTCGAAGGTAAAATGCCTTGATACCTTGTAGGGAAATGAGCATTCACAAAACTATTCTTAACTAGAGGTTTTTGATTATTCAGTAATTTAATACATTTAAATCTATTGCTTGTTTCAATGAAGTCTACTAAAGGAGCTACATTTTAGACTGTACATATCAGTTGTGAAGAGTAAAATGACTGGAACAATAAACAATAAGTCCACTCCTTAGGAATAAGTGTTGTTTTTGGTTTGGCCTAGAGCACTATAAAGTCTTGTCTCAATCTATAATGGGCTAAAAGGCTTGGTTTTCCATTTTCAATGTGTGGGGTCTAGTGTTAATTACCATTGCTATTGTCATACAGTACAAAACATTATCATTAGAACATCTAATAATTCTTTGGGTTTTATCAGACCGAACTGCGTCGAGGAAACTGGTGAAGAAGCATCGGAGCCTTTTAGCTCTCTCGTTACCACCACTACAGTCATCACCACTACTGATGAAGCAGAAGTTTAATCTAGAGAATTTTACAAAGTGCAGCAGAATGTTATGAAATAGTTTTTTTTTTAATCAGTAGATAGTGCAGGAAGTTTACATGCTTGAAACAATGGCAGAAATGTCTGTTCAACAGAAGTGTTAGTTTTACAAACTTTCATGACTGGATTATGACGTGGTTAATTACTTACTGGTGGTTGACCTAATATCAGATATGCATAGACCCACACCCTGTGCTGTGAGTGTTACTGATGAAAAGCAATGCAGTATATGAAAGTCTGTTGGTAATATGTTCAAACTTCTGAAAAAAGTGATAGACAGAGGCCCTTGTGAGGTCAATCATACTATCGATAGTTTCATGTTTTGTCAAATACCTCAGGAGTATTGGGTCGTTTTGCAATATGTAAAGTATTCCTGACAATTAGTGATATAGTACATATTTGAATATGGCATATTGCTCATGACTTATTTCATTCGTACACGTTCCTCATTAATTTTGTGCTGTGGGTGTATAGGAAGCATCCTATTTGCCATGGTTCTCAAATGGTATTTTATTCTGGAAGTAGGCACACGAAATTGCAACTTAATTAGATGAAGGGTATTTTAATTAATCTTTGAATTATTTGCTAACAATTTTAGACAATTTTAATTTTCATGTGATATTAATCAGCAGATATTATTTTTTGTTGAAATGTATTGCACATCAGATATTGTAAATAAGGCGCCACACTTTGTAATATAATTTTCCCCTCACACTTACAATTTTAGCTTTATAATTAAACATTCTTTTTAATTAAAATTTTAGCTGTATTATGCAGTATATATTTTTAAACGGTATCAAAGGTATCGAATATTAAAATTTATATACAGTTGTTAGTCATTTGTTTAGGTAAGAACTTGTACATTCCATTAGTTTAATGTTCATGGAACCTAACATCTCCATGCTAGAGACAAAAAACACATTACAAAGTAGGATTTACCTACTGCTCTAGAGAATTTTGAATGTGTGCCTTTGTATTTTTTGTCAGTGCTTCCATACTTGTGCATGGGAGGTGGTTTTAGCTGGACTTTAATTTAGAAATATCCAGAGTTTACTTATTGTGAAAGCTGACATTTGCAGTCAGATTAGTGATACACTTCATGGCTGTGTTATAGAGTTAATGAATAATTGAAAGTGAAGCTATCTATGACAGGGTTTCTCTTCTTACATAGCACAAACAAAACCATTATGTACCCAGATACAGTATTCAGTTAGATTATTTACTTGATGCAAGATATCCTTTCACCAAATATATATTTGGCCCATCATAGAGAAGCTTAATAATTGCAATTCTTAAATAATTATTGAATGATGTCTGGGAAAAACCAATCAAATTTTATTCGGCTGAATTTTGACATGGGAAGGGGTTTATGTATGAAGTGATACCTTGCCTCATTAATGCAGTGTTGCCCACCCTGTATGTAAATATGCCCCTTTTATTTAATCATTAGTATTTTCTGGCTCCTGATGCCACAAAAGTTCTTCTACACTATATATTAATCAATCAAGCTTCCATAAATTTTAAATCGGTTTTGCTAGAATTGATAAATTACTACTAGAACCATTGTACAGTGTTTATTCGTAACGGATGGAGTAATGTTGAGAGGTAGGGTAGCAGAGGAAGCCCTGGTTTCGTGATACTGAGCTGCTATATCCTGTATTCACAGGAAGCTGGTGCTTGCCAAATCTTCCCAAAGCATTTTGGTTACATTATCTCCATTCCTTGTATTAAAGACTGCATTTTATTATTTCATTTAAGATATTTAATTTTTTTTAAATAAGAATCATTTTGGTTACAATGGTGTAAAATGACAAATATTTAAGAGTATGGAAGGTGCAGAAAAGACGTGTAGACTTGAAATACAGTACTGTATTAATATTAATAAAAACTGATAATTTTATTTAATATTTTGATATCAGTGGTGTGATTTAAATCTCAAGATTTATGAGTAAAGGATGACCATACTTTCCTAGTTGCTGTCATGCATATGCAAGCCTAAGAAAACTTGACACTATATATATCCATGTTTAAGAGGGAAAGATGCTTGGATATTTTAATGCCAATACCGATTTGTTATCTGAACAGAAACCATTGATGAACTATCAGCTGCATTAGTGAACAATGTAAGCATAAAATGAAAGGTGCCAAACTTTGATCTCGGGCAAATTTTAACATTTCTTTTAAAACCAATGATAATATCTGGTAATTTAGTGATGGATGATTACTTGTAGATGTTACACCACAAATATGCTACACACTCTTTTTAACTTTAAACAGATTTATAAATATTTTGTATTGCATTCTTGATGCAGCTTTTGCTATTTGAACACTTCCAAAACATTGATGTTTAATTTCATATTTTCCAACACAGTACATGGAGTCATTTTAATCAAGGGGTTTGGACTTTATTTACCGACTTACCCATTCACAAATTTTCTGGTCGTATTATTTCAGTAGTGATGATTTAAAATGGGATAAAATATATGTACAGTTGATATTATTAATGTTGGTTTGTTTAGATCATTGATGGGATGTATTATTTTATGCTCTGGAAATTAAAACTGTATGCTCAAGTTAATGGGACCAAAATGTTTGAGGACCCACCATAGATGGCAAGTGCCAAAGGAAGGAAAAAATACATAAATATTCGTTTGTTCAAAGTGTGCAAGTGCAACAGAAGGTTCCTTTATCATGGTCATTTATGATCTGAAGGTAATGCTCTGTGACCTTTGTCACAGGTCAAATAATTGTCTGGTTTTCAAATTATCTGCTGAAATTTATGGAAATAGTTAATCATTTACCCTCCAGATTAATTTTTTCATGGTGTCATGATAGTTGATGCTGTTAAGATACTTAATTGACCTGTAATAACTACTCAAAAAGACACAAGTGATGGAAGACGATCTGCACAAGATGTCAAGGAAATGCATTATCTGCCCCCTCTCTTCTGTGGCTATGGGCCTGCACAACACTAGCAAAGGTGGTATGTACCTACATACACTTGTACACTAGAAACACTTGCCTAAATTTTTCAGTATTGGTTAGCTTTCATAATTGTTGAATATTGTCCGTATAAATTAATCTCTAGTTTATAGTGTGGGCATTATCTGAAAGTAATTTTTTTCAAATTTGTTTTATTTTGCCCACATTTTCTTTTGGGCGAGGGGCCAAAATGTTTATCAATTGTCTTGTGTAATTGCCATATATGGGCATTATTGCCTCTACTGTGCTTGTGCCAAAAGTATAGATGTTCTTGCTAATTTAAATCAGTTTGTTCCAGAATTATTGGTGTATTAACATTTCTTAAGTCAGATGATATGCTAAGCTTACTAATTATATATTTGAAAACAGCTTATTTAATGTGTAATGCAATAATTTGTCAATGTCAAAACATAATGATTTTATTGCACTTAAAATTGGTTACTTTAATTGTTGAAAATATTATGGCATAAGGCAGTTTATCATGCTCATGCCAGCAATGGTTGTGTAATAAGTGGTCTGGGTCCAGTGCTCATGTTCACCATATAAAATTGAACCAGCATAAGCATAGATTTTCTTATTTGAATGGTTATGAATTAGTCCTGTATATACTGCATTTATCAGGAATGCATAGTGGTCTCCATACTTGTATCAGAAACACAATAATATATATGAATGAAACCACCTTAATGGACACGCCATTTTACAAAAGTGTCCCAATTTATTTAAATTTTTCCAATTGTCAACATAGATGATTTTATGGATTGGAAAGTACTGTGCAGTTATCAGTCCAGTCATTCACTGGGTTTATATTATTCCTGGGGTTTGGCTTTTAATGGGTGTGGGGGGGGGGTAATTACAAAAATTGGACAGCATATACTTTTCTTTCTGTACTGTATTCTAGTCAGTTAAGGTTGATTTTGTTAGCTTTGATATTCTGGATTTCTTGAGCCAGATTTTAGTGTAAGCATTCCAATAACTTTTATATTTTTATGTGGGTGGCTAGTAAGTGAATACTTAAGAATATTGTTTGATTTTTGTTTTATAAATCTCCGACTGCCTTTAATATATTGTAAATGATGGTATATTAAATATTATTTGTAAAAATGTTAGATTTTTTATTTGCAATTGAGGTAGTTTGATGGTGTATAGTGAACTTGAAATATTCTTTATAAAACTTGCTGCATTTTGATAAACTTAAAATTATTGCCATTAGTAGAATGTAACACAAATGCAGGATTTATAAGGTGCCTTTAATCATACAAAAGAGGGCAATTGCAATTTGAGAAAATGGTTCACTATATCTTCATCCAACAAGATATTTTTCCATGAAAGTTTGTGTGGAAACCACTGCACAATACGTGTATTGAAGTTTTGTTGAAAATAAAGTATATTTATAGGACATAATAAATATTTTAATGTATAAATGACTTACTTTATCCAAGTTGAATGTGCTTAAATATAAACTGGACTATATGGCAACATAGTGCTATGTTTTTTTTAGGCTTGTCACCTTTTGATAACTGCTTGCTTGCCTAGTTCTATCATGGAGGCTACCGTGTTGCAGTTGTGGAGCTAGTGCTGTTTAACTCTGGAAAGATCTGTTGTAAAGTTCTTCACAGGCTTACTGGGAAAAAAGCAGGACTGAAGATAGTTTGGACTTGCCAGTCTACCATGTACAGAGACCTGGGAGACACATAGTACTTTGCTGAAGAGATTGGGTAAAACCAGAGGTTCAGCGAGGCCCAAATGAATCGATCAGTTAGTCTGGCTAGCAAGGGCATAGCTGGACTTTGGTCAAACGGGCATTGGAGAGTTGGTATTCCTATAGTGAAGGGTTTACCATTCACTCTCGACTGCTTACTTGTGTGATCTCCATTACTCCTAGGTTTGACTGGGTGCTTATACTGCTTCATTTCCTCGTTTGCCTCTGGTGAGTGGGGGCACAGTGAAGCAAAGTGTGATGCTGTCCCCTTTAATGATTACTCATTCCTAAATTTCATATGACTTGTAAGGTGAGCCACCAGAAATCAATTTGGCATCTCTGGACCAAATATTTCAAGCTTACACTGACAAGCCTGTGGCTGTTGCTGCTCTCCAGATGTGTATTCACCTGTTTCAGTTTGTTGGCTCAATTTTTGTCAGTTTGGTAAGGGTGGCGAGGACCACTCTTGAACTGGTAGACTGCCTTGTTACCTTGACTTGTTCTGATGTTCCAGTTAAGGTTACCTTCAATGACATCTCCAGAATTTCTGTATTCTCAGTGTTAGTCTACCAGGCTTGGTGCCTTCTCATTTACTTATCACTAAAAGTACAATTAACAGGATAACCAGTAGCATATGACTTGTTGAATACCAATAAAATAACCAGTTGGCGAGTATTTGTGTGGCCTTTTTTCAGCTCTGGCGAGCTTATGTATTGGCTATACACGCTTAACCCACGGGCACTTAATGGAATACATCCCTGCCTCTTATTGTCTGAGCTACATTGTCATGCATCTCCTTTTTAAAAAAAGGTCCTGATTTTTAAGGACGTTTGTGCATCTGCTTCCCAACTATCTCTAGTGGTTATTTGTCCCTCGACAGCATCCTTGGTGAATGATGCCTTTCATATCACTTGCCTTGTGTACTTTTGTTCTTGTATTGGCTTTCTTAATAATAATTAGTGCCCTTTGAATATCCAGCAGTATAAGATTTGAGCAATTTGAAGGGAAACCAGAGTTTGATATCCCGTGACACTGATGGTGCTACAGTCTCCCGGGTTTGGTGGTGGCTTTTGATACTTGTGTGGCCTTGGGTACATGAACAAACAACTTTCTGAAAAATTTACACTATAACACTATTGGTGTGTGTATATTATACAGTATAACAAAGTACAATATATGTAACTAGTTCATCAATGCTTATGTAAGCTATTCCTTATTGCTATACAAATAAAGTATTAATGGGGTTAATTTCTAAAGTGTGTGCCATTTATATACTGTACATGGACAAAGTAGAAGTTGTGATCTTGATATGAGAGGGGACTAGGAGGGCAGGAATTATCAGGGGAAAGCACCAAGCCATTACGACTATATAGCTCTGGAAAGGGGTCAGGATGGGGTAAAACGAATGGTGCCCAACCACTTAAATGGTTGGAGATTGAACACCGACCTGCATGAAGTGAGACCGTTGCTTTTTTTTTTTTTTTTTTTTTTTTGAGATATATACAAGAGTTGTTACATTCTTGTACAGCCACTAGTACGCGTAGCGTTTCGGGCAAGTCCTTAATCCTATGGTCCCTGGAATACGATCCCCTGCCGCGAAGAATCTTTTTTTTTCATCCAAGTACACATTTTACTGTTGCGTTAAACAGAGGCTACAGTTAAGGAATTACGCCCAGTAAATCCTCCCTGGCCAGGATACGAACCCATGACATAGCGCTCGCGGAACGCCAGGCGAGTGTCTTACCACTACACCACGGAGACTACCGTCCACCCCAAGTGGTTGGTCACCCTTCCTTTCTCCTATCCCAGTAGATTTAAGACAGTAGAGTTTTGCTGGGTTCCCAGTCATATTGGTGTCTTTAAATGAGCGTGCGGACGATGCTGCTAAGGAAGCTATCCGCACTTGTCCCATCTCCTGTAAAGGTATTCCTTATCAAGACTTTTATCCTGTTATTCATTCCTCCATCTCCTTGGTGATATTTAGCACCCTCTGATTATTCCGCACATTTGATGGTGCTACATAGCCGTCCCAGTTTGGTGCCTTCTTTTGATACTTGCTTACTTATTCCTCCATCCTTGCCCGTTGGCATGATTGTTGGTCTTCTGTTACTGGTAACAAACTGCGTACAGTACTCTTAAGAGTAATGTGTCCCAGTGACCTTCCTTCCTACCACCATAACTGGCGGTGGGAAACGGCTCTGGCAAGTTAGCATATTGGCCATGCGGGGTTAACTCGTGGACACTTAATGGAACACTGCTCTGCTCCTTATTGTCCAAACTGCATTGTCCCTCTTTCAGTCATGCACATTCCTGTTGAATGTCCTGACTTCCAGGACGAGCATGTCTTGCTTTCTGACCGTCCCTCGTGGTCACCTGTCTTTAGATAGAATTCTTGGTGAATCGAATACTTTTGATGTCGTTTGCCTTATGCATTTCTGTTCTCATATTGGCATCCTTAGTGATATTTAGTGCCCTATGATTATTCTGCACATTTGATGGTGCTACATAGCCATCCCAGCTTGGTGCCTTCTTTTGATAATTAATTACTAGCCATCCCCTGTCCAATCCCAAATTCCTTATCCTAACCCCTTCCCAGTGCTATATAGTTGTAATGGTTTGGCATTTCTCCTGACAATTCCCTCCCTCCCTAGTCCTTAATTGCATTTAGATCACAACTTCAACTTTGTTACGATTAGTAAGGGTCTCGAGCCAAAAAAATCATACATAAAAGTACTGAATGAAGCAAATAGGATATTTATTTCTAGAAGTATTAACAATGAGATGTTGATTAATCGATATAATTTATAATTCAGAGTTTGGGGGACAGGCAGCCAGATTATACATACTGTACAGTACATGTTAGGGTTATATCGAGGTCCTCCCCAGGGGTCAAATTACTGACCCTCTTCAGGAGGCTACCCCACAACAAGCTGGGTAACTATGGATACCTATTCACTGCTTGGTAAACAGGGGCATTAGGTGATAGGAAATGCGCCCAACCATTTCTGTCCTGCCCGGGATTCGAACCTGGAATTCTAGATTGTCGAGAACGAACCTGACTGCTACTGGGACTCTATATACAGTACACAGGTGTACCCAATTTGTGTAGATACAGAGTACTGGACATGGCCCAGGAACAAAGTATTTTTGCATATTGATCAATAAGGTTTTGCAATGGCTTAACCCTCATGCAGAGGTTTGTCTTTACCACAAACCAAATATCTAATATTTTCATCTACATTTTGTCCTGACTTGTACTTAGAACTGTATAATCTAAATGTACATGTAAATTTAGATTATACAGTTCAGTTGAGTGTTATAAAATGGACATACTCACTTAAATGCATAAAGAGAAGGATGACAAAGTTAATCAAACTACAGTAATTAGAAACCTTCCTTATGAACAGATTACAAATAAATTTATTCTCTACAAGGATGAAGACAAATAAAGGGGTGACATGATTGTTTACCCTTTACACATTTATATACTTCAAACGGGATATAAATGTTTAAAATATATCAACACAATAACTTAAAATAATAGATGTAAATTGGAGAAGTTTAGATTAAAGAAAGAATTGAATGAATTTGGAGTTTGGAGACGGGTTGTTAATTTATGGAACAAATTAGAGTAATTTATAGGATCACTGCATTGTTTAAAAAATAGGTTAAATGTACCCGTAGATTGAAAATATGAAAATGTCGCCCCAGCATCAAAATGATAGAAAAGAGCTTGGCAAAAAACTGCCGACCAATTACTGTAGCTTAACCTTGCATATCTGGAAGCTTGTGTAGAGAATCCTTGGAGAGAATAATTTACCATCTCACAATGCAATCTAATAAAATCGACACACTGTGGTTTTATTCAATAAATCCTGTCCTACTAACCTGCATACGATTTTGGTACTAGTAGTCAGCTATTCAGACGAAGCCTTTCCAGTAGATATAACATACGTGGCCTTCTCTGAAGCTTCTGATAAGGTACCACATGAAAGACTGACACAAATTACAAACATGGAATAAATGGTAAAATACTAAGAATGGGTAAAACAATGGCTAAAACAAAGAGCAAAGGGTCATGTTAAATGGATATGGATCTGGCTGGAAAAAATGGTAGTTAGCGGAGTACTGCAAGGTTCCGAAGTTGAGAATACAGTACAGTACAGTATTACTAACCACATAGTAAAATTTGCAGCCGACAAAAAGATCTATGGTAAGGTAGGAAGCGAAATTGATGTCAAGGCATTAGAGATGTACATGAACACCACAAATGGTCAGAAGACTGGCAAATGCTTCAATATTGAAAAATTGCAAGATCTTGACTATTGCACAACTACCATAACAATACCATACATGCAGCAGATTGGTGAAGAAAAGCACCTACGAGTAGGATCTATGTCATTAAAAGTTACACAAGTGGGAGCTGCAGTAAAAAAGAAACTAACCAAACTTAGGAACAAGCAAATCTTTTTGACTTCAAGGAAAATAAAGTAGTTATTCAACTGTACAAGTCTCTGGTGCGCCTCCATCTGGACTACTGTATCTAAGCCTGGAGACCTCGCCTTCAGAAGGACATATATCTGCTTTGGAGAAAGTTCAACGGTGAGAAAGTAATTCGGGAACAAAATCAACAGTAATACTAGTAATAGTTGAGGGCCACAGGACCAACAACACTGCTGACCCAGACATAATGTTCCGAACCTTAATGGAATCTGACCCATATATCAATCAGGTCAACCCATGTGTTGCGTTTCCAAAAGGGTCGCCCATGTTAGAATCGGTGAACGCCCTAGTAATATTGTTGAAAACATCTTAATAACTTATTAAACCAAAGGTCTTTTTATGTCAGAAGAACGGCAGAAACTGGATCTATATATGAAAACTCTTTCAGGACAAAATTTAAAGTAAAACTAAAGATATTTGTAGTTGTATAAAAGTTGCATTTTTCATCGGTCGTAGAGCCGGAAATCCGCAATATTCATCTCAGAACAATGCTTATTTCACGCAGAATCGTTAATAAACGTAAGATTTTTATACGTCTCAAGAAAGATAGAAACATAATCTTACTTTAATCTAGTTTTACTTTAAATTTTGTCCTGAAAGAGTTTTGATATATAGATCTAGTTTCTGCCGTTCTTCTGACATAAAAAGACCTTTGGTTTAATAAGTTATTAAGATGTTTTCAACAATATTACTAGGGCGTTCACTGATTCCAACATGGGCGACCCTTTTGGAAACGCATGGAAACGCAACACTTGGGTTGACCCGATTGACAGACTGGTTGTATTCCAACAGGGTCTGAGACAATAACACTGCTGACCCAGACATGACACTGCTGACCCAGACATAACACTACTGGCCAGATATAACACGACTCATCTCACTGAGGCCTTTAAAACACTGAGGGAGTTTTACTTCACTTCTTTAAAAAGTCAGCTGTAACACATACAAGGAGACAACAGCTTCAAGTTCAAGGCCCACGAATGCAGGATATAATTGTTAGGGAAGATCAATTTATATTCAATATATATAAGGGATATACTGTACAAGAATGTAAGAACTCTTTATTTTTTATATTTATAAACAAAAAATACCACATGGCCATCTTTGTCCTATATTGTTCCTAACATGGATATCCATTTGAATGGATAAGTAGATGTAGAGAATGAATAAATGAAAATTTATCGGAGAAAGTGTCAGGGGAAAATGTATCAGAGGAAATAAAACCACAGCAACTTAGACATAAATAATAATAAAATTTTCAGCACATTGCCCAATGTGATCTTAGGGAACTTGGTGCCTGTGAATATTATAATTCACTCTTCAGGCTGCATTCTATATTTCCACAGCTTCTCCTTACACATAATTTATCTCCAAAAATAAACTATAAAAGGCACACAACTGTTGTATATTATGTAGGTAAGTGTTAAAATAAGAGAGTGGTGGAGGTTGTATACTTTAGTGTCGTTACCCTCCCCGCTTTAACCAGTTGTTGTCGTGTTGTGGCGACGGGTGGCCACAGCCAGAGGTTATCAACACCAGTTTACCCCAAGCTGGCCTCTTACTTTGACGCTACTCTGGATCTCAGCACAGGTATTGCAATGGTAGGCCATGGTGTTGTAGTGGTGTGGCTGTGACTAGTGTGAGTGGCGGCTGTGGGGCATGGCTTAGGGAAGGTGAAGAGGGTAGAGGAATGGTGGTTTAGCGGCAGTACTCTTGGGCTTGCACACTTGCCCAGGTACTCTTGCCCCTAGCACTCTTTCCCAGGTACACGTGCCCTAACACACACTTGCCCAAATGCACTTTTTTCTAGTACTTTTTCTCTAGTACCTGCACCCACTTATCAACCCCGCTCCTGTGCCAGGTCAGTCCACTACGGGCTCACCATAGCCTATGCTACTTGGAACTCTTTGTTCTGAGTAGCTGAATTTAAAACAATGACAACATTCGGGACTCGAGGCTGAATGGAATCGTAATCCTAATGGCCCGAGTTCGATTCCCGTCGGAGGCGGAAACAAATGGGCAGAGTTTCTTTCATCCTGATTGATGCCTCTGTTCACCTAGCAGTAAATAGGTACCTGGGAGTTAGATGGCTGCTACAGACTGTTTCCTACAGGAGAGGTGTGTGTGCATGTGTTAGATGCAATACAGGCATCATAAGAACATAAGAAAGGTAATTGCAGAAGGCCTATTGGCCCATACGAGTCATCTTGTGGAGCATTATTGGTTACTAATTGGTAGGTCAGTCAGTTAGCAAATTACGAGGTCATTGTAGATGTACACATCCCTAGCTTGTAGAAGAGTGCTTGCTTGGCAGTGTATATGTGGAGTGAAATGTGGGTCTCTGGGCATCACCTGTTGAGTTTCTAATTAAGTTATAAAGTTCTCTCGTGAAACAAGAAAAGCAAATGTCTTCCATACGTTATACGTAAGTTGCATATAGGTATTTTGAACATCTTGTTTACAATTTTACACACACTATGTATGTAAAGTAATTAGACTGGGTTGGGATAAGTTGGGTTGCATTAGGTTTATAAATATATATAATATATATAATATATATAATATAATATATAAAATAAATAAATATATATATATATATATATATATATATATATATAATATATATATATAATATATATATATAATATATATATATATATATATATATATATATAATATATATATATATATATATATATATATATATATATATATATATATATATATATATATATATATATATATATATATATATATATATATATATATATATATATATATATATATATATATATATATATAAATAATGTGTGTGTGTGTATATATCACGAAAATAAACACGTGATTAAAAATGTGACAATGTCAGACCACGGAGGAAAAATAAAACAGGAATTTCCTTAAGTACTTTCGTATATTAATACATCTTCAGAAGGAGTCACTCCTCATTACAGGAAGAGGCCAAAGCCCCAAACATATCAACAAAAATGCAAGAAACTACACGTCGGTAAGGAGAGAGGCAGAGAGGAACTTTGAGAACGGTATATTAGACAAATGTAAATCAAATCCAGGCCTTTTCTATAAATTAATTAAAAGCAAGCTGCAGATTAAGGATAATATTCAGTGGTTGAAAATGGGAGACAGATACACAGAAAATGAAAAGAAAATGTGTGAAACATTAAATGAAAAGTTCCAAAGTGTGTTTATACAAAATAAGATCTTCAGGGAACCAGACAAAATAAGAATTCCAGAGAACAACATAAAGCACATAGAGGTGTCTAGAGACGAAGTGAAACAAATGCTCTTGGAGCTAAGTAAGAACAAAGCAGTTGGCCCAAATGGAGTTTCAGCATGGGTTCTGAGAGAATGTGCACCTGAGCTCAGCATTCCACTTAAACTGATTTTTCAGACTTTCCTGTGTACAGGAGTCATAGCAGATGTGTGAAAAAAGGCTAACTTAGTTCCAGTCTACAAAAGTGGCAGCAGGGAAGACCTACTTAATTATAGACCTGCATCATTGACAAGTGTAATAGTCAAAATATTGGAAAAAATAATTCAAACTAAATTGGTAGAACATCTGGAGAGAGACGATATAATATTGGACAGACAGTATGGTTTTTGATCTGGAAGATCCTGTGTATCGAATTTACTCGGTTTCAATGATCGAGCCACAAAGATTTTACAAGAAAAAGAAGGTTGGGTTGACTGCATCTATCTGGACCTTAAGGCTTTCAATAGAGTTCCACATACGAGGTTGTTCTGGAAACTGGAACATATTGGAGAGGTGACAGGTAAGCTTCTAACATGGATGAAAAATTTTCTAATTGATAGAAAAATGAGGGTAGTAATCAAGAGGCAATGTATCGGACTGGAGAAATGTCACAAGTGTAGTACCACAGGGTTCAGTTCTTGCACCGGTGATGTTCATTTTCTACATAAATGATCTGCCAGATGTAATACAGAATTATATGAACATGTTTGTTGATGCTAAGATAATAGGAAGGATAAGAAACTTAGATGATTGTAATGCATTTCAAGAAGACCTTGACAAAATAAGTTTATGGAGCACCACTTGGCAAATGGAATTTAATGTGCATAAATGCCATGTTATAGAATGTGGAATAGAATATAGACCCCCACACACAACCTATAAATTATGTGCAAAATTTTTAAAGACTTCTGATAAAGAAAGAGATCTAGGGGTGGTTCTAGATAGAAAACTACTGTATCACCTGAAGACCATGTAACGAACGTTGTGCGAGGAGCCTATGCTACGCTTTCTAACGTCAGAAGTGCTTTTAAATACATGGATGGCGAAATACTAAAATAGTTCACGACTTTTGTCCTTACATACGTATGTATATACGTGTACTCAACTAGTTGTGTTTGCGGGGGTTGAGCTCTGGCTCTTTGGTCCCGCCTCTCAACCGTTAATCAACAGGTGTACAGATTCCTGAGCCTATTGGGCTCTATCATGTCTACATTTGAAACTGTGTATGGAGTCAGCCTCCACCACATCACTTCCTAATGCATTCCATTTGTCAACCACTCTGACACTAAAAAAGTTCTTTCTAATATCTCTGTGGCTCATTTGGGCGCTCAGTTTCCACCTGTGTCCCCTTGTGTTAAATAGCCTGATAAATAGTAAAATAGTTAAAACGTGTGTGTAAGTACGTACGTAGGTGTGTATGTAAGTGTACATACGCACATGTGTATGTAAGTGTACGTACGTGTACGTACGTGAGTACGTAAGTGTGTACGTACGTGTGTACGTACAGGTGTACATACGTGTGTACGTAAGTGTACGTACGTGTGTACGTAAGTGTACGTAAGTGTGTACGTACGTTTACGTACGCGTGTACGTACGTGTGTACGTAAGTGTACGTACGTGTGTACGCACATACACAGTGGGGCCTGGTAGCCTGGTGGATTGTGCGCAGAACTCGTAATTCTGTGGCGCGGGTTCGATTCCCGCACCAGGGAGAAACATGGGCAAAGTTTCTTTCACCTTGAATGCCCCCGTTACCTAGCAGTAAATGGGTACCTGGGAGTTAGTCAGCTGTCACGGGCTGCTTCCTGGGGTGTGTGTGTGTGTGGTGTGGAAAAAAAAGTAGTTAGTAAACAGTTGATTGACAGTCGAGACGGGCCAAAAGAGCAAAGCTCAACCCCCGCGAACACAACTAGGTGAATACACGTTTATGTACGTACGTACATATGCGTGTACGTATGTACGTGTCTGTGTACATGTACTTGTCCGTATGTACGTGTCTGGACATCCGTGTATGTGTCCGTGCACGTACTGACGGATGCATGCACATATGTACATACGAATGCACGCACACGTGTTCAGACGGACGTGTACGCACGCATGTGTACGGACACGTACGTATTTACATGAATGTACGTACACGGACGTACAGACACATACGTACTTACATGTACATTTGTGTCCATGTACGTACGTGTCTGGGTATGTACGTGTTCGTACACAGACACGTGTATGTACATACACGGACACATACACACGTACGTTCATGGACACGTATGTACATCCGTGTACGTATGCATGTACGTGTACATACGCATGCACGTGTATGTACGCACGCACGTGTACATATGGACGTACATGTATGTACGCACGTGTAAGTCCGTGTACAGACGTGTACGCCTACATACGTGTCTATGTACATGCATGTATGTGTACGCATACGCACGAACGTGTCCATGTACGTACGTGTCCGTGAATACACACACACGTACGTACGTGCACTCGTCACAGCATCTGCACAGTACCGGGTACCTGGCTAGTTGAGAGAGACTGCCACTTCATCTCTTGTGGCAGCTTATATGTTTTATTATTAAAGAGTGCCCTATTGTCACATTATCTTCTTTACTTAAGTATAAGTCAATATGTAAAGGTTCAAAATAAGGCAAATTGGTTACTAAGAATCACTTCAAGAGGTGCTAGTAATAAAACTGCTCATGAAATGTTTAGCTGTCTTTGTCAAGACGAATTTAGATTGTGCAGCTCAATTTTAGCACCATACTTTAGAAAAGACAGATTCTTTAGAAAGTGATGGATAACAAATGTTAATCAGGAGCATTATAAGCCTATACAATTTTAATACAAATAAAGGTTGAAAAAGCTTTCCTCTAATTCTCTAGAAAAGTCAAAGGGTAGTGGGAATATAAATTGGTACAAGGGATATTGCAAGTTTCTAAGTATATTGACAGTATAACATGTAATAGTGTACAGTTTTATAGTGTGTGTGTATGTGTGTAAATCACGAAAATTAACACGTGATGGAAAATGTCACCCTTCACCCTTCTGAATATGTATTATTAAATACGAAAGTACTTAAGGAAATTCCTGTTTCAATTCTTCCTTTGTATTTTTTTATATAAACATTGTTTCAAGTACACTTGGTAGAATGGGCATGATGTCTCATGTGTACCTAAATCATGTTAGATTTTGTGACCTTTTTAAATGCTAATCTTATAACATTATATTGTTTGACCATTTTATTTTATTTATAAGTTTGTCCATTGTGTGCTTTTTAATAATTCTTAGCATTATGAAATACTTTTGTTGTTTTGAACAGTCGAAGGCTGATGTTCGTTTGAGCAAAACTCTTACGTGGTTGCTGCGACACGGAGCCGAGAAGGAAGGCTTGACTATATCGACAGAAGGCTGGGCTAACCTTGAGGATGTACTGAAGAGACCGAATTTCAAAAAGGTTAGAAGCATTTCTCTTTTTTTCATGCAAATAATTTGTCATGCTCTAACGGCATTATGCCTTAGGCCTACTGCCTAATGAGAATACTTGCTAAAATTGCTCTTTACTACTAGGTCACATGAGTGGCAGGGATTATGTTTGACCTACCAGGGACCAGAGCCACAACCTGGCCCCATTATAGCAGAGTGAGAGTGACATTGTGCCACTCCACCTGGAAAGCATCCAGGAAGTCAGCAAAGCATTACAGACAACTGCAAGGTTCACAAAGATAAAAATCTGAAAATTGCCAAATAACTTTCCAAACAATCGAGGGGAAAATGATCGAAACACATAAGCCTAACTCAAACTCGTTAGTACCAACAATCATCACTAGGCTGTGATGGTAGCTTCTTTATCATTTGACCTTGGTGGAACCACTGTTACTTATATTTCGCACCATTCTTCAAATTCTTGGGCATTTATTTTTACCTCCAGCCTCCTCTTGCTCCTCCTGAACCATCCTGGTCACTCGACAGTCCTTGCTTTTCTTTCCTCTCCTTGGTTCTTGTCTTCCCTCTTGGGTCTGGGATACCTTTCTTAAGGCAGTGCTTTTGTTAGCCTGGTGGGTTAGGGAGCTTCATGCTCTTCTCTTGAGGCAGAGGTTCTGCTTTTTTGGCTCAGATGGGTGGTTTCTTTCTCTGCAGCCACGTTCTTTTTGTTTTTTCAAAGAATGAATTGGTGGGCTTCCAGAGGAATTCTCTGGGGATTTGTATTTGTTTGGTCCAGCTGGGGGGTGCACAATTTTTTTGTCTGGTGGCAGTTTTTTGCCGCAACCTGCATGCCACCAGTTCTTCCTCAGTGGATGCAAAGTGGATTGATCCCAATTCTTTGGTTGTGTTCCTAAACTCACTTTCGCAGGTTGTTCAATGTGTTGTGTCAAGCTGGCCTGCAGTCTACCCGAGTCCATGTTTGCAAATACCCTGCTCTTCCTGAGGTTTCTGTAACATATCTTTGGCTGATATTTTGGCTCGGGAATATTGATGGTTTAACAAAGTCAAAGCGGCCCAGTATTTGTCGGTATTTTGGCTCCTTGTTGTTTCTGTGTTGCTTTGGGATGCATTTCCTGGCTTTCTCCTTGCTTTAGTACCTGCAGTCTCTCCTCCCTTCTGGTGAGTCCCTTGCTTTTCTTCTTCATGGTTCATGAAGCCACTGGGGGCTCCCCAGAAATCTAGCATTAAATGTAATGAAATGTCTCTTTCTGTTAGAGCCCCGGTTACTCCCCGACTCCCTCCTTCCTTTGAGGTGTTTGTTCATTGATGTTTCCTTCATCTGCTCCAGAACTGACCTGTGAGGTTTGGTCGGGGGCCAGGACTCTGGAGTGCCTGGTGACAGTTGTTGGTACTAATGGGTTCAAATTAGTTTCAAATGTTTCAATCGTTTCTCTTGAATTGTTTGGAGAGTATGCTGGCAGTTTCAAAGCTTGTCTTTGTGAACCTTGCAGTTGTCTGTAATGCTTTGCTGACTTGATGCTTTCATGGTGCAGTGGCGGAAAGTGTACTCCGTGCTTGAGAGACAGGCCAGATTCTGACTCTGGTCCCTGGTAGACCAAACAAAATTCCTGTGATCAGTGTGACCTAGTACTGTAGTAACAAGTAATCTCGGCAATATAGCTTCAAGGAGTTGCTTGGGCTCTACCAGAAAGAGGTATTTCATTAAATTTAACACTGGTTTTGAATGATACAAATATATTGAAGCAGAAAATGTTTATATATGACAATAAACAATTTCATAAATCTGGTTCACTTGTTCCTTTGTCCAGGTAGGGATTGATAAAGTGAAGGAGATTGTTGCCAACTGCCCCAAACAGCGCTTTGCACTCAAAGAAGAGAATGGTGAAATCTATATCAGAGCCAATCAGGGACATTCATTCCAGGTACAGGCCTATCATATATTCTGCACAAGCTAGATTGCTGTAGTTGTTTTATGTTAATGTCTTCATTGTGTGTTCAGGGGTTCAATATCTTAACACTCACAACTGGGAGGTGTGCTGTTTTTTATTTAGGGACGACATAGATGCATGGATTGGGTGTGTGTGTCAAAGGAAGTGTACTGGATATATTTCAAACACTGTATTGCTATCATTCACGTTTAATACATTAGATTTTATTTCTACTGTTTTCTTTCTCTATGTATGTTATGTTATACTTTAAATATATTATACACTACCTGCACTCGTCTCCTCGTGGGCATTTTCACATGATCGAATTGAACATGCTATGCTGTACTGTATTATATATTTTGCATGATTATCATCAGTCCTTCAAAATATTTTTTTTTTTTTTTTTTGCAAATATAATTATATATGGGGATTTTACATCATTAAAATAAGGGTTACTTTTCGGTTACCGTTCGATGATTCTGAGGATCAACATCCCCACAGTCTGGTCTCTGATCAGGCCTCCAGGTTGGTGGTCTGGTCAATCAGGCTGTTTGACACAGCTGCTTGCAGCCTAACAAATGAGTCACAGTCTGGTTGATCAGGTATCTTTTTAAGGGGCTGTATATGTTCTGACTTGCCTTAAATATGGAAATTTTGTACTGATAGGTGCTAATAAAAATTTTGTTTGATAAGTGACTAAGAAAATACTGTAATAGAAGAAAAATAATATGATCCAGTCAAATGTATTTTCAGCTGTTTCTAGAAGTAATTTTTAGATTCACACTGGTAATAAATAAGTGATGCTTTTGCAGGTTGATGATCTTGACTTAGAGGAGATTACAACTGACAGTGACTTGTCAACTGTAGTCCATGGAACGTATTACTCCCACTGGAACAGCATCAAAGAACAAGGTCTGAGTCGCATGAAACGCACACACATACATTTTGCTCCTGGTCTTCCTGGAGAATCGGGTGTCATCAGTGGTATGCGCTCATCCTGTCAGATCTTGATTTATTTAGATCTTGCCAAAGCTCTGAAAGGTAGGTGCCTGCAACTTTCATTGAGTTGCACTGAGGAAAAAAAAGAATGTCTAAAGATAATGAGGATAGGCTTTGTAAACATACAACAAAAATGGGGGATGTAAGCAAATAAAAATGAAAAGACAAAGTTAAAGAAATGAAAACAGAATGGGAATAATAATACTCAGTGGGAATGTGGAGTGAGGGTAAGGGTAATAGACTCCAACAATTGTTCTTCATTGTCATTGCTTAATTTATTTTCTTTAAATTTATTTTAGTAAGACAACATTGTATTTTTAGTGCATCACAGCATAGATCTATTTGATATTATCATGCTTGGCGGACATCATTCTGATTTGCGCATTTGAGGGTGTGTGTGTGTGTGTGTGTCTTGTGTACTATATATCAGTAGTACTGTTGAGCTACCTGGAGCTACCTACACTCAAAGATGAAATTGGAATTGTAGTAAATGGCTTAAAAATTAAAGTTAATATATAAACTGCACCTCATGCCAGTGTCCAGTAATAGTCTTGATTTTATTTTGGATGAAGCTTTTGCTGATAGTACTTATCAGACTCATTATTTGGAGTAATAGTATGCCTTAATGTTGCAGCGGGCTTCAAGTTCTACAGGTCGGCTAATAATGTGATAATGTGCTCGGGCAATGAAGGTGGATATCTTCCCCCAGAATATTTTCTCAAGGTTGTTGACAGGAAGACTGGTAAGTCTGTTAAACAGTGTTATACAAACTGATGTAACTGGCTTGCTAACCAGGCATGTAGTGCACTCAAATGTTTCATTGATATCTTTGTTTATCTTCTTCATTTCATATTTTTGTTTAATTTTCCAAGACACTGTTGGCCACATTTATATAACTCTTTGTAAATTAGATGTGATTGAATATTCTGTACTGTAGTGTATAACATATTTCTTATCTTTCCAGAGAGAAACTTGATGTAATTGCCGAATGGTCCCAGGATTGACAAGTTGCTGGAATAGATTTTTATACATTTTTCCTTGGATCAGATTGTATTTATTTGAATAGTAATATCACCCACGTTTGTTCAAGATTAAGTGGATTGTGATTCCTGATTTTTTTTTTTTTTTTTTAATTTCATAATACTGTACTGTATATTCAAAGTGTTTTATACAGTACCTTAACTCAAGTGTGCAGTTATTTGTTAAGTAAGGTAGTAAGAACTAGTAAGGTAGACACAACAATAGTGATATGACACGATCTCTCTTGATTAATTTGTTGTAGGTAGTATAGTGAAAATGCTATTTAACGTTGATGTTTGTAAATGTTATTTACAAAGAATGAGAACTATAGTGTGAGTTGCATAAGCCAGTATACTAAAGACACAATACTGTAAGTGCCTTGTTATGAAGTACTTTTAATATCTACAATGTCAAACAAGGGGATCACCTCGGCCATTCAAGCTACGTACAAATGCACCGCATGCAAAACCTCGACTCTGGACAAATGTGCATACATCACACACATCTTGGGGAAAAAACATCAAAAGCAACTCAAAAGCAAAAATTTACCACAACCAAATGATGAACACAATCGCACCATCCATGTAACAGGTAAGACCTGGCCCAGTTCAGACAAGGTTTTTTTATGATATGGCTGTCTTTCACAAAATGTGAATTATAAACAGTGGATGCGATTGTTTATTGATTAAATTTTCTATATATAAATAAAAAATAAATTTTCAAAATTGTGAAAATGAATGCACATGTTACTGGTATTAAAAATATTATTTTAATCCCTTGTATATGTGTGTCCATTGTTATGTTTTCTGTTTTGTCGATGTACTGTATTTAATAATGTGTATCCATGTTGTACTTTTAATGGTTCTAGATATTAATTCCAGTATCCTATTTGCTTTTATTTGTAAACTTTGACTGTACTGGTACTATAGAATACTATATTAGGGTTTGTTGACATTCTGTACAGTACTTAAAATTCAATGGTTGGCAAGCTATTCTTAAAAAAAATTTGATTGGTGAATGAACATCATTTATTTTGGTGACCTGTGTTGAGTGCTTTATTTTCAAGAAGCAATTCTTTGCAAAATTTCTTAATGCTTTATTAGTTAAATTTGTAAATAATTCATTTTGAGAACGTTTCTCCATGTATAAAATTGTTTTACAATGTGTTGTAACTCCAGGGTATGATCGTTCCACTCCTGTTGAGGCGGTTCTTGGAGTCTTTTTGCAGTATGGAGTGCGGAATATCAACCACCATTATAACTACAGTTTCATTGAGTTCGAGTCAGTGTAAGTCTGTTTTTAGCTTTTATCTTGTAGTTGTAGAGGATTTTGATAGCCTCTGTCACTCTTGTAATCTGACCTAAGATGAGCCTTTCATGGTTGCTCTCATATCAGATAAACTGTTGGTGCTTATATCCTGCAAGCTGACACAGCCTAGATGATTAGGCATCCTTTGAAAAAGCCAAGCAAGTGTCATCTTGTAATTCCCACAGTATTAAATTTTGCTAGTAAGATGTTTACAACTTTGAAGCTATGCTTGCTGCATTCCTGCTTTTAATAGGTATTAACTTGTCCCTTCTAATTTCCCTCTCAGTCCAGTAAACATATATTTGGTATGCAAATTAAGGACCTAACTTTTGAATGTTATCTTTGGATATATAGAAGTGCTCCAAGGTGATCTCAGACTTTCAGACTTTTTATTGAGGCAGTTGGATCAAAACAAAATTATTAATATTTTTCTATCATTTGTAGAATTCAAAGGATATCTAATTCTGCATGGAAATTTTGCCACTAATTAATGCAGGCTCCTTCACCTGCACCCCCCTTCTTATTATATACATATACATCTGTATCATATCTGTATACTATTTGAAAACTTCAAACTTCACTTTGATACAGGGATATGGTCAAGAAAGTGCTGAGAGAATCTCACTACTGCAGAGACACCCGCTTGCAGGTATCTGCTAGTCACCGTAAAAGCCACAACCAGAGCACAGGTTCGTTGAATTGATATTCTGTCAAATCTTTAAATTCGATTATTTCTGGATTTTGGTCGAGATAGTACTAGCATAATTTTGTTCGTACGTAGGTTTTAAACGTAACATTTAAATTAATTATAGTATACCAACAGTAGAGCTGAGCTATTGCAAATAAGTTTAATTTTTATTAATGTGTATTATTAATTGATTGAATAACTTAGTTTTAACAAAAACTGTAGTAAACTGTGGCACAATTGGTTCATGAAAAAAAAGTCCCAGATTTGATTCCTACAGCAGGAAAAAAACATTTAAGTATGTTTTCTTTCACCTGAGAGTGTTCACTTAGCAGTAAATAGGTACCCAGGAGATTGACAATTGCTGAGAATTGCATCCTCGTGAAGGTCAGTCATGAACCATTGGTAAATGGTTGTGGTGTATGAATATATTCTTGTTCTCCAGATTTATTTTTTCTAATTTGTTCTTTCCAATATGTTCCAAGAACACAAAACCAGGCTATGTATTTCCAAGACATACAATACTGTATTACAAATACAACCAATGAGCAAATTCATCAAAAGATTTTTAGTTTATTAAATTTCTAATAAAGAAAAGGTGTGTTCCTTCTATATACAGTACAGTATACTGTACCATAACAAAAAATAAGTTGATGGTAACTAGTAAAATTGATAGTTTTGAGTCATTATATAATAATGAAATATATACAATAAATAAGTATATCTATCAACAATTTGTATTTTAGTCACAAAATACCTGTACAACAAAAAAAATTGTCAATTTCCCTGAATGATTTGTTTATTTCTTGTTGATTTTTCGACTAGTAAGAAAAAAGGAATACTGTATTCTTTTCACATGTATTATTAATCATTACAAGATTCAAAATGGTAAATAATTCTTAAGAAAAAAGAAATAATTTACTTGAAAATAAAAGTGTAAATTGCATGTAAATCAATTCCAGTGTACTTAAATATATGTACAGTACATACTCCCAAGTCCTGACCTTCCTGTATCGGAGCCCCTTGTAATTTAACTGTATAGCTTTGTTTTGTTGGGTATTGGCAATTACTAATGCCCGGGTGGACTTCCAGGCGATAGTATGGTAACAATCAGCACAAGTCTTAGTGAAAAGCTGAAGGAACGAGTTAAGGGACGACAGTTGGACCTCTTGATTGATAATCTGATTCGCGAGATTGAGCTGAAGCCAGAAGATTATAGGATACGGGAATACCTCAGGTGAGTTCTCAACAAATTACAGTATCAACATAAAATAATATTAACCATGTCTTGGCTTAGGTAGTTAGTCGAGCTTGGGCCGTTACTGAAGAAGGAAACCTTTTTGCAAGTCTTTAATTGGAGCATTATATAACGGAAGGATTCATGGTGTTTTTCTTATCATATGCATCATTATTCCCATGGTCCTTCTGGATCTTCCCATGCTGGATGGAGGTAGCCACATAAATAGTTTGTGACATTTTAAAGTTCCATTAATTGAGATAGAAAACTGGAACAAGTTTACAAGAAGGGTGAAGGTAAGCGAGTACAAGAAAGAAAAGCTAAAATGCATGAAAATACAAGACACAAATAAAGATACACTAAAAAGAATGTAAAGAAATTGTGTACCATATTCAAGTGAGGTGTAGAGGCAAAGAAAAGGAAATGGACTATAAAGTAATACTGTAGTGTAAGTACAGTATAGCCAAAACAACAATAAATGGAGGGAAGTGATATATGGGAAGGATGTATCTCCTTCAATTTAAGCAGGAGATGCATTTCATATTTGTTCTCATATCTTAAACAAAATGACTACTACTGCCATTTTTCCCACAAGAATTGCAGAAGATAGTAGTACACACCTGTATTTTAAAAGTCGGTACCTTACATGGATAGTATTTGAAGTTAGATGAAGTGAGCACCAGCTTAATGGCATTTACCTCTACCTTGCCTCTTATACTTATCTGTTGTGTTCACTGATTTTACCCTCCAAATAGCTTCTCTTCATGGGGGTATCCTGTGTTACTCAGTCAGTTTTTCTGTGATGAAAGTCGCTGAATACTAATAAAGTTAATCTCGTCACACACTTTCCTGGGCCTTGTGCTGTTAACTAGTGAATTGTATATGATGGCTACCACTTTCCCTTCAAGCTTCAAAATGCATTTTCAATTGCAGTGCTACTCCCATCTTGTCTCCTGTATGTTCTCTCATCTTTGATCATTCCTTGGAGTCATTCTACCCATTGTGTTAGTGTTATGAATGTTAGCTGGGGGGGGGCAGAGCTCAGGTGTATTTAATACATGTTGATTCAGACCTGTTTGCAACTATGGATACTAAACTCTGTATTTGCGTATTGTCTTTTAAGACATGTATTGATTTAGGTACACCTCTTGATATTGATGTACAATTTCCTGTTGTCAACTACTGTTGTAATACTTGGTTCCAATTTTTCAATATTACTTTGCCAGGCTGCACTTGCCCTGTTTGTTGCTTAAATATAATATTTTTCAGTCATCTTGTGTTACATCACTTGCCATAAGAAACTGTAGGGTCTTTTGTTAAGTGCCTTTTTTTTCCATGTCATTCCTATTTATTTTGGTAATTTGTATATCACTGATTTTTTACCTCTCCATCTCTTATTAGAGTGCACTAAACCCTGTTTAGTCCTTACAGTTTCTAACCTGATTGTTTTGATTGCTTTCTCAACTTTTGTGCCTCTTAAGAGCTTAAGAGCTGCTGCAAAGATTTTATCTGCATCGTCCTCAACCCAGCTTCTTATTGCTCCTATTTTCCATGCTACTTCTGTCTGTAGTGAATGCCGCCTCTCTGTTCTCATGCTTCCTCGTCTCTAAAACTTTTATCACCTCTCGTCTGTTCATATATCTTTTCAGTTTCTCCATTTTTAGGAGAGACTTATTTTTAGCAACCTCTCTGGATTCTTGTCACCCTTATTTTTCATATTTTTCATATGCTCAGTATATCTTGGTTCAGTACCATCATTTCTTCTAGACCCTTTTAATATTTCTCATTAATTTCTCTTGCTTTCATACTGTCTTGTCTTTGACCGTTTCCTTTTCCAACTTGAATTTCTTTTTATTTAGTGTGCTTTCTTCCTCCATGGTTTATGATGGCTACTTCACTGGAACTCATAACTGCCCCCATATCTTGTTTTTCTCCTTTACATACTGTGTGTTTTGTTGTTCACATACGCTCATTGACCTGGTCATTCCTGTTTTATCACTTGTTCCGTCTGGTATATCTCGTTTTTTCTCATTGCTCTTTCTTTGAAGCCCGCATGGGATGTTATTTCTTATTGCTCCCATTTCATTTTTTCTTTTTAAATTTGTCATTCATTTCTTCAAAGCTATGCATGAGATAAGATTTCCCTGGAGTGTTTTTTTTTTTTTTTTAACTTTTGCTCTCCAGCTGGCCTTTGTAGATTCTGCCTCTTCCCATTTAGTGTTCACTGCTTGTTCTATCACCAAAATGTTAGCAGGAATGTGTTCACAGCATTGTGCCAGGTAACACCTCGTTTTCTGTGGAGAGCTCCTCCAGCTCCCCGGAGCTATACCTGGCTGATGTGTGTGTATTAGACCATGGCATCAGTCAATTTGAATGGAGTTCTAGCCTACCAGGGACCAGGGTTGTCAGAACCTGGCAACCCCTCAATGAGGCATGAGGAGCAATGGCCTATAGAACCCCCATGTGGCCTAACTCGGTAGATAGCAGACATGGAATGCTTTCAACCACATTGGAGGGGTTCTATAGGCCATTGCTCCTTGTGCTTCTCTGAGGGGGCCAGGTTCTGGATAGAACTCCATTCAAATTGACTGATCCCACGGTCTAATACATACATATCAGCCCGGTATCGCTTCGGGGGATCGGGAGAGCCTACGAGACTCGCCCAGAAAGTGTCATTTCATTACATTCAGCGCTGTTTTTTTATAATCACTAATAGCTTAATACACACCTCATAATATTTGCAGATCATCCCTTGCTTCCTTGCTGGATAGCGATTGACCCCCCCCCCCAATCATTTTTCACATTTTGTTATAACTGTCTTTATTTCATTACTGTTCCAAACTCTTCTTGGTCACTTGAGCTACTTGCTTCTGGTGTATGATCACTGCTGGTGATTGGAGACTGCCAAAATATACCACAGGTGTTGCTGTGACAACACCTGTGGTATATTGAGGGTCACGTGCGTATATGATATGTTATTGCCTCCATTGTTTGGGTTAGTCAGGGATCATGACAATTAAGTAATGGTAGGATCTGTTCTCCATTACTCCTATAATTATCTTAACAAATGCAAATGTTTTCTTACAAAAATATAAATATTGCAATGTTTTTCTGGTTTAAAGTACAGTATATACAGTTCTGTATGGTTATATAATTTAAGAACATTTTGCTTTTAGTTGTAGAAAAATAAGATTAAATTCTATAAAGTAAAAACTGAAACTTTGTTGATTTTAACTCCTCATATGATGGAGTTACCTAATCCCAAGAGGATAAGATGTTTTATTATAGAAACAAACTTTATTATAATTTCTTCATTTATCTTTGCTAACAGGAGCAGGATGGTGCAGTTTTTGATGCGTGGTTTTCCCCGTGTATTTGGATTTGTCTTTGGATCCTCGGCAAACAATTTGGGTTTCAAAGGATGTGATGTTGATATGTATGTTGATATTGGGGTCAATCCGTGGGCATCGTGTTACTCTAGAGGTAAGTGAAATTCGCTCTTATTTACAGTAATGTTATTGAAAATACATTATGCTGTGGTTACCACAACTGTGTCCTCATATTACAGATATGAGATTTTTTTATATATTTCCTTTGATACTATTATTCCATTCTTTTATTCTAAATCCCACTTAGTTGCTTACTAAAGTGAAATTTTGCTGTATGACTGTTGGTCATTCTGGTAATAAGGAGTACTGGAGATCTTCCAGCTGAAAGGCGCTATAGAAACCTCAGAATTCATACTCTCTCAAAGGCTTTTCAACCCGCTCATTTGGCAACTCTGAAATGGCGAAGGAGTGCCTGAAGTACAGTTGACCTCATTCAGTTGATTACTCTTTCTTTCACCTGGTAGCATCTGAAACATATGGCCTGCCTCATCCCACTGTTTAATGTCTGTTTTCATGTTTGAAGTACTTGGTACCCTAGAGTTGTTTTGTGTGTGTGTGTGTATTCACTTAGTTGTGCTTACAGGGGTTGAGCTCTGCTCTTTTGGCCCGCCTCTCAATTGTCAATCAACATCCAGCCCCCCCAGCACACACACACACACCCAGGAAGCACCCCGTAACAGCTGTCTAACTCCCAGATACCTGTTTACTGTTAGGTAACAGGGGCATCAGGGTGAAAGAAGCCCTGCCCATTTGTTTTCAACCATCGCCGGGGATTGAACCCAGACCCTAGGATTATGAATCCCAAGCGCTGTCCAGTCAGCCACTGGCCCCCCCTGTGGCTGTGTGTGTTTGCAGGGGGGGGGGGGGAGGTTACAGACTGGTTTCTGACTGGATCGTGCCTTAGCTCAGCTTATGGGCTGCTTATGCCATTTTGTTGCTTAGAGTATAATCACTTTAGGTTAGGGGGCACTGATAACTAATACCTTGGCAGTCAGGCTTCTGCCTCTGTAACGTACCAGCAAATCAGGTGACTTGAAATTAGTGTGCATACTCACCGTTTGCTTTATATTTTTCACCTATGTGTGAAAGATGTCGGCTCTTTTCAAATCCAGATATATGCAATTGTTCACCTTACTCTTTCTTTCAATATTTTTGTGGCTATCGTAGGAACTTAAGTATTTGTTATGCTTGGTCTATATATATAATATATATATATCATTGTTTATCTTTGTGTGCTTTGAAAATTTTTAGTAGTTTCAGCTAATTGTAACTCTGCCCTCAGTGCATTTACCTATGTATTGTTTCCCTAAATCAAATGGAATTATTTGCTTTTAAGTAGGTCTTTCTCCCAATCATGTATATCCTTGAATTGAACTGAAGTAAATTATATTAACCTTTGTAATTTTGTCATTCCAGCCGAAGCCGAAAGTAAAGCAAGTGACTTGACGTTTTATCTTGCACGAGAGATTAGGCAATCAAAAATGGGCATCAAGGTTTGTTACACTTAGTTTATCTCCAGAAATTTATTGTTGTATTGCAGTATTGATAATGTGATGTCTGAGTTAAATATAGCATCTCATTGTGTTGAATGTATTCCAACACCAAATACAGTGAGGGCTATTTTAAACAAATCTATGGCTGCTTTTCCTAAGAATGCAGTATTTTAGTCTTGAAATTTTAATGCTTTAGTGCACTATTTGACTGTTCATCACAGCACAAATGTAAAAGCTGAACCTCTTTGAAAATGTACATTAGCTATGTTCCCTGAAATTGGAAAATAGATGATGAAACTTGAGTATATTGGTGCCAAACAGATGTGCTGAACTATGGTATTGATAATTTATAAGTGACGCCTAGTGTTAAAAGACGTATATATATATGCAGTATAGCAGGTTCCAGGTTTGGCAGTTTATGAGGGACTTTTTAACCAAATGTACAACTGCATATTAACATTTCCAGATCCTACTCTGTGAGCTATAGATTTCCCAGTAGTTGGTGGTAATAATCACAGACAAAGGTTCAGTTATTTCTTAAGTTATTCTCTTAACTGCTACTGCATCACCAACTATGCACAAGATTTGTATGGAAACAGCTACCTGAGGAGTGGCTGCATTAATTATGTCCATTTGGGTTACCGTATAGTTTATACCTTTGAGCGTTCAAATTTATATTTATGTTGAAGTAGGGAAACCAATCCAAGGAATGGGTTGTAAAAGATGCAAAACAACAGATTGGGTGACAACAAGAGGGCCTGGTCTCTTCTGCAGGAGGTCCCATGGAAGTTAAAGTCAAGGGAAAGGCAACAAATAAGATGATAATTTGTTTCCAAGAAATATACAGAGACCATGAGGAAGGTTATCCTCAGGAAGAAAGTTGACGGAAAAGTAATACTGACACATGGTTCGATATCCTGTGCAGAGAACTAAGGGCAGGTTCAGGAAAATGTAGAAATAATACAGAGAATTGAAAACATAAGTGAACGAAGAGGCATTTAAGCTGAATGAGAAATGAGTACACAGTCATGAAAGAAGCTGAGCAGCAATTTGAAAATAATATATTGTGTCAAAAACATTGGACCAACTCAAGTTGTTACATAGTCACTCACAGAGAGAAGCAAAAGATATGATTGTGCTTTGGCAAAATTAGCTAGATGTATTAAGGAGTCAGAATGGAGACTGAGGGTGGGAGATGACAGCCAAAAGAACATCACATAGCATTCAGGAGAAAGTAAAAACAAGATATATGTTTGAACGTGGATATATGTTAAGTGCAAGAGGCAGTTGGACAAGGAACATAAATCTTGTGCGAATCATATAGTAACAACATCAAAACACTCCCACATATGTATAAGTGCATGTAAACATTTTTACGAAAACCAAGTCTTATTTAAGTATTGTATTTAAAGCATTGATTTGTCTGGCTTATCACTAAAGTTGTCTAGAGTTGAAAATGGTGCTACAGTACTGCTTTTTCAGGTTCAGGCAGTCGCCAGAGCACGTGTGCCTATTGTGAAATTTCAAGATGCCAATACTGGGCTGTTGGTTGACCTGTCTTTCCGACATGGCATGCCTGTGTACAACACACAACTCATCTACAGTTATTCAAAGGCACATCCTTTGGTCCGACCATACTTGATGCTTGTCAGGTACTGGGCCAAGATACAGGTGGGTTTTCTAGTACTGTATATGGTTTTTCAACTTGTGTATAAACAAAATTAAATTTCCTGCCAATTTTTAAGTGAACGTACTATAACTTTTCTGAAAGTCACAAGATTATAGTTGAAGTTAAAAATTGCGATCTTGTATGAATAATGCTTTAACAATATGATGAATAGAAGAAATCATTTTAATTAAATATTACATGTAAATTGAGATTAAAACTCGTTTGACATTCATATGGACAAATTTCAGAAACTCGATCAAGTTCTTGATTGATTTTTCTCTTACTAATTACACTCCCTCTCAAAAGAAAAGTACTATATAAAAGTACCATGAGCCATATTTAGTTACAAGGGTACTTTTCTGAGCAGTACCACGCTTACTTTCTTGGGTAATGTTCCCATGGACAGGACTAAACACAACAGGATAGATCAGTATTCCACACTTTCATAATCAATTCATTAAATTATGCATTGTCAAAGGATCTGATTTATTATATATCAATAAAATAGTACCTTGCTTTAAATATAAATAAAAAGTTTTCTAAATTACTTAACGCTGCAGCGGTAAGGTTTCTTCACTCGTCTTTTTTTCATCATCACTCCCCCCCCCCCCCCCCCCATGTTAAAGATTGTCTTGTCTCCTTTCAGGGTGTGGCAGGTGGAGGGCAACCATCATTTCTCATAACTAATTATGCTTTAACCATGCTTATGCTTTTCTACTTGATGTCAAGAGATGATCCTATAATTCCATGCGTATCAGATCTAAAGGAGAACCAAACACCAGAGCTTGACTCTGTCATTGGTGGCTGGGACTGTTCTTTTAATAGAGATATGAGTGAGTGGAATAAAAGAACACACAATGTGACTGTTATGGAGCTTGCCAGAGACTTCTTTACCTTTTATGGGAATCTTGAAGCCTCAAAATGGGTCATTAGTCCATTGGCTGGAAAATTGATTGATAAGAATGATTTCAAAGATAAAGAATTAAGAAAACTTCCCATTTGTATGACCTGGTATTGCCGACAAAATGTTGAAATTCAGTTGAACACAGCACTGTGCCTCCAGGATCCTTTTGAGCATAGCCATAACTGTACCAGGGGACTGCGAGAAGGGCCTCTTGCAGAGTTCCAGTACAAGTGCCGTAAAGCTGCAGAAATTTGTGATAATATAGTAAAAGGACAACAGTCATTGAGTGACTTCCTTAAAACAATTGAAATTTCACCAAATGTACTTAAAGAAATCTGCTCAAGTGTTTCTCCTAAGGAAATGGATCAATCTGTTGAAGAAATAATAACACTTGACGACTCGGATTGTGCTTCTCAGGATTCTATTGAAGTTCTGAATTTGTCTTCAGAAAAAGAAAGTGAATCGGGTACAAGTCCTAAATCCAAACGCACATCTCGATTATCAAAGGATATTACCAAAATTAATAATTTGTCTGAAAATGAAGATGTAATTATAGTTATTTCTGGAGATTCACGAGAAGTATTAACAAAAAGCATAAAGAATGGTTCAACATCCACAAAAACAGAAGTGTCAGAAAACGGTGTTGATGAGAGCAAGGAAGGTTCTGATGTATCAATAATACTACCAGAAGTTGAACCAGAAAAGAAAATTTATAAATTTCCACTTTTATTTTCTCAAATTCCTGAGTTTAGTATCACATTTGATGGTGCAGTGTCTGGTGGAAAAGGTATCATGACTGCTGCAGATGACATAGGACATGCTGCTTGCTCAATAGTTCACTTTGCATTGCAGCAATGCTTGAAAGTTGATGTCTCTGTAATTGAGGCTTTTATGGGTGACCGAAAAAGGAAGTCCTTTACACAAGATGACAACTCTGACACAGGAAAACGTATCAAGGGAGCGGATGGAGAAAGTGTTCCAATACTCACCAAGTTCCGTAGATTATCCCAGTACCACTGTGTGGCAGTATCTCAGTTGTGGGTTGGAAGAAAGAAAATATCAAAAAGGGTTCCAATGGGGAAGAATGTCACTCCCCTCCAGTATGAACTGGCTGTCACTGAAGTTCAGATCAGTGATTCTGGTGTGATGATCAGTTCAAATTCACAAGCTGATTCCGACAAGCTAAACTTTATTATTGAGTTGTGGCAGAAGTGTAATGAACCTAGTAACATTCTTGTGACTGGAGATTCAAGATCAAATTTGAAAGTAACTCGTGCTCAGATGATTCCCATGTTTACCTATCTTACATCACTGACCCAGAGTCTTCTGAGAAAAGTGATGCTTTATGTTGTTGGTACAGCATCAAAAAGATAGTGAAAGTATCAGGATTTATCCAATCTTATGTGGTGGTATATTTTGTCATTTTATAGTTTGTACAAGAAACAGGTGTGATTAAAATGCTACTGTGATGGGATATCCTGGAAACTAATGAGTGAATGTGTTATTCTACATTATAGTGTGTAATAGGACAGAAAAGGACAATATGTAATCAGGATGATCTGTACATTAAACAAGATTACTAATGTATGATTGACAGTGATATCTTTTATGGTGGGACATTGACAATTCTGGTATTGATGCTGAACACTTGCCATATTTGTAGGTAATATTTTTATCTCCATCTTGTGTGCATAGTTGTTCCTATTTGTTGATATAACTTAATATCAACAACTAATGTACATATTTTCCCAGGTGCAACATTGAATGGGCAGTTATAGGGTATAAAAGTAATTGAAAATATTAGTTTGTCAAACTGGGATATTTTCAGGCATATAAGATGACCGAGTGAAATAATACTAGAGGATTGTTAAAATGGATTATATTTAGTGCTATCTGGATATCTATAATTAATTTATACTGTCTCGGTTTCCTTTAAGACAAAAAAATGGTAAACCTGCTTGTTGAGATATGTAAAATGTGGTCGGTTCAAACATTGTACCTGATACTATCCAGCTTTTCTCTTCATGCAGTTGTGTGTATATATACTTGCCTAGATGTGCTTGCAGGGATTATAGCTCGGCTCCAAATAGTGTATTCTTAGATTAATGTAATGATTTAGTTCCCCACCTTTTTTTTATTATTTACTTTTAAAATTTTGTATTGCATTAGCTTGAATGACAGGCATGATGCCTCTTGATAATTACACAGAAATCACAATAGTGTAATGCATCAAATGAGCAAATCCACAAGGGACCCCTTGTGGATTTGTTCATTTGATGCATCACGCTATTGTGATTTCTGTGTGTAATGAAGTAAGGGCGAAGAGGTAGAACAGCCTATTGACAGAGCTCGGGTGCATGGAGAATGCTCTACAAGGCTAAAAGCATATAAACTCCAAAATTTGGGTACATGGGGGAATTTTGTAAAACTCTGGTTTGTGTCTCTGAGAGACTGCAGGATCTGTGGTAGGTCAGGATGATTTCCCAGTTGCAATTCTTTTACCATGTTGTAGCCCAGTCGATTAAGGCAGCGTCTGGGATCCTCTCTGACGTAGGTTTGAAGCCTCGTCACGGCCCTTGTGGATTTGTTCTCTTGATAATTACTTCTGAAAGTGAACTTTAACGACTTCATTAACCAATTTCACTCATTGATGGCTGTCAGTAAAGCAATTCTTTTTTGTAAAGTTTGCATTCATGTCCCCACTCGTTCTGGTGATGATATATTTGAACAATGCTTTGGCTATTCCCCTATAGTGTCTTATCATTTTCCTCACCCTTTTCTTGTCACAAAAGCCCTGAGAAAAAGCATTGTTACATAACTATTCTTTTTTGTAATTTAGACTTGTACATATTCAGGTGTGGGGAAAAGGGGGGTGTAGACCTGCGAGTTAGTCGGTGAGTGAGTGAGCGAGTGAGCATATGAGAGTGCAAGTTGTGGTCTGTAGTGTTTGCGTGTATTGTAACATTATCATCCCTAAATAAGGACAGCTTACTATTTTTTTAAATTGAAATTTAATTAAAATTCTTTTGTAATAAAAGTTGCAGGATGAGAAGTGAGGATAAGAGATTCGATGAATACAGGTACAGTATATTGATGAATATGTACTCAATGAATATATAGCAAGACACTATGGTTTCTGAATGCAAATGTTGTTCCATAGCATTAAAAATAATTATTTTTCCATGATATAGATGCAGTGTGAGGAAAGCAGTGTAGCAATAATATACATGCACACCCTGTAAACTAGAAAATGCCAGCCAACATACAGGCAAAACTGGGAGGAAGCTGGTGGCTATAATTTGTGCAGCATCAGTTACCCGTTGTCATGTCCAGGCTAGGGATTAGATATGGTTAGGTTTCAATAGTTCCCCAATTTTAAACCTTTGAACTTTGTTAAAGTACATTACTTTATGTATTTAAAGAGGTTAAATAACCATTTTTTAATGAAAGCTAAACTCATCACTCAATGGTACTTTTATTGATTATACCAAAACTGTAGTTCTTGCTTATTATTTAAGATGAATTAGGTACGAAGTATATTTAATGTGAAATAGTAGGTCATGCTTATTGAAATATCATAATGTGTTTACAAAATAACTTTTCTGTTCTTTTAAAGAATCCTTTATATTTTATATTGGAATTATTATGGCTGTGTTATGTTTTATAATGTTAGTGATTAGCCTTTTTTTAAATGAGCTCGTGAGTAAGATAGTGGAAATCATTTTTTCTTTTCTTTTTTTTAAGTGCATTTGCAAAGAATAACAAAGAGTGCTCAAGTGGATAGTGGTTTAACCAAGCCGTTCTCGCAAATTCGTAAAGTCAATATTGACTTATTAACTACGTGCATAGGTGACATACTAAACATAATAGATACCCTTAAAAAGCTTCATAGAAAACACCGACCTTACCTAACCTTGTTAGTATCTTAAGATAAGCATCTTATAGCTTCGTAATTACAATTGTTACTTAACCTATTATAGGTATAGGTTAAGTAATAATTGTAATTACGAAGCAATAAGATGCTTATCTTAAGATACTAACAAGGTTAGATAAGGTCGGTGTTTTCTATGAAGCTTTTTAAGGGTATCTATTATGTTTAGTATATCACCTATGCACGTAGTTAATAAGTCAATATTGACTATACGAATTTGCGAGACCGGGTTGGTTTAACATAAGACCTTAAAATTTTGTTTGTATGGTTAGGCAGTGGCAAGAATTTGCAAGTTAGTACGTAATGTAGAATAACGTTCTGTATGCTAAAATGTTTACTTTATAGATCCATAAGTTTTCAGGCATAATTGAGCATCCCTTATTACACGATTGGGATTTAGTGACAAGTATGTCACGGCATTCTCCATGTTAGGCAAGTGACATCATTGTAAGCTTCCCAGTCACAATTATGGGTGTTCTATTTTACAAGTGCAATAGTTATGAAATACTTTAGTGGCAACAAGTACAGTAGAATGACCCAAAGGCCTGAAATCCATATTAGATGTATACTTACAAATGTTTCTCTTGTGGAAAATAATTGGCAAGGACTATACAACCTTAAGTAAAGCTAAATTTTAATTTAAAAAATAAGCAGTGTTAACAGTACTGGATATCTTGACAACATTGGGAAAGATTTGATATTTTTGTTTTAGTAAATTGTACAATATTTAGAATCCCATTTATTTTTCCTAATATAATAAATACAGTATGTCTGTCCAATATTATCTATTACCAGATAAGTTGCATTTATATTTGTGACACCACTGTAATCATTTTGGTATGAGAGTAGTGGGTGTGTGTGTTTGTGTGATCAGCCAGAAAGTAACTGATTAAGGTCTGTAATTACAGCAAGTAGTCTTTGTTGTATACCACATAATGCAATATTTTTAATTTCTTTAAAGATCTTACAATAACAAATTCCTGCTTTTGTCTGTTAAGCTTAAAAAAATTATCAGCACTTTTGTAATTAATTGAAAGGCATCAAAATTAATACTTTTGTCGTGTTCAGATTTGATTATTTTAAGGTTTCTGATCCCAACATGTTTATTAATTTAGCATTTTTGTTCTGTATATGTAATTGAAGTTGCAGTGTTGCTGTTTTTAGACAGCATTAACTTCAGAGGTATTTGTGAGGCAAGTGCTGCAGCTACCAAAGCATGTAGTGTGGAGGTTGTGTGCTGGACAGTTGTACAAACAAACCACTTTAAAGATAAAAAAAAAAAATAAATTACCTTTTTACATAAAGGCAAGGTTAACAAATTTGCATTGTATTCCTATCCAGGTAACAAGAACATACAATTGCAGATGTGGTTAAACAGATTTCCCGTTATTGATTAAAAAAGAAACAATTCTGCCATGTTCAATGTGATTTTGATCCAACATTTGATGTACTGTACTTAGTTTTGCACTTGTACACAATACATTACTAGAATTTTCTGCTATCCATTATTTGCATTTTTTTCCTTTCTAATCACCTTTATAAGTTTTTCGGTTATATGTTTCTTTATCCATTCACATGCAGTACTTGCATGTTATCTTCACTGAGGGAATCCATCCAATTTTCTCATTAGCGGATGAACAGTAAAAGAATATTTAGGCTGTAACTGTAATCTGTAACAATCTTGTTTTACAGCAGATTCTTTGTAATTGTTTACATACTTTTAGCAGTCTTTTCATGGTGTGCTTTTATCTTCTCTTGATCTCCTTTTTGTTTTATGGTACTTTGATATTTTACTAAAGGTTCCCCAGTTTTGATATTGAATGTTTTCTATAATTATTTGTATATGCCTCTGATACAACCGAATATTAATTTGGTGTATAAAGCACTATGGTAATTTTTAATGCCATGGATTGTTAATCTTGAAGAGCGTAAAAGACTAGTTTATTTTCAGCCGTTAAGATTTCTTAATCTAATAAATTTTGAAACAAAAGTATTATTTTATGTAGTGTTTGGGTCTTGTGTGTAGACTTTTGCAGAGATTAGTGATCATGCATTATTATATTCTTAAGAGTTCCAGTAAAGCTTTCCTGGGTCCATTTGTGTTTGACTTGCCTTAGTAACAAGTACAATATTCAAGCTTAGCATTTTCATTAAGTTATAATGACACCGATTCTTTTAATTGTATACTGGTTATGATCCAGGAACTATGATGGATTGTTATTCCTCAGCATGATCAGCACCAGGGTGGTAGAATGGCCACTCAGCTGCTGTCCCTGATCCTAAGCCTAGTTTCTCAACGTTAAGAAACTGTCGTACTCAAGTGCCCTTATCCTAACCTACCCGTGGACCCAAAACAGAAAACAGGACAGTATGTCAATTTCGCGAGCAGCTACCATTTTCTAGTAGAGTACGACAATCTTTGGCCTTATTTAGAGTATACGTCAAAATGCGAAGTTCTATTAGGGGGACGGGCTGTTGGGAGTAGGTAGGCCGTTGCTATGGTAATGGCATTTATACAAGCAATTATGACTATACCCTCACGGTTAAGAACACTTCATTGTTTCGTTTAGCTATAAAAGCATATCTTTCACTTTGTAAATCTTACTATTACGACGTCGACGTTAAAAAAAAACTCTAATATCTCAAATGCGAGATCAATAGTCGCATTTGAGATATTAGGTAGAATGTAGAAAACAGTAAGTTCGTAACTGCGTTGTGCAACACTGGTAGTTTCAAAGTTATAAAATTCAGACATGAACAGTCGCCATTATTTATATTCTGTACTAAAGCATAGCCTTTTTAATACCCATTAAATTGGCCACCATGATGAGTATGGCATTGTGTTCAGATATACCAAAATGTCAGTCTTACTGCTTACAGTTCTCCGCTTACAAATACCATGGAGGCCATTTGTAACTACTGGGCTATCCGACTTGCCAAGTCCCCCATGACAGTCACTCCCAGCACTGCCAAAGTACATCAAAGATTACCTATTCAGATGAAGTCGAGCGTTATCCAACTATTGACCGAAGCCCAACAAATACTCTAACCATTATTGTTTGAACTAAATTGAACCTATACAATTAACAAATGTGTGTAACGTACCAAAGAGCGGCATCTTCCATAGCTTCCCAAAACATGCTCACTCCAGCCAGTCCTCTGACCTTCTGGCCGAGTGAATCAATCTTCAATTCAATCTCGAAGCCAGCTCAGCCTCAAAGACCCAAAGTCCGTTCCAAGCACCCTCCAAACCCCTTGTTTATCCGGAACAAGTAAGTAAGTAATTATCAAAAGGCACCAAACCGGGAAGGCTATGTAGCACCATCAAATGTGCGGAATAATCAGAGGGCGCTAAATATCACCAAGGATGCCAATACGAGAACAAAAACGCATAAGGCGAACGATATCAAAAGTATCAGTCACCAAGAATTCTATTGAGGGACAGGTGACCGCGAGGGGCGGTCGGAAAGCAAGACACGCTCGTCTCGTCCTGGAATTATCCGGAACAAGTGCTTCACTGACGAATTTTGTTCGAACCACAACGCTATAAATGCTTCACCCACGTACTACAAATACAAATAATCGTCAACAGAACCTAACACTTAACCTATGCCTATATATGCAAAATATGCTATTATAATAATTTATATTTAAGAAAATTCCCGTTTTGAATGAACAGCATGTAAAAATTTATGAATGCGTCTGCAGGGTCGACCGTTGGATGTAATGGACTTAGTCGAGGACGGGTTGCGGCAGAGATCGATGGCAATTACGTAAGAAGTGACCGCCACCGCCTTCCCTTTATGATAATCAAAGGGAACTTTCGTATACAGTGCACAAAAATCATTCACAGGGTTTTACATAATTGTCCAAACTAGTAATTTAAGCAATTTTAATGTCAAATTTACACCTTAGCGTTAATCAGAGCCTTTTCTTTGGTTAAATTTCCACAGTTACTAGCACTAGGCAGGTAAAAAGAGTACAATTGTGCGCAATTATCACGCGTGGTACTAGTGGTAAATACGAGGGAAGAGCCATCAGAAGGGTAACGTACTGGGTGCCACAGCGGTCACGCCGCCCTGCTGTCTGGGTGCAGGCGGAGAGCAGAGATGGAATATTGTCAGTCAGTACTCATGATAAAGGTGTTAGTGTCCTGCAGTTAACATATCCTTCAGGTGCGTCAAGTGATGTCCCAGGCACTGCAACCGTTTAACCTGGAAGTAAAACTATTATTAATATCGCCACCGATATTCGTGAATAGCACAAGTTAAATAAATTAATAAATAAAAATAAATAGTTTATTCAGGTAAAGTACATACATACAAAAGGTTATACAAAAATTGATAGATTTATAGATAGAGCTAGTACATGCAATGCCTAAAGCCACTATTACGCAAAGCGTTTCGGGCAGTTTCTGTTTCTCTAAACCTATCTGAAGATCGGTTTTAAAATTTTACATAGTATACGGGTTAAAAAAAAATCAGTTTTCCCAAAGCGTTTTGGAATTACGCCAGAGCCTCTATTTCAGAGGTCTGCAATAAGTCAAATCTAATTAGTTTGACCAGCTTAATTCTGTAACTAGTTTCCACTAGAAAACTAGTCATCTTGCCTCTTTTTGACAATGCTACCATCCACGAAGCAGCCAAGGGAGTCGTCCTGCTCCTCTGACAAGAACTACAGTAGGTATTCCCTACTCTCTAACCTGTACTATGTGAATCAACGACGTTGACATCTAAGGGCTAAATGACCAATCCTCAGATGTTTGGATTATTTCTTGTAATCCTGCCAAAGGCGAAAAGCTCTTCAAGCACCAATAAAACTGGTCTTTTTAGAATACTTTCTGCAAACCTTTTTTTTTGTAGTATTGCAACAGTCTGCTCACACGATATTTTACAAAACTAAGCAACTCCTGCATTCAATAGTTATACAATTTTGAACCAGAGACCTCGCCTTGGGACTTTTTCAACAAACGTGTTTTTAGGTAGGTAGTAACCAAGTGATTGTAACCTATCCACCGCTGCCCACTGGATGGGGGGGGGGGCGGTGTGCAGGACATACATATCAATTGTGACACTAGCTCTCCACATATGCTCAGTTGCTTAATTTAGAAACTGTACTTGTGGTCGATCTCGAACCCATTGTTGATGTGACGACTTATACTGAATTTTGTAACTAGCTCATCAAGATTGTAACTTCCTTAGCTAAATGAACTGTGGGGTTCAGCCCCTGAGCCCATTATGTGCCTCTGTAACCCTTTCCACTACCGCCCACAAGATGGGCATGGGGTGCATAATAAATGAACTAAACTAACTAGGTAGGAAACAAGTGTTTGAGACTAAACCTGTACTGGTCGTCGCTTCTCTACTCTGGCGGCTGGACCCCTTACTCCAGGACGAGTTGATCCGCGGGAGGAAGAGTCTACTAAGCTACTGTGTGAACCCAAGCTTCGGTCTCCCTCTGAAGGGACCAAGTTGCCGGCAAGTCTTATAAATTATTGTTGGTTTGCCTTTGTCCTCAGATTGTTCTGTCAACCGAACAACTTTGTTCCTTTCCTCTGCCTTTCTAATACAAGTTTCATAAACGGGAAGACCTTACTCGGTTGAAATTGAAATTGAAATAAGTTTATTGAGGTAAAATACTCACAAAGGGATGAGGTAGCTCAAGCTATTCTCACCCCATTCAGTACAACGTGTTAATACATACATACACACACATCACAAATAAACATATTCGCACTCTGTTAACTGGGTAATTCACACAGCCTAAATATTCGAGTGCGATATCAAATCCTTACTTACTATTAGATTTGGGAGGAACTAGAGGCGCTAACTTGTGGATTTTCTTCTGGTCAAGTTCTGGGGCAAAGGAAAGAGTGTCATCTACGCTGAAGTGTTGTTGTAATTGGTCAGTGTTCACGAAGATTAATAGGTACTGATATACGACTAACACGTTATCGTAGCTTTAGTGTAAAGCAAATTACTTCTCAAACATTAACATTCTCATTAAAAAATCACTGTCGGGGACAGGCAGCCTGTGTATGTGTACGTTAGGCTTGTATAGAGCCCTCCCCTCCCCCCTCCCCCTGATGTCGAGCTGCGGACCCTCCTCAGGATGCAACCCTACAACTCTCCGGTAATTATTTATTGCTAGGTGAACAAATGCATTAGGTGATAAGAAAAGTGTCCAGCCATATATATTTGTGCAATAGATATATTACCGTAGTGCCCATCTGTACTACAGAGTCCGTGTTAATAGGGTCTTTCTCCTTATTCTACCTGCGTTTATTTAAAAAAAGAAAAAAAATTATATTACCGAAGACTGGCAGGGGCTGGCCCGTCATTTAGTTTAATGTAAATAGTTTTAAAAGTTAAGCGGAACTAGAAAAGTTTGGTTAACAAATTTCCATTTACATTTGCCATATTAAGGAACATTAACAATGGCCTCCTGACAATATTTACATAAAAAAAACTTGCGAGTCATACATTTCAGTTTCGTTTTCGGCCGGAAAATGGTTCCTGGTAATTTTTGGAAACCATCATTATTTAAAGTATCTGCAAGTCATAAACCCAAGTGATGAAGACCAATGATAACCACAAAGTTCTTCCCAGACTTGTTATACGAGAGGCCGAGTCCTCTTCACCGCGCAAGAGGATGTCCAAGCCCCGACCAAAATGTATAAATCTCTAGAGACAACTTAATGTAATGGGTAAAGTTATTCGTTCATTATTAGGATGAAAAGCAGACCAAAGATCATAAATGTTCGAAATAAAGAAAACTCGCGATTAAGCAACATTTCCCAAGAACAACAAAGCTAACTCACCGAGAGCGTATATAGTCTTCCTCAAATACCAAAACCACAACTAACTAGCAATCCAAGGACGATCAACCCGTCTCACTTCCAGCAGGTCTGACGAAACCTCGCCTCTGATTCATGCTCAGTGTTCGAGCCCAACTCAGAGTATCGAACATCTGAGAGAGATTGGAACCCTTCTGTCAACATTTCTGGGCGTAATTCAACCCAGCACCAAAAATTTACCAAATGCTCGTTAATTCACCAGCTAAATACCGTCTTTATGTACGAAAAACACTTCACATACACGACTCACAACTGGCGACGTACGTACTTTTCTCAAGCAGTGCTTCGTTCACGCCCTCTACTCGAATTGCAGCTCTCTTAAATGCTTCACTCACGTACTGCAAATAACAATTGCCAACATAACCTAACCTAATCCAGGCCTAACTATATAACACATTTTTAGTACATAGTAATTTTAACCATATGAGAAAATACTAACTTTGGCTCCGCAGTGCTTTAAAAAGGATTATTGTGACTTTGGGTTGAGCCGTGGCCTGGACGAGCCTGGCCTGAAGACAGGTAGACATCCCTGCCAATTATTGCGACCCTTAATCTCTTACATGGTCCCTTGTATTACAAATAACCAAATGCACAAACGCAGAAATACATATCAAGTGTAACAGAAGCAAATACACAGATCCACTAAATCCACATTAAAACCACATCCAAGGAACAAGAGAAGACGAAATTACGTTTTAGCCATTTTCACACTCGTCATAAACGGGTCTTATTTTCCCTAAGGTGTTTGTATGTCCCTAGAGCCATCATCAACTGAGTGCAGGCGGCTGCACTCTGGTCAAGTTCCACAACGTCTCACCACACATCCTCGTCTTCCACGTTAAGAAACTCCCCCCCCCCCCCACTCGCAGCTTGTTCTGTTCCCTGCTCGCGCAAGTTGGGCAACTCCTCGTTACCTTGTTCATAGTGAACCTCCACTTTAGTCTTGTACTCAATTTTTTCGCAGACTTATAATTTAGCGTCTCTTTCATACGTCTCAAATCGATAGACTTGTTAATTATTATACATTTTAGGACGTTTTAGCGCGTGATTGATGATACCATAAATTTTCCACGTTCCTTACCTCGTGAACCAGACCTTGCATAAGAGGGAGTATTTACCTCCTGCCGTCCTGAGCTGCGCCCTCACCTATACTGTCCTGAACAACGTCGTTTGCACTATCCTGCTCTCCTGCACTCTCACTGGGATACACAGAGTCGTTTCACTAGTTGTGGGTGGCGTCATCCACTCCACGTGTACTACACCACTAACCTCAGTGGGTGCAGGTTCAGGTACACTGTCCCCTGGTAATGGGGGCAAGTCAGTTTCATGAAAAAATGTCAATAAGCTCTGCCGCCTCCACTTGGCAGGCGGCGGCAAAGTGACTCGGATGCTATAACACTTGAATCAAATTATCGGCTGTGTATTGTAAATAATGTTGCGACCCGCCACTGACAAGGTTGAAGCAATATTTCGAGAACGTTCTATTTTCACTGTTTTAGTGCCATTTGAGAGCATAATAGTCGCAATGCTGTTGTGTTTAACGACATTATATAATATATATATATACATATACATATACATATACATATATATATAATATACCCTCATACCCATTCTGTGGGAGGTTGTAGACCCATACCTATGTGTGAGGTAGTGGAAAAGGTTAGAGGCTCAGGAAATGAGCGCCATGGATGTCTATTGTATTATCCGATACTCAACATTATATACGCAGTGCACTGTGTGGACTTATCAGAGGGTGAGTGTTGTGGTAGAGCCTGATACAGGTAACCTTTGTATGACCGCGGGTGGGAAGCTGCAGGTGCTGTACAGGAGGCAGGCGCCCCAGTGGCAGCTGGTGAGCGCTTCGGTATGTCTTGGGGGCGCTGGTGTTCAGGCTGGGGCTCTGAACACCGTCTTGGGGGGGGGGGGACGGGACGACTAAGCTTTTATCTTGGAGGTGCAACTGGGTCACTGTCACCCTACATACAAGTACCTGCAGGAGGCGCTGAAGAGACCTGGTGGCGTTATTGTCCTAGTCACGTCTTTCCAAGTTACGAGGTTTTAATGAATGTATTTTTTTCGGTTCAAAATACATTTCTTTTTAATAGACAAAAGTGGAAGTACACTGAAGTAAGTGAAGACAAATAACTGCAATGAAAATTTTTTTACATTTTTTCCATTCATTCCTACAGTCAGATAAGCTCGTAAAAGTTAAATTCCCTTTATCCTAATTTCCGATGATTAAACATATTTCCCCTGATATTTTCATAATGTTGTCTGGGGGTAAACATCTGCCTTGTATTCACCTAGTTGTGCTTGCAGGGGTTGAGCTTTAGTTCTTTGGTCCCGCCTCTCCATTTGTAGTATGACCTTGGTGTTTGGCAGCAATGTTGCCCAAACTCCAAAGGAGGGAATTATCAAGGGAGAGCGCCAAGTCATTACGACTATATAGCACTTGGAAGGGGGTCAGGATAAGGATGTGGGATGGGACGGTGGGAAGGAATGGTGTCCAACCACTTGGACGGTCAGGGATTGAACGCTGACCTGCATGAAGGGCGACCGTCGCTCTACCGTCCAGTCCAAGTGGTTGGTCTGGATCACGGCCTCAGCGTAGGTCAGAGCTCACACCTAAACCAGAATATTTGTCATGCAATTATTACACTTAAAACCTATACACATTTGTGTGAGCGTGAGTGTGAGCGTGAGTGTGAGTGTGTGTGTGTGTGTATGTGTGTGTGCGTGTGCGTGTGAGTGTGTGTGTGTGTGTGTGTGTGTGTGTGTGTGTGTGTGTGTGTCTCACACACCTCCACCGGGTTCACTCCAGGGTTGAAGGCCACTACTGGTATCTTGTTGATTTTGTGAGTATTTTTGTTGAGCTATTAGTGTGGTAGTGGTGGTGGTGGTGGTGTTTTGGTGATAATGGTAATGATGGTGGTGATGGAGGTGGTGATGGTGATGAAGGCGATGGTGGTGGTGGGGCGGTAGTGGTGGTTTTAGTGATGATAATAACAGTGATCTGTGATAAGACTGAGGAATGATAACCATTAAGATTCTCAGTACCTCAGATACCGGGTAGTGAGGACAAGCAGCCCCAGCTCCCCGGTATTCATTGACCCCCCCTCCCTCCCCCCCCCCCTCTCTGCGCCGTCTTGAAGTCTCCTTTCCCTCTGACCCAACCACTTGGGGTGGACGGTAGAGCGACGGTCTCGCTTCATGCAGGTCAGCGTTTAAATCCCCGACGGTCCAAGTGGTTGCACACCATTCCTTTCCCCCGTCCCATCCCAAATCCTTATCCTGGTCCCTTCCCAGTGCTATATAGTCATAATGGCTTGGCGCTTTCTCCCTGATAGTTCCCTCCTCTTCTGACCCCCCTCCCATGTCTCCTCCCCTCCGATTCTCCCCCCCCCCTTTTGGGAACTTTTTTTTACAAGGATTCAATTTTTTTTTAATTAAAATATACTTAATGTATTTTGAAAAATGAAGATATTTGTAAAAAAATAAAACTCGTGGGAAGACTGCACATTAAAATGATAACTGGTCAGCAGGTGTTGTGTAGTGTGTGAAGTGTAGCACACCCGGGGGTCCCTGGTGGAGCTTTTAGGGTCAGAGTTCAGTGAACTCTGCAGGTTCATTACTAACATTAACACCAGTCCTAATGATGCATAGTCTCTTGGTCTCTTGGTTTTGAGAGAGAGAGAGAGAGAGAGAGAGAGAGAGAGAGAGAGAGAGAGAGAGAGAGAGAGAGAGAGAGAGAGAGAGAGAGAGACACACAGACGTATATAGCCAGATATAGAAACAGGTAAAGGCAGGTAGAATAGAAACAGATAGACGGGTGCTGCTGCTTCAGGAAAGAAGAAGAAGACGAGAAGACAGAAGACAAGGATGTGATGACAGGAGGAGGATCAAGATGACTAAAGAACACAAGCACATGTGAGCAAACAAAAGAGGAACGGAGTGACGTGATTAACATACATAAACACACATGAGCGAACACCTCAAGTGGTCAGATAGAGGCCCAGATATGGCCCAGGACTTATCTCTTCTTATCCACTCAACTTTTCGTAACACTTTATATATATAGGTAATATTCTACCACAGACGTGACTACTTACAGTGTTAACCAACATTATATATATATATATATATATATATATATATATATATATATATATATATATATATATATATATATATATATATATATATATATCTTCGTGTGTCTTACAGAAAGGTTGGGAGATGTGTTCCATTATATATTGTGTACTGGGTTACTGAGTGTGTGTGTGTGTGTGTGTGTATGTGTGTGTGTGTGTGTGTATTCACCTAGTTCTTTTTCTTCTCTAGCTCCTTATTTCTATTTCATCCATACTCTCTTCTAATCCTCTATTGAACTTTCCGCTCTCTCTTTCTCCTGTCTTCTAGTTTCTTGTTGCCTTCCCTCTCCCCGTTTCATCCACTTTCTGCTCTTTTCCAACTTTCTCTTCTATTCCTTTCCATCTCCATCCGCTCTCACAACCGGTTATTGTTGATGTTGAATCTGTTCTTGTCCCTATTAACAATGTATCTGCAGCTGTTGATGTCTCTGTTCCTCATCGTTACTAACAATTTCTATAACTGTCGTTGTTAAAGATTCTCTACCTGAAACAAAGTTCCAAGTAGCACGGGCTATGGTGTTCTATGAATCTCTTTAAGGGTATCTATTATGTTAAGTATGTCACCTATGCACATATTTAATAAGTCAATATTGACTTATTAAATTTGCGAGAACGGGTTGTATGGTGAGCCCCTGCTATGACTGTCGTTGTTGACAATGTCCCCCCCGTTACAGCTGATGTCACTTGGCACCGCCATCACATTCTTGACGTAGTTGATATACGTCAGCTGATTGTATTGTCACTACGATACCTGACTCTTTGATTACTCATCCTCTTTGATATATGTTGATTGGGTTCTTGGAAACACCTGATGGCACGCTCAAGGGGAACAACACAATGTGAAATTTGAATTATCAATATTTTTTTTGTTTTCCTGTCGCGGCTTCCAACATGGCGGACTTCCGGTTGGGTGACGTCAATGGGAATCAGAGTAGATGTGTAAATTATGAGTTCATTGATAATTTACAAATATTGCTGACGAATAATAGGGTAATTTACAATGATAACTCAAGATTATTACATGAATTTATGTGAAAGTACAATGAGTTATAGTGATAAATTTTCATGGTTAATTGTACATTCGATCAGAGCCACCAACATACACAGGTTTCGGGCACAGTAGAGATGAATTGCTTGCTGACAATGTATGGTAACATGTTAGAAATCTAGCCATATATTTGCCAATTGCCTTTTATAACGATAATTATTTTAAACTTTGGGCTTATCATTTGCTTATCTTCCCGATTGCGTTGTTAACTGATGCGGGCAAGTTCTCTTTGTTGATAGTGGCCGGCCGTACCTGCAACACAGCCACACAGACTGGAGGGCCGGCCGTACCTGCAACACAGCCATACACAAACTGGTGCTAATGAGGCGAATCAGAGCTGAGAAAGACTGCAATTCGTTACAAGATGAACAAGACTATCTCCAGAGATGGTTTGGTAAAGGCCTATAGGCTTTAACCCTGACAGCAGGATAACGAGGGCAGCCTATGCCATATTAGCAAAGGTCCCGTTATCATTCAACAATCTGGACAAGGATTCCTTCCGAGCGCTGTGTACAGTCTTCGTGAAAACCATCACTGGGTATGCTGCCCCGGCACGGAACCCCTATCTAAATACAAAATAAAACTTGAAACAATTCCAAAAATATGCAACAAGGTTCGTTCCTGAGCTATGAAGATTGAGGGTACTGGTCCTCACTTCACCAGGACAAAGAAAGAATAGAGCAGACATGATAGCAACGTAGAGGACACTAAGGGAAAATTGACAAAGTAGATATGGAAGCAACGTTCAAATTAACGAACACGAGGACGTAATAGGAAACTGAAAACACAGATGAGCCACGAAGGTATCAGAAAAAACTTTTTTCCGTCTCTGAGTAGTAAATATGAGGAACGGATAGATAAGGAAACTGCTAAAGTCAATTGGATACACAGTTTTAAATTTAAATATAAGAAAATCGAGGGAAATGAGTCACTGCACAGAACTAGTGATGGTCGAAATGCCATCTAGATTATTCTTATAGGGGGGGGGGGTAAGGGGTCAGCCAGCCTCCAGTCACATCTTCCTGACTTTGCACTTACATAAATTGAAATTTTGTAGCCATTTGCCCGAGTACACTTAAAACTTATCTAAGTTTTCTTGAACCCTCCTGCCGCCCTCACTTATCCTAATTCTCATCAACTTTGCGTCATCAGCAAACATTGACACAAGTAGTTTAGTTAATCAGTAATGCCGCATATATATATACTGGGTAGAGCATGAACCCCCAGCACTTATTCTTGAGGGAGCCTCAGGGACTACCCTTCCCGATGCTAATTAGTTCTGCGTTAATCTGTTTTCTGTCTGGTAATTTTCCCATCATTTAGTACTGCGGCAGTTACTCCGGCCTGGTTCTCTAGCGCGCACAGGCTACGTGTGTTTGGGAGCTCTCACGATATATCAGTCATTTCCCAAAGAGTCTGAAACACTTCTCAGAAGTACTGTGGAGACCTGTCAAAGTCCGTGAGACACACTCAGCTGCTACAGACGCCGGTCTGGAGTACATCCGCTTGGGGAAATTTTTCTGCGTTGCGACATACAATTGTTCCAAATACTCTCCTCCTCCTCCCCCTCTCTCTTTATTATCTTCCTTCACTCCCTCCTCTATATAATTCTTCTGTTCCTGTTTCTTACCAAACCGTTTCTTACCAAACTGTTGTCAGAATGTTGTACATAATTCTGCGCATTTCGAGTAATACGATCGTTGAAACTATTCAGTTCGTGCAAAGGGAACATCTATCCGGTTGCCAAGTATTTTCAACGTCGTTCTCAAGAACAAGTAGCTTTAAGGGTTAGATTAATGTTATTCACATATACTTTATTGTTCCCTGAAAAAGTTGGTGTACAATCATTTGGACAGGCCCTAGCTAGCCTCTGGTATTTACTACACCAGGTCACCAAAGTGGGGATGTTCCGCAAGAGATGTTCGACCATACCGCCTTATGGTGCAATCACTTCACAGAGCTAATTGCAGACGACAACCTGGAAGGTTCAGATATTGTACTTAACGTTTTCTTCAATGAGGTGGCGAGAATTTCCATAAACTCCAGGTCTCTTAAGCTTACAAACTGGTTCTTTATTCCAGACCCTATCAAATGCTCTAGGAATAGCCAAGACTCTGGCATGTTTCCTTTCCAGTCAAGACGTCTCCATCAACTGAAGTAATAAATCTTATTAAAAATGTGCGTTTTTTATCTTTATAACAAAATTGTTTGTTTTTAAAGAAATCAGAAGCACATTGAATTATTATTAATTTGAATAAATTTTAGGTCTGTATATACTGATCAAAAGGTCCCCTTTTGTTTCCCCAAATCTCGCTATTTCTTGACCATAAAAGGATCTACATTGCATTTTTTTCCTCAATTTGCTGCAACCTGTTATTAACTTTATTTAGTATATACAAGAAAAAGTTCATGCTATTTGAATTTCTCATCCCTCGGCTATAAACAAATGAGGAACAATGCTTGTGCTTGACTCGGAAGATCTCTCTCTCTTGAGCATATTATCAGACCAGTGGAAGAAAACTCTCGTATCACATCCATTCAAACACTCGTTTCTCCGCATTGATACATCTTATTTTCAAGTTCATATTTTTAGTCGTGTGTCTGTAATCATTACAGGCGTGTGTCTATGTGAAAGTTTAGCGTAATTTATCATGAAACCTATAGTATTATGTGTGGAAGGGTGGGGGGTGAGAGGCTTAAGTCACGTAATGGGTTGAAGGATAGTGGTGGGATTACTATTATAGCTGGTTAAAGGCGTAGGAATAATGACAAAAACAAAACCGTGGGTCCCAGGAGCTGACATTCGCCCGGTGAGGAGATATCGACGAGCACGCTGGAACATGCGTGAGCTATATGTTTAACAGATCTCTAACCCTGTCCATGGAGGACAGAAGAAAATGTATATATGCTGGTTAGCATTGTAAATGTGTGGCCACGTCTGTGGTAGAATAATAACAATAATAATAATAATAATAATAATAATAATAATAATAATAATAATAATAATAATAATAACTTCCCCTAATTCACACGGCACCAGACAAGGTGTTTACACTGATGAACAAATCCACAAGGGCCGTGTTGTGGATTCGAACCTGCGTCCTGTTTACCTGTTTACACTGATGTCAGTGGTGCCCCTCACCTGGCCTGGGAAACCTCAGCCGGGCTCCTTGTCATTGGGGGTAACTGAAGCCTAACACCCTCTTCTCTTCCTCTGACACTCTGCACACCTGTCTGTCCTCTAACTCACAGCTATACGGACCATGACCCTGGTTCGTGACACACCAGTTGATTGACAGTTGAGAGGCGGGACCAAAGAGCTAAAGCTCAACCCCCGCAAGCACAACTAGGTGAGTGCATGTCCTCTCTCACCCGTGCCACGACCCTGCTAACAAACTATGTATCCATCTTATGGTTTATCTCTCATGCCATATCCAATATACATACATAGATATTTATTTATTTAAACTTATTTCATCAATTATGTATAAAGAAATATTCTTATAAATTATAAACTAATTAGATTTGTCATCTCTAATTATCAAGATCGTAGAGTCTAGAGTCTTCCATCACATATTATTGTTCTCCCACGTACTCAAATGCCCCTGCCATCTCCCCTGCCCCGCCTCACCCCCCCTCTCACACCACCACCCAACACGGGCAGGGAGATAACAACGATCACGGGTATATGAAAAAGCAGCTGAAAGATACGCCTCAGTCTTCTACCGCACTGTGGGTAGTGAAATCGTCAATCGTCCGTCCATCGCCATACGCCAGTTACCAACAGGTGAATCAAACCACCACAAGCATCATCGGTAAAAATGGGTCAGCGTGTGTGTGCAGCATTTCCTGTGCTTCGTCCACCATTTTGTTTCCCTGTGCGGTGAGACGAGTAATAATGTTTCTAAACTTTACCTAAAGCCAAAAACTGTCGTACTAGAAAATGGCAGTTTCGGGAAACTGACATACTGTCCCGTTTTCTGTTTGCCATACTGTCCCGTTTTCTGTTTGCGAGTCCTTTGGTAGGTATAAGGCATTCCGATTGATTGATTGATAAAGATTAAGCCACCCAAGAGGTGGCACGGGCATGAATAGCCCGTAAGTGGTACAATTTTTTTTTTCCCAGTATTCTGAGGTTGCATTTAACCATCAAGCTGTTATCGTGGGGGAGGATACTGCTTCACAGTCTTTATGAGGGTGTCCAGCTGCTGGACACCTTTGTTGACCAGGAGAGTGGCTGTGTTGATGGCTTCAGGGTGGCCACTGCATGATTCAGGAACTCTTAAAGCTCTTCTAAGGTCATTGGTTGCTTCACATTCCAGAAGATAGTGAAGTAATGGCTTAAGGCATTCCATTCACACGGGCTTTATGTAATAATGGACTTTAGTACGACAATTTCTTAATGTTGGGAACGCTGGCGAGAACGGGCTGCATAATGCCCAGATGTGAGTTGTGTCTCTAGTCACAGTCTAAGGAGTCTTACCTTGCTGATGACATTGTCAGTCAACTTATATGGTTGCATGCCATGCCGTCAATTTTAAGCCGTTTCTTGGAATAGTTAAAGAAGGGTTAGCTAATCTAAACTAGCTCTCTTTTTCAGGTTTAGTAAATTTGTTGTTACAGCGCCATGTTGGAGGCGAGGTCGTGCGCTTGGCTTGCTGGCCTCTGGTTCGTGGCTTCCCTTGGTCACGTACACACACAAGATTCGCTGAGTAAGTTTTCACAACGGCTTTTGAGATCTTTATTAACCTTGTGTATTGTTGTTATTATTATTATTATTATAAGTAGTAGCACCATTAGTAATAATAGTAGCAGTAGTAGAAGAGTAATAGTAAGGATATTATTGTTTTAATAATATTGGTTCCTTTAGTGCAGATCTGCCATGCCAACATTAGTTTCGTAATATAATTTGAATATTATCATGCTGTAAAAATATACTGTGTTTATGCGAAGTAAATGTTCAGAAAAATGGTACCCGTATTTATGACTACGTCTTTGTTTTGGAAGCCGACCTCAATGGGACTGACCTCGATCAGTCTATGGCAGTCCCCTACACAAGACCATTCACCTGCAAAGTTGGGTGAGGTTAGCGCCAAGCGTCTGGCCTCCAATTTGGGATCGACAGCCAGACATTCTCTTATATATACATATTGATCTTACTGAAGGCGGAGATCAAACTGTTACTTCAATCATCAATTTCTGTGTCTGTATCGTAATTGTTTAATCTGATTTATGAGACCAGCTTGTACCTGAGAACAGTAAGAATGGAATTCTAACAAAAATTGTATTCCCAAATTCCAGCTTAATAAACCTTATTTTCATTATTAAGGGTTGAAAAACAAAACTGGCAGAAAGACAATCGCGGAATTCATAAGAGTTGTGAAAATGTTATTTAGGAAACGATGATAAAGTTCCGGTGGATTACCTGTTCTGTTTGAATCTGGAAATGAACGAGCAGATGTACTGGCTGCTGAGAGCGCTGACGGAGACCATACTGAACACTTCACTCCCAAAGATTCTTCTGTAAATTAGAGGTATCATCAGACAACAGCATCACGACAAGGTAACCGAGGAATGAAGAATGGAAAACCGGCAGTGAATGTGTACGTTGGTACAAGGCAGTTGCAATCGACAACTCGAATCATCTTAGACGAAAAGGAGGTGACCGAGGGAAAGAATCTTTAATAGCCAGAATTCGTTTTGGATACAAGTATCTATGGAGATTCAAGACTGAAAAATACAGCTGTATAGCAGAGTTGCAGAATCTACGGTACCCACCTAAGAACTGTACCCACTAATGAGACGCTAAATATTGATAAATGTTGCACCTGCAACGTAACATAAGTTTAAGGGTTAATCAATATTAATCTCCTTGTGTGACGATCAGATCGCTTGAGACATTTAAGCGAGTCAGCTGCGCCTGGGTACAATAACAGCGGGTTTCCTTCCCCTAATCCCTGTGAGTGAATGTGTTCACTCACACGATGAGTGACGCTGCCCAATAAACTCTACCTTCGACGCAAAATTAATACAAATTAGAATTTAAACTTCATCATGAATTCTTAAATCGGGTCGGTCCAACTAACACCGATCACACACACTAGCAGCAACACTGTACAGTAACACACTAGCAGCAACACTGATACTGTCAAATAATACAACAATTACAGATGAGCGGATATTAGCTTAGATAGTGTTCTAGTAATGATTACCCACTGTCGGGGACAGGTACCCAACGGTAGACTGTTCCCAGGATGGAACCCACAACAGTTGCTCGACTTCAGGCTACCTACTGGTAGGTGAACAACCATCCATAAATCGATCCAAGGAACAAATGGTTGCGAGCCGACAGTGCTGAACCCGTAAAACCCGAAAATTACCAATGTAATACACGACCCAGACATATTTAGTGTACAGTTTGTAATATAGTGAAGAACTGTAAGCTCCTTAATACCGTAGGCCTACATTATATATTTATTTACAAGAAGGAACGTGTAAGGCACGTTAAGGCAAGGAAGGTCGTGTAAGCAAATACCTTGGTGTTTAAGTGGTACTTGTACTAATATATCCAGGGGTCTCATGATGTTTAACAAAGTTTTACACTTAAGTAAAACATTTAAATGTGTAATAAACTTGTTTCAGGGAAAAAATTAACGATCACATACAATTCATCAATTAATGAAATAACCGAACAAAACAGGTCGTACTTGAAGCTATGATGATTCGAGCGGATGATTGTTCAACCAATGATGACCTAATCTTGAACAACTTTCCCTTTAATCTACAGATACCCAAATCTTCGTAGTAATTGTTATAAAAGCCGTATAAACAATTGATTGCTAAAACATTGCAAACCAATTATAATACATATTGATGAATAATCACATGTTACTTACAATAGAACTGTAATATTTATTTGTGTTTTCAGGTCTGAGTATTATGAATGTTTCGGTTACTACGACCAGTGAACCTCCACCGGTCAAGGTCTGCTTTACTGGAATTACTATGGATATCTCAGGTGAAATACTGATTTATCTCAACTGCGGGGATTCAACTTCAAACGAAGATTCCGTTGAAGGCACAACAGTTACCAAAAATAATGATGATAAGAGTATTTGTTCTGAACATTTAATGACCTTAGCAATATATAAGCCTAATCTCAACTGCATTATTACGGTATATAATAAAGACAATCCAGATTTACAAGAACACGGAGAAGTTATATTCGACATGCCAGGTAAGATTTGTGTATAACAGTTGTAGACAACGATCATACTAAGCAGTCATATTTCAGAGACAAAGTTTATACTTGTTACCCATCCAAGTGGAGACCCCCAAGTGGCGGCTCATTCTCCATCTCTCTCCATACTTTAAATCTAACAATGAGGATCCTAATGATTAAGGCCAAGAATTACTACAAGTGTATTACAAGTTAGGTGCTGTTTCCTTGCTCAGCTTATTTTAAAGCCTGGCCCAAGTAATTGTTAGGGAATGGTTGTATAGGTTACAACTTCAGCCAAGATGTGGTCAGATTGGTTAAAACTTTAATGTTAGTGAATACTCATAAGGTATAGAGTGAATTTGGAACTATTTGTTAGCCAGGACTCATTGCGTAAATTGACTTTATATATTTAATATACATTTTTTAGTGTGAACAATAAATTTACATATATAATTTATTTATACGCAATTTGAATTGAGACACACTAATACACGTTTAAAAATATCTGAAAATGCAGTTAGTTTTTTGGGCTGCTTATTATTTTGTCAAATGAAATTATATCAGTTTACTTTCTCCGTTTTTTTTTCAGCTAAAGAAAATTTCCCAGATTGTACTTTCGGAGGCAAATGGACGGACCTAAACTTGTTGGCATTACTATGCCAACCCGTAGGTGATCCCAACTTCAACTTGCTCTCCGAGGATGGTTTCACCAGGGTAGTGGACTCTACCAATATCATATACTATACAACAACAACCACACCCATCGCAACATCTGTCTCCCTCTGTATGGACGAAGAAGGTAGCACTGTGAATAACAATCCAGCGACTTTGAAACTGTGCAGCGGCAGTGTTACAGTGTCTGACTTTACCGCAACAGGTAAATTCCCTCGCGTATGCTTGCCTAATATTGTGTGACGGCGTATAAGAAACATCACAGAATATCCAACACTGTCATGATTGTGCATGTTTCACTGTGTGGTTAATTGTGATGTAACAACAAGGGCGAGACCACTGCAACAATGACTGGAGAGCTTAGGATATATTTTATGTATACATACATAGTATACTGTATATGTGTATGTGACACATACCGTGTACAGAGCGTAATACTTTGTAACTCATACCGTATGCATATGTCTGATTGCCTATTTGAGATTTAAGTACGACCATGTTCGTGGCGATCTCACTTTTTGTATGGAATATTTTACATTATACTTTCCTTGTGACATTATCATACTGCCTCTTGGAACCCATTCCAGATATCTGCCACTGTTTCCAGTAACAAATTGCTTCTCATTGTCACTAATGCATCGTTTACACAGCAAGTTCAAATTATGGCGACATGATCTATCTGTTGATAGCTTCAAAACTTTTCCTTGTGTATGTATACCTCATATCCTTTTATCATGATGTGTGGTGCCATAGGGCATCTAGCCTGATGGTCGTCTCGTTTCTTCTTGAGCTTCAGCTCTTTAGTCCCGCCTCTCAACTCTCAAGGATACAATCAATTTGGGGCAGTGGGTTCACTTATGTTGAATAAAATTTAAGAAAAAATGCATCTCCCTCTTCCGTCGAGCACCTTTTAAACCAAAGAGAACAGGTGCCACGTTTGAACTCTGTGATTGGAAGAAATATTCTTGATAAAGAAATCGACCAATCAGAGCAATGGTTGACCAAAACATCTCACCACCATTGGTAACGAGAGTTCTAATGTGTGATGGAGCGCCTTCCAGCATTGTACTGACTTCATCTGACTAGGAAGAATAGGTCTGGACAGTGAGCAGTGAATCCTAGTAGTCCTCCTAGGTGCCAAGACACAAGAGGTACTAAGATGTCTATAAGTCTTATTCTTGTAGAAGGCTTCTTTACCTTGTTGAACCAACGGTTAATCTTTATCTCTTCTACTTCTCTCCTGGACGTTAACGGGTGCGAGATTATGTACTGTTGTAGCCTCCGTGTATTGATATGTTGTGATTACATTCGTCGTCCTTTCCTATAGCTAGGCCTCTTACTAGGTGTTCGAAGGAATCCTCTTACCTTCTTGCAATTCCATCTTCCTCTGTTCTAGTTATTCCTTCTCTCTTTATCCTCGATTATGTAGTCAAATACTAACATCATGAATGAATGATGTTGAATGAACATCAGGGTTCATGCTGCTGGTTCACTCTCTCCACTCCCCTTGTCCACGTTATGGATTGCTTCCGGAAGTGCATATCTGAAGTATCCACTAATTTTGTCCTCCATATATCTTTCCCTCCATGGAAATCCTTCGTTACCCAGTTTCTTTGAGAACAAAGAGTTTAGCCACCGACCAACATATTACTCTCTCTATGGAGTTAGATTATTTCCATTACTCTTCTCATGCTCCTTCATATTGTTCCTGCTATTAGGTGAGGGATTGTTCATGACCATTGATACAATCTTTTTTGTCCTCTATGGTTACCATGGTTATGATGTAGTCGTGTGACATAGTCACATGTGTGCCTAAGTTATTCGTTATGACATTCGCATTTGTGTGCATTGTTAAAATTATTTGTGTTAATAACATTAACAACACCGTTCAGTGTTATTGTGGGATTATATCCTTGATACAATATTATCTGGAATTGGCGGGTAGGAGAGACTAGTTTCTTTAGGTTATTCTTGTATGTGTGTATTCACGTAGATGTATTTACAAGTTCGAGCAATAGCTCCCACACTCAAACTTTTCTACAAATTAAATAATATAGTGGCTTTTATTCCTCGTGTTTCTCGTCCGATTGCGATTTGAAACTGCTCTTTGAATTTGCCTCAATTTCTTCCTGTAAGCTATTCCTCTTGCTTGCAACTCTTACTCGGAAGAAGCTTTTAGACTGATCGCTGTACAAGGCCTATCGGGGACCAAGATCAAGGCCAGAAATTTCCTTGCTTCTAAAATTCAGATGTTTAATATCCATTATAATTTGCAGGCAGTGATCCGCTGGTCGCGAATCTGAAGTACGAACCAAGTACTTCAAATACTGGTACTCTTGAAGTATCAGGCGCTAAAGATTGTGACACTAATACATGCGACCTCCTAACAAAGAACAATGATTACGTAGCAACAACAGCAGCAACGCCATCAACAACACTTACCAACCTTATTACTAGGACTTCCCCGCCCTCGAACACAGACTACCTCGTTCTACAGTATTCAATGGACAGTTCCACCGGCGGCTTCAAACAGAGCCAATATGGAGTGCATACAGGTAAGAACTGGTATATTATAACAGTTCATCCATTAATCAACGCTATATTTGTTTAGGCAAATGTGTGATATATATTAAAGGGAACTTTGTGCTTATAATCTGATAACAAACGAAGACAGTATCACATTTTGGTAAATTTATAACACAAATTCTGGTTCTTTTTTTTCTGGTGCTTGTATTATTACCATTCGTTAATTCTACATAAGCCTATTCTCCAATAGGATAATGATTTATGTTTGTAATATATTTTTACAATGTTTAATTTATGGACGATATTTTCAAATTGCCTCAATGCATAGACTTTAAAATTATTGCTCTGGCATATATTTGTGACAGTTTCTTTTTTAAATTATTCAGTGTAGCCTCCTGGAGATCGTTTTTGCAACCAATTTTGAAAATTGCTCGGTGTAACCTTCTGGTTGGTATTAAAATTGCTGTTGCTAAACCCTGGGTCTTCAATATGTTGCGGTTATGCAACAACTGAATTAAATTATTTACCAAACACTGGTAAGTTGACGGCTGAGCTGTCATACTGAATAAGTTTGCTCCGGCGCCAGTAGTCTGCCAAGATGGTCACACTGCGCCAAGAACACAGTGTTCTCGTCTCCCAGAGCACACTAAACACAAGCACACTAGAACCTTAGTAGGCTACTGGTGCCTCAGGTAACATACACAAAGAACATGAAACAGATAAACTGGCCCATACGAGGCAGCTCCCATTTATATCCATCCAATCTCATTCATATTATATATATATATATATATATATATATATATATATATATATATATATATATATATATGTATGTATGTATGTATGTGTGTGTGTGTGTGTGTGTGTGTGTGTGTGTGTGTGTGTGTAATTACCTAAGTGTAATTACCTAAGTGTAGTTACAGGATGAGAGCTACGCTCGTGGTGTCCCGTCTTCCCAGCACTCTTTGTCATATAACGCTTTGAAACTACTGACGGTCTTGGCCTCCACCACCTTCTCACTTAACTTGTTCCAACCGTCTACCACTCTATTTGCGAAGGTGAATTTTCTTATATTTCTTCGGCATCTGTGTTTAGCTAGTTTAAATCTATGACCTCTTGTTCTTGAAATTCCAGGTCTCAGGAAGTCTTCCCTGTCGATTTTATCAATTCCTGTTACTATTTTGTATGTAGTGATCATATCACCTCTTTTTCTTCTGTCTTCTAGTTTTGGCATATTTAATGCTTCTAACCTCTCCTCGTAGCTCTTGCCCTTCAGTTCTGGGAGCCACTTAGTAGCATGTCTTTGCACCTTTTCCAGTTTGTTGATGTGCTTCTTAAGATATGGGCACCACACAACAGCTGCATATTCTAGCTTTGGCCTAACAAAAGTCATGAACAATTTCTTTAGTATATCGCCATCCATGTATTTAAATGCAATTCTGAAGTTAGAAAGCATAGCATAGGCTCCTTGCACAATATTCTTTATGTGGTCCTCAGGTGATAGTTTTCTATCTAGAACCACTCCTAGATCTCTTTCTTTATCAGAATTCTTTAAAGATTTCTCACATAATATATAGGTTGTGTGGGGTCTATGTTCTCCTATTCCACATTCCATAACATGACATTTATTAACATTAAATTCCATTTGCCAAGTGGTGCTCCATATACTTATTTTGTCCAGGTCTTCTTGAAGGGCATGACAGTCATCTAAATTTCTTATCCTTCCTATTATCTTAGCATCATCAGCAAACATGTTCATATAATTCTGTATACCAACTGGTAGATCATTTATGTACACAATAAACATCACTGGTGCAAGAACTGAACCCTGTGGTACTCCACTTGTGACATTTCTCCATTCCGATACATTGTCTCTGATTACTGCCCTGATTTTGCCCTCAGTGTGTGTGTGTGTGTGTGTGTGTGTGTGTGTGTGTGTGTGTGTGTGTGTGTGTGTGTGTGTGTGTGTGTGTGTGTGTGTGTGTGTGTAAACTACGCTTGAAACAATACACCGATCCCACGTTTATTACAGACCACAACTCGGCCATCAATATATTAATCAACGCCTAGAACCATCTTAAGACAACGCCAATAGCACCTGCCAGCTCGATTACCCAATAATAACCTCTCAGGTCATATGTGAAGAGCTGAGAGACCCAGGTCGATAAGGGTCAAAGTGACGCGTCATAGGAAGGCACCTTCGGGATATTATAAATAAAAAAGTTTCTAGATTCATTTCAGTCATATTTATCATGCAACTGGTTGCTAAAAACAGACTTCCGAGTGCACTAATACAGTTACATGTTCAAAACACCTGGAGTGAGAGTGTGTACACAATACTGGAACACAAGGGTATAGGGCAGCATGATCCTGGCTGCCATTTATGCTGGACCACTACATGGTCTTCGATGCCCTGGAAGTCAGGGTAATATACTAGTGTCTCTCGCAGGGTAATGTACTAGTGTCTCTCCCAGGGTAATGTACTTGTTTCTCCCAGGGTAATGTACTTGTTTCTCCCAGTGTAATGTACTAGTGTCTCTCCCAGGGTAATGTACTAGTGTCTCTCCCAGGGTAATGTACTTGTTTCTCCCAGTGTAATGTACTAGTGTCTCTCCCAGGGTAATGTACTAGTGTCTCTCCCAGGGTAATGTACTTGTTTCTCCCAGTGTAATGTACTAGTGTCTCTCCCAGGGTAATGTACTAGTGTCTCTCCCAGGGTAATGTACTTGTTTCTCCCAGTGTAATGTACTAGTGTCTCTCCCAGGGTAATGTACTAGTGTCTCTCCCAGGGTAATGTACTTGTTTCTCCCAGTGTAATGTACTAGTGTCTCTCCCAGGGTAATGTACTAGTGTCTCTCCCAGGGTAATGTACTTGTTTCTCCCAGTGTAATGTACTAGTGTCTCTCCCAGGGTAATGTACTAGTGTCTCTCCCAGGGTAATGTACTTGTTTCTCCCAGGGTAATGTACTTGTTTCTCCCAGTGTAATGTACTAGTGTCTCTCCCAGGGTAATGTACTAGTGTCTCTCCCAGGGTAATGTACTTGTTTCTCCCAGGGTAATGTACTAGTGTCTCTCCCAGGGTAATGTACTTGTTTCTCCCAGGGTAATGTACTAGTGTCTCTCCCAGGGTAATGTACTTGTTTCTCCCAGGGTAATGTACTAGTGTCTCTCCCAGGGTAATGTACTAGTGTCTCTCCCAGGGTAATGTACTAGTGTCTCTCCCAGGGTAATGTACGTGTCTCTTTCAAGATAATGTACTTGTCTCTCCCGGGGTATTGTACGTGTCTTCCAAGATCATGTACTAGTGTCCCCTCCCAGGGTACAAGGAATGTACTTATGTCCCTCAGGGTACTGTACCCGTCTCCCTCAGGGTACTGTACCCGTCTCCCTCAGGGTACTGTACCCGTCTCCCTCAGGGTACTGTACCCGTCATCCTCAGGGTACTGTACCCGTCTCCCTCAAGGTACTGTACCCGTCTCCCTCAGGGTACTGTACCCGTCATCCTCAGGATACTGTACCCGTCTCCCTCAAGGTACTGTACCCGTCTCCCTCAGGGTACTGTACCCGTCTTCCTCAGAGTACTGTGCCCGTCTCCCTCAGGGTACTGTACCCGTCTTCCTCAGAGTACTGTGCCCGTCTCCCTCAGGGTACTGTACTTGCCCCAATACTCTCACGTTCTTGACTCTGACGTAGACAAGTACATAAACTATAGTGCTGTACCATCTCTCGCGGACGAAGCTACAAGTATATAAAATACAAAAATTAGAAAGCCTGTTCGAGGACCGGGCCGCGGGGACACTAAGCCCCGAAATCATCTCAAGGTAAGGTAGAAATACAAGAGACCCACAAACTGACGTAAGTAAAGTTTTCCTATTGACCTCAGGAAACAGTACGATGTTTAACGACGATAAATTCCAGCTCTTCCGCGTGGGAAAATTAAATAAATTGATACTTTCAAAATAAAATCTTAATGGCCAACCCTCAAATAAATATAAGATAATTCTACACTGTTGGTAATATTCGGTCTTCACTTACGTAAGGTCTCAGCACAGAGACCGAAATATTAAATTCCTTCTTACTTATTTTTAAAATAGTGTGTGTTAGTGCTACGTATACATGTGTGTATGTGTATTTGTTGTGTTAATATAATTTTGGACAGGTGTTTTAATTATAAAATTTGTTGAAGATATGACGTTTTTTCAGATTATGACGTCAAAACAACTGTCATAGAAACTGACATCTTGGAAGTATATTGGACGAGCGCTGATGATACTTCCTACGGAATGTCTTATACAGATGCTGGTGGCAGTACTGTTTCAGCAACAGTACTGTGTGCTGTTGCTGATACTTACTGTTTTGGTTACTTTGTGAAAGTTCCAGCTGATACATATTCAGTTTCGGTGTCATCAAGTAATGGAAAAAACGTCATTACTGTGCCATCTGTTGCAATACCGTCGCCGGCGCCGAAAAATGAAGGATACCAAGGTAAAGCTGGTCCCTTGTCCTCCCGATGATAAACGAATGCACTACCAATATAGCTTGCATGTATCTGAATAAATATGGCGCTTATTAATAAAAAGAAAACTTTTATTACATCTAGTTTTTGTATATTTGCTCATTTATGAGGCATTTGTTTATTAGTATTTTTTTTTTACAAACAACATTTAGTTGAAAGTTTAATTCCCTCACAACGTGTTTTCTGTTTACTGCGGTTTACGTAAACTTTCTTCCTTGCACCTTGCATCGTATTCCACACCTCATTCTGTTTACACACACACATACGCCTCCAGCTCCCCCGTCTACTAACAGAGTACCTCTGTGTCTCCCCCGTAGACCATGCACCACAGATGAAGCTCAATCAATATGAACACTGTGGGCCGGTATTTTCAAGAACGCAAATGGCGTCACGAAAAGTTGAGTAGAACATCATATAGAAGAATTTTGAAGCTGCAATCACAAATTACAGCGATAGTCGATTCCAAATATTTCGGGGCGGTTATCAGGTGGCGAGGAACGAAAACAATTCTAAATAGAGTTTCGATGAAATGTAAACGCAAGGAATAAATTAGTGATATAAATGCGTTATATAAATTATAATGGTGGGAAATCAGTTGTTGGTGATATAAGGCATACACAACCCACCCGTGAACAATAAAAAAACAAAAATGGAATGTGAACGCTAAAACATAGACAATAGTGGAATGAGCAGCAGTAACAGACTGACACAAGGGCAAAATTATTGATACTTGGTTATTCTAATCACAGACATTGACTGGGTGATGAAAGACTCTCATGGAGGGTAATACACAGAGATGAAAAATAATATACACAGTAGACGGTTTTTGTGCACTGCATGTGAGGAGAGCAGGAAGGGACGGAGGTAATGCCGAAACAGCATTATTAAACATAGCGTTTACATAGAACAAAACACACAACAAAGGTAAAATATAAAAAATGTATGAGAGCCATATGCCACCGTACCATTTTCAAATATAACTGAAGAACAGAAAAAAGCAGTTTTAAGAATAAAATACAAAATGTTCAAGGCGGATTACACGGAAATAATGATTTTTCTGACGACCATGGAGTGGGAATGGAAATCGAAAACGTAGATAATGGAAGCACCGGACCAAGATATGCACAGTGGCAACTGAACGACCAATCCCATTCAGGTGTCAAGAGGAGGTAGTCAATTTTAGAAACACCAGTAGGGCTAGATATATATCAAGGGTCAAAAGTACAATTGGAAAGTACTAAGGAAAGCTTCGGAAATAACGTGACAAGACCATATAATAGCGTATTAGAGACAGGGAAACTTCCAAAAAATACTCTTATACATTTTTTTAAGATAGGATAAAGATTGAAGGTATTAAATTACGAGTCAGTGTCCCTCACAGCCATCACTTAAAAGATAAAGGATAATATAATTAGGCAGAGAATAGGTGAACATCTGTAAAAAAAAAAGGAATTCATAATCGAGAAACGACACAGGTTCGAACTTAACTGACTTTTATGACAATGAGCTCAAGGACCACAGACCCCAATATGGAGGAGGCAAGTGGTGGTTTTACTGCCGCACACACTCTTACGTACCTTTAATACCTTCCCGGGACATCGATAAGGTAGTCAATAGTGCTCCAACCCCACGTCCGAATCATATGAACTGTAATTCACTCTAACGCAGCAATAAGCTTTCAAATTACTACAGTAAATCTTAGGAAAATATTGAATACAAAATACAAAAAATCTAAAATTAATTTAAGTGTAGAGATATAGAAGGTTAAGCTCATCAGAGTTTGGTTCTGTTACGGACGGTCAACTTGGCCGTAACTTTTTTACTGTATTCATTGTAATGTGTTGTAGGAGTGAACGTCCGAATATTATTAACGTTAATTCCATCTGTCTAACTATATTTGTTTTTATACTTTTACATAAATCTATAATTATAAGATAATAATTGTAATTAAATAAGCTGAAAAAATCGAGAGAAGCGCACATATTTGATCTTGCTTACCATTCTGTATCTTTTCTTGCAGATGTAGTAGCTACATTGACAATAGATACTTTTATAATTACATCGGTTGCAACACCATCTACAATAACGGTATGCTTCGGTAAAGGTGACTTGCCTCTAACACCGCTCAAAGAAAACGTCCACCTTACGTGTTCTGCCGGAACCCCGTCCGAGATTTCCAGTGAGGCAACAAGCGTTACTGCAGCAGCCGACAACAGTATCTTGTGCAGCACGCATAACATTCCAAGTGGTGACAACGTTCTTGATCCCAATCTTCACTGCATTCTGTCAGTAAATAACGAAAACCAAGTACCTCTTGGCTCCTCAGAAGTTATTCTGGCGATGCCAGGTAAGTGTGTGACTAATACATTAATTTGATTTACTTAAAAAATTATATGTAATGAAAATTAAAAGTACAGTTCTAGCTCGAAACAACTGATAATACCAAAATATAAATAATGTGATTAAAAATCACTAGCAATTGGATTTAGACATAAGAACATTAGACCTGTTACCACAGGCGAAAGCAGAATTACTTATCAAAGTTTTAGGATTCATTTTGTGCACGCAAGTCTAACAATTTACTAACAAAAAATTTGTTCCAAGCAGAATACATCCAAGGATTGTAAATGTAAAATTTATAATTAATTCCAAGCAAGTTCATCTCCTCGAAATGTTAAGTGCTGTATGTTCTGCACAACCACATGAAGTGCCAAGAGTTGTAAAATTCATTCACTATAGGTCAAACACCTGAGGTGTATTTTAAAACATATTGGATGCATTTTAAAACATCTGGGAGTGTATTTGAAAATACAAGTGGTGTGTTTTAATTTAAAACACATGGGGTGTAATTTAAAATACCAGCGGTGTTTATCAAAACACATGGGATGTATTTTAAAACACATGGGGTGTATTTCAAATACATGTAAAATGTATTTTAACCTGGGGTATGTTTAAACTATGAGAAGAGAAAATTCATAACAAAAATACCATGGAAAAAAGAACTCTGAGTAATGTATATACAAGCCATGATGGATTACGTCACACAAAAGTGTCAGGAGTTTATCCTGACATGGATAAACAAAGTGTCAGGAGTTTATCCTGACAAGTTTATCCCGGTCAAAAAAGAAAAAAAAAGAAAAAAAAGATGAATATATGATTTAATCTAAAATGCGTGGAAGCAAGAACACTACATACAAGGGCGTGGAGAAGCTACTGAAATAACATTACTCCAGAGAGCAGAGGGCCAGAATGAATACCTCATTGTGAGAAGAGAAGCAGAGAGACAGTATGAAAATGTCATTGGAAACAAAGTCAAGACCGACCAAAAACTGCTCCACAATCACATCAGGAGGGAAAAACAGTGAAAGAACAGGTGATGAAACTGAGAACGGGTGAGGACAGTTACACAGAGAATAATAAAGAGGTGTGTGAAGAACTTAACAAGAGATTCCAGGTGCTCACAGTAGAAAGAGGAGGGGTCCCTGAACTAAGAGAGGAGACAATAAACCAGGCAGCTTCGGAAGGGTTTGAAAATACGAGAGATGTAGTTAGGAGGGATCTGTTGCATCTGAACACGAGAAAGGCTGTTGGACCTGACAGAATCTTTTCATGGATAGTAAAAAGAGTGTGCAGAGGCACTTTGTTTGCCACTCTCTATGGTGCACAATAAGTCACTGTAAACAGGAGACCTACCAGAAATATGGAAGACAACTAATGTAAAGCCAATACTTAAATTAAGGGTGACAGGCAAGAGGCACTGAACTACAGGCCAGTGTCCCTAACTTGTATACCATGCAAAGTGATTGAGAAGATCGTGAGTAAAGACCTAGTAACACATCTGGAGAGAAGGGACTTCGTGACAACCCATCAACATGGGTTCAGGAAGGGTAAATCTTGTCTTACAGGTTTAATAGAATTATACGACCATGTGACAAAGATTAAGCAAGAAAGAGAAGGGTGGACAGACTGCGTTTTCTTAGAATGTCGGAAAGCCTTTGAGACAGTACCACATAAGAAACTGGTGCATAAGTTGGAGAATATGTAGGAGTAACTGGTAGAGTGCTCCAGTTGATAAGGGAGTACCTAAGCAATAAGAAGCAGAGAGTTACTGCGAGTGGTGAGACCTCAGAATAGCGTAATGTCACCAGTGGAGTCCCACAGGGTTCTGTACACAGACCTATCCAGTTTTTTATATATGTAAATGATCTTCCAGAGGGTATAGACTCATTCATCTCAATGTTTGCTGATGATGCAAAAATTATGAGAAGAGTTAAGACAGAGCAGGACAGCATGAGGCTACAAGATGACCTGAATAAACCATGGAATGGTTCAACAAATGGCTATTAGAGTTTAACGCGAACAAGTGTAAAGTAATGAAGATAGGCATAGAGAGCAGGAGGCCGGATTCAAGGTACCATTTGGGAAATGAAATCCTTCAATAATCAGGGAGAAATACCTGGGGATTAATATCACGTCAAACCTGTCCCCTGAAGTCCACATCATGAGGATATCGTCAGCATCATATGCTTGGTTGGCCAACATAAAAAAATGCCTTTAGAAACTTGTGTAAGGAATCATTTAGAATCTTATATACCACATATGTCAGACCAATCATGGAGTATGCTGCTCTAGCTTGGCGTATGGATTCATTTTGTACTATAGTCAAGTACAAGACTAAACTGCAGAACGTTCAAAGGTATGTCACCAGACTAGTACCCGAGCTGAGGGGTATGAGCTACGCGACTACGGGAACTGAACATCACATCGCTGGAAGACGAGAGTTGGGGAGACATGATCACTACATACAAGATTCTCAGAGGAATTGATTGAATATTTAAAAACAAACCATTTAATACATGTGGTACACGTATAAGGGGACACAGTGGAAACTGGGTACGTAAGTGAGCCACAGAGACATTGGAGAGAACTTTTTAATCAGAGAAGTTAATAAATGTAATGCAATGATGTAGTGAAGGCAGACTCCGTACATAGTTTAAAGGGTAGATTGAGCCCAATAGGATCAGGAATCTATATACCAGTTGATTGACGGTTGAGAGACAGGACCAAAGAGCCAGAGCTCAACCCCCGCAAGAACTAGGTGAGTACAACCCCTCCTCTCTGTCTACACACTTCCCGCCCCTCACGGTCTCCACACTCCGCCCCCCGCCCCGGTCTCGCTTCCACACCTCCTCCCTCTCCACCCCATACCCCTACCTACATCCCCCATCACTCTGTAACTATCTCCTATCACTATATTTCAGGAATTTATATCAGGAAATATTTCAGGAAATTAGGGAACACAGAAACGCAGTTACTGTCACACAAAGGCCAGAAAGCACGAGTATAAAGAGTTATGACATGTTTAGAACTGAGAATTATATGTACGGGACAGCATAAAACATCCACTAGACAGTGTGACATTGTAATTACCAGAATTTGGCTGGGATATCGATATCTATGGCAGGTGGCTGCAGGTTATGAATCCCCCAATGGTGAACATTCCAATTGTAAACTATGTGAAAAAAAGCTGGGACACACTCTCCAACACTATATCTGTGACTGCCCTGTTATCAGTGATTTCAGACCAAATGGCATGAGGTACTTTGAGCTCTGTAATTACTTCATACACTCACAAATATTGGAAGATATTCTTGTGCTGTACCCAGATTTTGCTAGTGGAGGATAATAGATCAGTCTTACATTTCATGTTCTCTCCTGATTCCATGTATAACTAAACATCCTGTGAGACGGAGATATTAGGTGAACTTATTGTTAGTTTTTATCTACACTGTGTAATCTTTCATACAAAATAGGGTAGCAGCACATCGCTGTGTATACCTAAGCTTGTTCATAAAAAAATATCCAATCACTGTAGCCAATCGCTTTTCCTTGGAACGCAAATCTGTCAAGTTCTACATATGCTAAAATCTACTGAATCGGAACTAAACATTTCAAATTCCCAGACCGTGAAGGACGGGGCATTGGGGCTGTGAATCACGGCTAACCCTCATGTTACTTTCTATAAATTCATATGACAAATTATTTTTATCGGAGAATCTAAACATTACGTTTTAATTATTTATTTCTCCTTGTTACAGGAGCATTATTCGACTGCTCATCACCATTTCTTATGAGTGAGGCGAATATAATGGGGATGCAGTGCAGTGCTCGAGGGGACATAAGTAATGTGGTGATTGATGTGGACACAGACTCATACCTTGTGCTTGATGTAACAGATGCAACGGCTGTATCTACTTCTTACATTCTTATTGGTAGTTCTTCAAAAGTACCCAGCATCGATAAAGACGTGTTAATATGCTATCAAGTGAATAATGGCGCTGCAACATCTGAATTCGTCAAAGTGTGTTCCTCTGCAGGTCTTAAAATAGATGCAACAAAAGGTAAGAATTTATGTATTTTGTAATTGCAATAAAATGAGGACTTTAAAAAGAGTTATTACTTTGTCAGGTTGAATAGCAGCTGATTGACTACCATCTTCCTTGTGGCTAAGAGCATCCATGGCCCAGTATGATAAACATTTCAGTGCTTGTTCACACCTGTACCATCAAGCTTCTTTTATACCTGTACTGTAATAAGGAAGAGGGGTTTGTTCAGTGACTCGAAGGTTCGGTGATGTGACAAATTATGTTACAATTTATATGTTTGATGCACTCATTGTGCAAGAATGTAACACTGCTGAATTTGTCTTCAATTCGAATGTAGTGTAATAGCTGAAGGCTGCTTCTATACACTGTACCGCAATGTTCTTAATGTTCAATTAGCATCGCTGAAGTTCATGAGGTGTTGCTCCTGGTGCCTGTGTGTTGCACAGTCATTGCTCGGGTTTTCAACACCGCAGACATAAGTAATTTCATAAACCCTTACATCTAAGTTTTCATGTTTCAACTTCACTTAGTTGGTCACAATTATTACAGGGAATAGTTTAAACCCTTGATGTGGTGACCCTGACCAAACCACACACTAGAAAGTGAAAGGACGGCGACGTTTCGGTCCGTCCTGGATCATTCTCAAGTCGTCACAATCGACTTGAGAATGGTCCAGGACGAACCGAAACGTCGTCGTCCCTTCACTTTCTAGTGTGTGGTTTGGTCAACATATTTCAGCCACGTTATTGTGATTCCTCGTCTGCATGTGGTGACCTTGTTTGTTTATATGTCTGCTTCTGTCGAGCGACCATATTTTGGAAGTATTGTGCACAACTCATATATTGGCTTCACTTCAGGTGTTGGTTATGGTGTCAATTGTTTGTATTATCACAAACATGAACTATCCTACTTGTTCAAAGTTCAGTTACTGTATATGTTCTTTTTTGCTCGCTTTTGAATTCTTTATTAACAAACTATTTAGGGTGTTTAGGGTTTAGGAAGGGATCAGTGACGTATTGACACTGGACATTAAGAAGCTGCTGACTACATATTCAAAAAAGCCTTAGAGAAAGAGTCCAATCACTATACCTCGTTTCGTCCTATTATTGAGAGAGTAAAAGTGAACGCTATTATTTGTGTAGGGTTGTGACTGTGATCCTGTCACCATCTGTCTTGTGACGTTGAACCTGTCACCATCTTCCTTGTTGACTTTGAACTTGTTTTACTATCTTTCATTACTATATATATAGGAAAGACTCGTGTATTTCTAAAGGAGCTGCAAAAAAGGCTCAACTTTAAATCATTTTTCTAAGTTTATCGTGGTATTGTGAACATTGCGAAGCCATTTAACATATATGAGTATGATGCTAGAGAATGATCTTGCTTAGAGTGATTAAATAAATAAATCAGCAATCATAATGCTAATTGGAGAAGTCATTACCATGACAAATTCTTGACAAAAGAATTAGAAGCCATTTCAATCAGAATAATTTTAATAACAGAGTTAATGAAGAAGAGCCTACCGAACACTTTACTAAACATGGCTCTATTCTGCGGCCCCAATTGGCTGCCAGACATAAAAGATCAAGATAAAGGATTGAACAGCACATTAATACATTTGTTGGCACAAAAATAAGGTGGTTAACAGATTCAGAATAAAACTCAGGAATACCTAGATTTAAAATGAAAACTTAAAAACGCAGTTTAGTGCAGGTAAGCGTAGGGCCCTAAGCCTGTTTAATTAACACAGAAATACTAGATAACAGGTAAACAATATTTAAATGGCTGAATTTCAATTGTGAGAAAAATGTGAGTCATGATAAATCTGAATCTGAATCCAAAATATAAAACCTTAAATGTTAGAAACTAGGCCATTGTGCTAGTATTTACATCTAGATGTGATATTTCTAGACATTTTATCTTTCAATAAGATCTCACCCTTGTGACATGTCACTTAGCACAGTTGATATTACGGTATTATAAAATGATGATATACAGTACAGTTTTGTTACGGTATTATAAAATGGATGCAACTTTTCTTGAAAGTATTTAAAGATGGGTTAGTTAATTCCAGGCATTAGGAACCTCCTTACGAAGAGGAACTGCAAACGTATTAAGATCTCTAATCAAAACTCACTGACATTTTCTAGAAAAGCGCATGGTAATATATGAATACAAATGGACGAAGAGGTTTAGTGAGATGGATATAAGGTGCTATATTTTCAAAATACGTAGTGTATGAAACACTGAATTAAAATTGGATAAGTTTAGATTTTAGATATAATTTTAGATATAACACCAAGTTATATAAATGTTAAAACAAAGTTAAACTGGTTATGCAGAATCGGAAAACGCTTATCATCATTTTTCTTTCAGATTTAGGAATAGATAAAGCAACAGAGACGTATACATCATCAGGCGGGGTTAAACTGACGGCCACACTCAGCGATTCTGCCCTTGACAGCTACGATATCCTGGCGATAGATTCGTCAGCGTTTATGTGTGCTGGAAATAAGGATACAGCATGCACGCTTACAGGTTACGACAGGAAACAAGAATTGGCCTACATCGTTGTTTCAGGTGCTCCGCCAAGTGTGAAGTATCAGCAGGGCTCAGTACAAGGTAAAATTGATGGTTATGTATGTATTTTTACAATGTTAAGTGATTGTTTCATATGAGTAATACTACTTTAGAATTTTTCAATCGAGAAACGCACAATATCTTCCCACAATAAACAATGTTCCCATTTAGCACTTGGCCAGACGCCTAAATCTGAATCCTTGACAATATCCACGGGGCCGTACACTCACCAACACATCAACATCTTTATTTACCTTTCCAGGCTACAATATGGTAGGTTCATGGCTCTCAACATCCACCATAGAGGTCAACTGGATCAACCCTACAAAGAGTTCACCTTTCACTATAAAGAAAGAACCTACCGGCGGCACCTTCGACTCGGCAACAGTTGATTGTGAAGACACTGATATATATTGCTATGGCTACTTCACAGAATTACCAGCAGGCTCTTATACTGTGACTCTTACACCAGACTCAGGAAAGGAATCGGTCATAGGCGAGCCAATCTCAAACACTCTGGCTATAAAAGGTAAATTATCATTGATTGTTTAGGTACAGCGTATGCATTTGTCAATGGTTGTCTCCACCCGGGAGCACGGAAGTATAATCGACCAGAAAAAGCCTTTACAGGCCCATTACAAATCTAAACAGTGTCCGCTTATAGTTCTCTACGATAGTATGGTAGTATATTGTAGAACATGGTAAAAATGGTAGTGTATGATAAAATACGAGAGTACATGGTATTATATAATAGTACATAGTAGAACATAGTAAAATATGGTAGTAAATGATTGTATACGATAGTATGTCACTATACCAGGTAGTTTTATTAGAATATGGTAGTACCTGGTATTTTATGGTAATATATGGTGGTGTATGGTATTATATGACAGAATGTAATCTTTGATATAGTACACGGCATTATATGATAAAAATATGGTAGTATATGTTAGTTCATTGTACTATATGAAAAAATCAATTGGAACAATGTGAAGGACTAGAACCTTCGACCTGGGTAATCCTAAACCGCGCACCTTACCACCAGAGGTGAACAAAGCATTTCTTTTTTTAAGTTAATGAGGTACGGAGACATCTAGTATGAGTTCACTGCTGGATGTTCAGTTCCTGTTCACTAACTTGGCATGATCATGGACAAAGTCTATCGGAATCAAATCTGTTCTTCTCTTCGTAGAATGTTTACTAAGGCAATTGTTCGAAGCATGTACTACAGTGGGATCGTTCCACAGCCCTGATGGTCTAATCACTCCAATGTATAAACAAGTACACGTAGATGGTATTGCCATGTGTTCCCCCCACGAGGTGTCTAATTTGCGAATATTCACATGGGGTATCATTTAAGAAACATTCCTTGTTAACCTATACCTTAAACCTGACGTCTACTGTAGGAATGGTGATGACGTCTTGCAGTTAATTACCTAAGAGTACATACTCACACCCTTTGGTATTAATATGCACATTGCATTTCAGGCCTACAAGTGCAGGAGGTTCGCCTTGACTGGAGCATAGATAGCGTAAGAGCTAATGCTAGCGTGTGCTTCAACGAGGACGTCGCCAGGGACCCCGAAGGACGGAAGGAGTACCGGGTGGTGTTGGTGGACGCTCAAGGACACTGGCTCCGCGCCCAAGAAGCATCGCAGAAAAGGGAAGGGGCATTGTGCTTTTCAGGGGCGGCTGTGGACACTCGAAAGTTCAATACAGTTGACAAGGTGACTGTGTTGGTGACCAGGGTTGGTGAAGACGGCCGCACCGCCCTTGCTCACGGGGAGGCACATCTGTTCTTCATGAGTAAGTGAAGCACGGCACTTATACTGCTCTAAAATGTTTAGTATTAACATGGTTATATATACTTATACATAGGTAAAATACTATAGGTATATGTGCTTATTTATATATTTGTATTTATAAAATATACATAAGAACATGTTAAAGGTGTTAGTATGTACGGAGATTGTACATTATATCAAGCAACTGATTACACACAGTATTTCCTATGTAGCCATAATCGCAAAACTAGGCCTAGTAAACAGGAATGTTTTGCATAATTGCCAGAAATCTTCACCCATCCTCCTAAAATGATTATAACCAATTATTTACTCCAGCGTACCAATATGTACTGATAGACCGCAGAAAACATTACGTTTCGAATTTTTTCAAAATTTACGTTGCAAGAAAAAAAAAACATTCCCAGGCCCATTATTGCACATATGTGTACTATATTAGTCTTAAGATAGCATGTATTAGGCACAGGACTCTTTGGACTGATTAGGTTAAGTTCTTTAGTTGCTATCTGAAGTATCATTTGAGGTAATCAATAATACAATCGTGAACATTTTCGGGGCTACAACAGCACATGTTTGTACTGTTGATCAAACAGTTGCTATAAGTACTATCATTTTAGGAGGATAGGATGAGTAATTGACAATTTTAATGTGCATCCGCCAGCCCCGGAGACGGAGGGCGTCGGTGGCCGTGTGGGCCGCGTCACCCTGGGGAACCCTGGGGGCTACACCTTCACCGTCAGGAGGGAAGGTGACCCCGCCCCCGTCACCACCTCCACCACTGGTAGATTCGTCCACTACTTCGTCCCGGTAATCTATATGTTTATCTCTCAGAATGTTCGGTAATATGTTTATTGTTTGTGATATGTGTCTATGTATATATTAACACGATGTACTGAACGGGGTGAGGATAGCTTGAGCTACCTCATCCCTTTGTGTGTATTTTACCTCAATAAACTTATTTCAATTTCGTCCCGGTAAGATGTAGAGCACCACATTGGTCAATCATATCCATCTTTCCTGATGCTTTTTCTTTAAATAAAATCTATTATGGCGACACTTTCAATATTCCAAAGTACTCGCCCTCACTTCCCCCCCCCCATCCCCTTCCCTCCCATCCTCCTTACCCCTCATCTATTTCTATCATCTCCTTTCTCTCTCTTCCCCCCCCCTTCTTCTATCATCCTCATCTATTTATCTATTTGTCGAGACTAAATAATACAATCGTGAACTTTTTGGGGATCCAACACCACATCTTTGTACTTTGGATTAAATAGTTGTAAATGGCATAATTGTTTTTTTGGTTGGAGAGCATATATATTCTTGTTACAGTACCTGAATATGAGCTATTATACTCTTTATGTAATAATATTTTTTCTCTACTTCAGAGGACAACGGGCCCGGAGGTGGAGAGGCTGGTGGTGGAGACTGAAGGTTTGGATGTGAAAATGACCACTGTGGTTCCCCTGACCCCGCACGTGGTACCAGGCATGTGGAGTTCCTCTACATTAGTTTGTACACATTCAGGCAGTTGTCCTTAAGTGTTGGGGCCTAGTATACTACTTGTCTGGTTCGCGTGGAGTTGCAATTTTTGTAATTTTTTTGATAAATAGGTTACATCAACCTGCACATGCTCAGAATATCTGAGATATAAAGTTCCAAACATGAACGAAGGTATACTGTACAATTAAATCTGCTTTCTATAACTTAATGCATGTACACTGATAATTCTCCACCAGGAAGAATTTGGGCCTCGTAGCCTTCATCTTGGACTCCAGCTAATAACTCATTATATAACTATTCAAAATAATTTACATTATACATTTACAAACGATGATCGTGGTAATAAACTTACGTATACTTAAGGATTACGGATAGATTAGGTTAGGTATTTCGTTCTGTTGGCAATTAATTTGCTTTTTGCAGAAAATGGTTGTAGCATTTAGAGATGTGCAACTCGAACACGAGAGGGAAGCACTGTTCAAGAAAAGTTCAATCGTGAACAGTTGAGTCATGAGTAAAGTGTTTTTCGCTAATAGAGGAACATATGCTGGGTAGAGCATTAATATAGCATTTACATTTACGATAATGGCCCTGTTCTCCACCATTCTAGAGGCTCATTAGTGCTTTATTTTAAGACTGGTTCGCAACTTGATCGTGCGAGCAAATAAATGTTTTTTTCTGGATGTTTGAGTCTTCTTACCACAAAGTGCCACGTGTATGTGGGTCCCTTGCTTTCAAGCATGAAGTACATGTTCTAAAGAGCAGACAAATAAATTACAGCCCCCTGTGGAGTAGTTGTTAGTCCACTCAACCGATCGCCTCGCGAGAGAACAATCCCGGGTTAGAACCCTGGGTAGGGAGGAACTAGGCACTTAACTGTGCCTTCAACAGTAATTGAGTACCTGTATGTAAACCTATCGGTGGATCGTGTTCTGGAGAAAACATGACAATGAATTAACTAACCGGTTATTATAGTACCTGGCTTAAAGCCTAAACACCAACAGAAAAAAATTATAAAAAATCAAAATTAATCTGTCAATTTGAATGATTTGTTTAATATACAGAACGAAATATATATCAGTAACATACTAGCATGCATGCCTATAATGTAATTATACCTTATTAACCAAAAACAACTCCCTGAACCATGTTACCTTATTTCACTCTTGCCAAGTGACTGATCATTTGACCTTTCAACTGCAGACCATTCCACTGCTACACTACCAATGTGAGGACAAAGACTCTGCCCACTCTGCCCCAAACTATCGCCGTGACCTTGAACTTTTAATCTTTTGACCTCGGGGAATTAACATTCCAGGAATAGTATATGAAGATCAATCCGCATGAGCAACGTTGTTATTTGAAAGCTAAGGAGTGGAAAGGCCTGTATGGATATATTCTGAAAGTGTCATAGCAATTACCGCAGACCCGCCTCCACGTACAGTCTGTCTGTAGCGGCACTAATGCAGATGTACCTAATATATTAATAAAAACTAATCCACACGAACCCAACATTGAAAAAAAGTCACCTGTGATATTGGCAGAGCTCCTCGTAGACTTATTGACGATTTAGTGAAATCTTTGCCTATCTGTTAGGCTCTATTAGCAATGAACATCTTGGATACTCTGGAAATTTACAACACAAAACTGGGAATTTTAATGTAAATAATAAGACGCTGTATAGTATGGATGTCACCTCGTTGTCTATCAGACTTACAGCTAACTTAACCCTGAGAGCAGAGGAAAAAAACACCTACACCACAACGATTTCATCGATATGTTCAACTTATGTGTTGAACAATACAATTATTTATGCTTCGGCTCTCAATTCTGTCTTCAATAATTTGGCATAGCAATATGATTTCCAATTAGTGTTGTTCTCCCCAATTTATTTACGGAATCTCTAGATTGTCTTGAAGTAAGACCATTCTCCACCATCATTCCTAGCACTGTGAAATGATTTTTCTATGATGACAATATTTTGATCATCACATTACGCTATTTCAATTTCGACTATTTTATAAGAATCAATGAAGTAGAAGCTACTGCATAATTTACTACAGAAAATCTCCACGAGAAGCCTACGATGAAAGATATCTTGTTGACCAGACCACACACTAGAAATTGAAGGGACGACGACGTTTCGGTCCGTCCTGGACCATTCTCAAGTCGATTTCGGTCCAGGACGGACCGAAACGTCGTCGTCCCTTCAATTTCTAGTGTGTGGTCTGGTCAACATACTTCAGCCACGTTATTGTGACTCATCGCCTGCAAAGATATCTTATTCACTTTTATTCTGAAGTCTTATTCACTTCATTCTAAAGCAATGAAAATTGTTGAACAAAATTTATATTTTAATACAAATTTTGTTGCTCTCTTGAAGGCTACAGCGAAAAAGTACAATAACGAGACACAGACAATATAGGTCATTCATATAGAGACTGACAGATCGCCTCCCAGGAATTACTACAGCAAAATGTGGTAATATAGTGAAGTTACCTAATTGTGGATTAAGTGACCTAAATGTGTTGTCAGGTGGTGATTTTCCAGACTACTATACACCATTGTTCTACTTTTATCGACATTGGAGAATAACTTATGAGGATGATACATTAGAGGCAGGTGAGAGAGCAAGCACTAGGTAAATCTGGGGGATAGAATTGATGAAACAAGAACGAAAGATAAATGCATCAGTGCAAATTACAAAAATGTGAAAGCTGCAGTTCTGAATGAGGTATATAAATTATTAAATGTAATGTGGTTGGGAAAAAAGTATTGAAATAGGTGTGGAAATGTGTTACAAATATTAAAGTGGCAAGGTCACTGATTATTAGAGATGTGACTGTACCTTTGTATAAAAAAGGGAACGTAATGAGTATGTAAAAAGGACTGAGGGTTATTTCTGAAGTAATTGTGAAATGACCAACTGGACTGATATTAGTTTAGAATGTCGTTGTATAAACTCTCCATACTTATATAAATATTAATTTATTTTGGGCATCCGCTTATAATGCCAAAACTGGAGATTTTAACGCGTACCTGTAATATAGAAGACCGCCACTCTACCAACGAGGCCAAAATACTAATAAGGATCTCAAGGTAGTTAACTAAATTTGTGAATTTTAGCCTCTTCTGCAGCGCCAAGATGGTATCTGATGGTAATCTACCCCACTATTTCTGCTGTCAGTGGCATTAGATTCAGCTCCCTCAGTGTCTTCCCTTAACTTAGTCTCCCCAATTATCAGATAAGTATCGTAGCAAAGCCTTGTACTTTCTCAATCTTTGTTTAATGCAATTTAACGTGTTAAATGGGCGGCCTTTTCAATGGTGGGGATCCTGATTTTAACCTTATGTGATTATCTGCATTGAAGGAAATCTAAGAAGTATCTATTTGTAATAATCATGATGGTGCAATTTTCCAGGTGTGCCTGGTATGGCAATAAAGTACATGACGTTTCCAATTACCAAAACCGTTACCGGAAACTACGTGACGGCTCTCGTCGACGTACAGTGTACAGAAGAAGTGACAGATGCCGATTCATTGTCTCTGGTGGTCATTCTTCCTGGCGATGACACGCTACAATACGTTGATGCCGTTGATGTCACGGGAATATCAAAAGACTGGACGGAGGTACCATTTGATCACATGAAAGATAATGCATTCGTGCCTGGTGACGTGACGGTGGTGGTGGCTGGACACAATGGTGACGTGCCCGTTGCTTATGGACAAGCCCAAGTTGTACTAACAGGTTAGTGTCTCTCCCCCTCTATCTCTCCCATACATGTGACATTTGCTTTTCAATATATATATATATATATATATATATATATATATATATATATATATATATATATATATATATATATATATATATATATATATATATTTCATTGAATATGACCGCATATTCTGTATTTATTATTTTCTGGTTTAGGGCTTCTATCCCTCTAACTATTTTCTTAGCATCAGGGCTTAATTGGAATAGGAGTTCTCCAAAACTCATTTTCGTACTTTTAAGGTGAAGAAAAGAAGTGATTTACTATAGAGTGTATTACACTTATTTGTATAATTTGCACGACGTTTCGAACCTCCATGGTTCATTCTCAAGTGAACAATCTTACAATACTAGTTGATTTTATACCCGCATTAGGTCAGGTGATAATACAATGAAGGTGAAAAACATGGGGGGATACATAAGGGATAAACATAGGGGCTGCAGAAGGCTTATTGGCCCATACGAGGCATCTCCTATCCAAACACAAAGATTAATCCAGTGTAATTGGCCTGTTATGTTGGACATTGTCTTCTGTGTTGGCATCGATATGTTCTTGTCTTGTCCTTACTCTCATGGTGGGTAGAGTAAATAGTTCCGTGATTTGGGTGTTCATGGTAGGTCGCTCTATTCTTATGTGAATTGCCTCAAGAATTTGTAATCTTCTTGAATCTTGGGTTTTGTCTATTATGCAAGTATTCTTGTTCAACATTTCTCTTGTTAGAACAAGAGAAGACTTGTTCTAACAAGAAACTCTTGTTAGTTTCTCTAACAAGAGAAATGTTGAACATTTGAACCATGAACACCCAAATCACGGAACTATTTACTCTACCCACCATGAGAGTAAGGACAAGACAAGAACATATCGATGCCAACACAGAAGACAATGTCCAACATAACAGGCCAATTACACTGGATTAATCTTTGTGTTTGGATAGGAGATGCCTCGTATGGGCCAATAAGCCTTCTGCAGCCCCTATGTTTATCCCTTATGTATCCCCCCATGTTTTTCACCTTCATTGTATTATCACCTGACCTAATGCGGGTATAAAATCAACTAGTATTGTAAGATTGTTCACTTGAGAATGAACCATGGAGGTTCGAAACGTCGTGCAAATTATACAAATAAGTGTAATACACTCTATAGTAAATCACTTCTTTTCTTCACCTTAAAAGTACGAAAATGAGTTTTGGAGAACTCCTATTCCAATTAAGCCCTGATGCTAAGAAAATAGTTAGAGGGATAGAAGCCCTAAACCAGAAAATAATAAATACAGAATATGCGGTCATATTCAATGAAACATGTTTGAAAGAAAACCTGCTGCCAGTATACACCAATATATATATATATATATATATATATATATATATATATATATATATATATATATATATATATATATATATATATATATATATATATATATATATATATATTAAGATGTATTAATATACGAAAGTACTTAAGGAAATTCCTGTTTCATTTGTCCTCCGTGGTCTGACACTCACATTTTTAATCACGTGTTTATTTTCGTGATATACACACACACACACACATATATATATGAACGCGTTTTCGGCTCAATTCGCCTTCATCAGAGCAAGATAGAGTCAAACTTTCTTTCGGACCTTCAGGTAACAAACATCATTTGTTACCCTTAACAAACGTAAATTGAAAAGTCAAGAATAGAGTCTTAGCATCTTATTGTGTAGCTCCAGCAAGTCTTATTTACTTGTAACAGATCCCGGGAGTAAGGCTTGGAGGGTCGGCAAGCAGACAGACGGAAGCCACGAAGCCTTTAGATTTACGTTTGGAGAAACAGAGAACGATGATGGCGCCCAGCTGGACTACGATAGCTCCTGTGACTGCCTGACTTCTCCCTGCTACTGTCTGGGCACTGCCAGAGTGGCTCAGGGGCCTCAACCTTTCTGTCTCAAACTCAAGACCACCGCCTCGACTACTGGCGGAATCATCTTGCAGTGTGATAATCAGCTTACGGCTTCCGACGCAGTTAATGGTTGGTTACACGTCAATGGTTTCCTCAGAGTTTTCTTCTATTGGAAAATGTTTCTCTCTAAAGGCACACAGACTATTCTATCTCTTCGTTATTCACACTGATCATGTACACTATGTATATCGTTCTACTTAAATTATGTATTAGGAATACATAACTTTATTTCACTGAACAAATATTCCATTCTTCAGTAATTGTCATTCATTCCTTGGGATATCGATCATTACAACTTCATTAATTCCCAAGTGCCTATTCCGTCTCCTACACTTGAATCACCTGTAACAATTATTCCGTAACTCCTTAGTATGGAACTGATCACATGGACTAAACTGCCTTAAGTAATTATCAACAGATAAATCTTAAGTCAAGATGGCACCATAGCTAAACTTATCAGAAAATATATATTCTTACCAGCACCTCCAGCAGTTGTTCATTGCTCAGTACCACTTTTATTCTTTCAACTGTCTCACATGCATATAATAATAATAATAATAATAATAATAAAACTTATAATTTCTGATAATAAATAACAATAAAACCTTTCATTATAGAGGCTAAGGTAACATCAGCCAAGATGACCCACAAAACCTCTGAGACTGTTGATGTGGCAGTCGGCGTTAACTTTGACGGTCAATTGGAACTGTTATTCTACGAGACTGGCGACACGACGCTAATCAAGCCGTCACAAACGTGCAGTGGCCCAGGATCACTGTGCACAATAACCGATCAACCCGCCAACAGTGCTACTGGCGACTACAGTATCCTGGCGGTGACAATTGATGGCAGTGGTGACGTTAAGGAGTCGAGTCTGCTCGCTTTTGAAGGTCAGTATCTCTATATAATTATTATTAACATATTATATTTATGAATTAAGACCATCACCTTCACTACTCGACCTCCATAACTTTCACCACCACACAAGGGTCCTGTAGCACAGTGGTCTACATTCTCGGCATATAACCGAGGGACCCAGATTCAATCTCCGGGCAGGAAAGATATGGTTTGGCACGTTTCCTTTCACCTGATGACTCTGTTCACCTACTAGTTAAATAAGGGCACCATCAATATGGTTGCAATTACCACTTTAATTACCTCTACTATTCCTCCGTCATCGTCACTATCATCAAAATTAAGTTAACGTGACATTTGTCCCAAACTTTAGAACAGATGACCTGTTGCCTCTTCCACTTACGATCACATATCACATGTGCTTCAACCTCTCCTCCTACCATCCACTCCATCACCTTCTCCGTCACCTTCCACTCCATAACTTTGTACTCCACATGTGTACTCCACCACCACTTTCCACTCTTACAGACTACAAGACCAAGTTCACACAGCTAACCTCAGACGCCATGGAGGTTCGGTTCTCCGCCAAGACCAAGACTCTGTACCAAGTTACCGTCACTCCCGACAGTGGAACCTATGACACCACAACAATAGAGTGTGGCGCAGAAGACAACAACATATGTACCGTATACTTCATCTCCATGACAGCAGGAAATTATGAGGCCAGCGTCCAGCTGAGACATAATGGGGAAATGAACCAGGTGGCCACCCAGGTCATTATGGGGACTACGGAGAGTAAGTTTGAATTTTTTGTTCCTTCATTTCTATAGTAAATAAATGACTAAGACGACGTGGCTCTGGTCAGTAATTTAATGGTCAAAATATTTTACGATATATTTGCTTTCAATTCTTTGAACGCAGGAGGCGGCGAATAGAGATCTATAAAGTTACTAATTATCCTTATATTATCTACTGGCCACAGCGAAGGGGCAGAAAGGTAGTGTGGCCCCCGTCAACCGGCAGAACCCCCGCGACCCCATCTTAACTGGAAACCTAACCACTCTGGTAAGTGATGATCAAACCAAAAGATGAAGAAACGACGACGTTTCGGTCCGTCCTGGAACATTATCAAGTCGTATGTGAAAACGGTCCAGGACGGACAGAAACGTCGTCTCATCATCTTCTGGTGTGTGGTTTGGTTATCATATCTTCAGCCACGTTATTGTGACCATCGTCTGCACTCTGGTAAGCAGGGTGGTAGCCCCCCCCCCCCCCCCACCCCTAACCTTCCACTGGCTCATTTCTTCCCTGTGATGTCGTCAGTGAACAGGTTCTTGCCACAACAGAGAATTACAACAAACTACACCTTACCTGTTAATTATTTAATGTTAGCTGCCAGTCTCCGGACAGCAGAGTGGTTCTTGTGACACCGAGTGCGGCGACTGCTAGTAAAGGCATCAGCCCATTCTCCTAAAATCATAGTACTTACGGCAAGTACCTTGTCAACCACACAAATATGTACTCTTGTACCCGCAAAGTACTTTATGTTTTGTATTGAATCAGCCCAAATAGCATTCTAGAATATTGGAAATATAACTAGACACTATCCAACCTATCCGAACAATCCTAGGCTTAATATATCTTAAATCTAATATGGTACATTTGTGTGCTATGCTTGGCCTAGGAATCTTTATGACTGTATTTTAGCTTTTTTTATCAGACTATAAAATTAGTAATAAAAAAGTGAACATTTTGGGTCCAACAGTACATATTGGTACGCTCAACCAAATAGATGGTTTAAGTACTACCATTGTAGGAGGATGGGTTAAAAGGAATAGTGACTAGGCTACTGAAGTTCATCTTACTTTTGCATGCTGGACTGATATTTTTTATAAACTTTTTCCGGACATTGATCCCTGACATTACTTCGTTTCTTATCTCTACTTCCTCCCAGGCATCTGAGACAAATCTTGGGTCGCGACTACCTCAGCTGACACACAACTCTGCCAACAAGGTCGATGCCAGAACACCTTTCAGCCCGTCATTTAATGGTACGGAACCCGACTGCATCTTCGATAGATTCTGGATATACCATAAATATGGCTTAACACCATTTGAGCTTACGATATATCATTTGTATAATCCTAATGTGACATTGGACCCTTGCAGAGCTGCCTGAGTTAACAGTGAAGTATATGACGTTCCCAATCACGAAAACTTCCTCCGGGGTTGACGTTCCGACCCTGGTTGATGTAGAGGGTGCAGACGGAACTAATGCAAACTCCCTAACTTTGGCGTTCATTGTTGCTGACGGTGCCTCTGCAACACGACAATATGTTGACGTCACTGATCTGGCAGCCTCCACGGAGGTAACGTTTGCTCACATGAATGATAATGCATTAGTGCCTGGTGCTGTGACAGTGGTGGTGGCTGGACACAATGGTGAGGTGCCCGTTGCTTATGGACAAGCCCAAGTTACACTAACAGGTTAGTGTCTCTCCCCCCTCTATCTCTCCCGTACATGTGACATTTGCTTACGTTTCAATATTATATATATATATATATATATATATATATATATATATATATATATATATATATATATATATATATATATATATTATATATTAGTATATTTTGGTAGCAGTCTTTCTTGTAAACATATGTTGTTAAATATGACCGAAAAAGTAAGATAAATAATTCTAACACGAATTTTCTCAACATTTCTTATGTTTCTTTTTACTGTCGATGGTAATTGAAAAATCAATTTTCCAAAAATCATTTTTATTTCTAGTCTGACGCGACGCCTGAACGCGTTTCGTAATTACCCATTACATTTTCAAAGACTTTAGTTTACACACACAACTGTAAACTGTAAACACGCCATTTGCTTCCATATTTATACTCGCATTTGGGTGAGGTGATATGGTACAACAGTTTTGGATGAGGTGAACAAACTTGTGACAAACACAAGACAGAACACGGAACAATGGGTATTAATTGGATATGAGAGCATAAGAATGGAAGTAACTGCAAAGGGCCTATTGGCCCATACTTCCTCTTGATGCTTCTATATTGGTACGGAGTCTTGAAGTGGGTAGAATATAGTTGTGCATTAATTGGCTGTTGATTTATATATATATATATATATATATATATATATATATATATATATATATATATATATTGGTGTATACTGGCAGCAGGTTTTCTTTCAAACATGTTTCATTGAATATGACCGCATATTCTGTATTTATTATTTTCTGGTTTAGGGCTTCTATCCCTCTAACTATTTTCTTAGCATCAGGGCTTAATTGAAATAGGAGTTCTCCAAAACTCATTTTCGTACTTTTAAGGTGAAGAAAAGAAGTGATTTACTATAGAGTGTATTACACTTATTTGTATAATTTGCACGACGTTTCGAACCTCCATGGTTCATTCTCAAGTGAACAGATCTTACAATACTAGTTGATTTTATACCCGCATTAGGTCAGGTGATAATACAATGAAGGTGAAAACATGGGGGGATACATAAGGGATAAACATAGGGGCTGCAGAAGGCTTATTGGCCCATACGAGGCATCTCCTATCTAAACACAAAGATTAATCCAGTGTAATTGGCCTGTTATGTTGGACATTGTCTTCTGTGTTGGCATCGATATGTTCTTGTCTTGTCCTTACTCTCATGGTGGGTAGAGTAAATAGTTCCGTGATTTGGGTGTTCATGGTAGGTCGCTCTATTCTTATGTGAATTGCCTCAAGAATTTGTAATCTTCTTGAATCTTGGGTTTTGTCTATTATGCAAGTATTCTTGTTCAACATTTCTCTTGTTAGAGTAATGTCATGGGCTTGTCTCATGTGATTCCTAGGGGCACCAGATTGAAGATGGCATGTCAAACGCCTCGTCAGCTTGGTCGACGTCATACCTATGTACTTACATTGAAGGTTACATCCTTCGTGGGGGCAAGTGTACATGTATACAACGCTTGACTGCTGTAGAGGGTTCTCCGTCGACTTCGGGCTGTTTTTGATAAGGAGTTCGGAAGTCTTCTTGGTTTTGTAGAATATTATCAGGTTTATGTTTTGGTTAGGAGTAGTGCTTTTTACTCCTTTACGGATTATTTCTTTCATTATTCTTTCCTCTTTTATATGTTCACTGTGCATGGTTGATTTGTAATATAATTTTATTGGGGGTGTTGTGGTTTCTGTTCTAGGTTCTGAATTATACCAACGGTCCAAGTGTCTTCTTATAGCAGCGTTTATTTCCGCGTTGCTATATCCGTTGTTCACCAATACCTGAGTTACTCTTTCAAACTCTCTACTCACGTTGCTCCATTCAGAGCAGTGGGTAAGCGCTCGACGAATATAAGCATTGAATATAAGAAAAGCCGACAAAACAGCAGCATATGTATTGATTCCTACCCATGAATACATGAACAAAATTAGCGACATCCTAAGTGACGACTCCAAATTTCAACGAATCACGAGGAACCCCGTAGAAGACCTTAAGCGGAAAGTAAACAAAACAATTACAGCAATCAACGCAAAGAAAGGTAGTGTGCATTTCAATAAACTTCAAGGCGACTATGGCTTAGGATATGCCTACGGCAATGTTAAGACGCATAAACCAGGTAACCCACTACGCCCTATAATCAGCCAAATACCAACCCCAACTTATCACCTGGCAAAGAAACTCAATGAACTCCTAACTCCATACACTCCAAGTAAGTTTAGTCTACAATCATCAGCAGATTTCCTAGAATTGATCAAATCTACCCAGCCCGATGGAATCATCGCTTCCCTGGACGTTGAATCCCTTTTTACCAACGTCCCAGTCGACACAACCATAGGAATGATACTGGACAGAGTATACAGAGACGAGAGCACCCCCAAATTAGACATACCTGAGCCACACTTGAAAAGTCTTCTCGAAGCATGTACAAAGGAAGCCCCTTTCATCAGTCCACAAGGAGACATGTATTTACAAATAGACGGAGTAGCAATGGGCTCCCCCTTAGGAGTTTTATTTGCTAATTTTTATATGGGAACCATCGAAGATAGGGTCTTCAGTAGCAGACAAAAACCAACTGTATACTGCCGTTATGTAGATGACATATTCGTAATAGTAAAAGACTCAGATGAACTAATTGACCTAAAAAGACACCTAGAGAGAGAGTCAGTACTCCGATTTACACATGAAAATAGTGAAAATAACAGTCTGCCATTCTTGGATGTACTAATAACAAAAACAGGAACCTCTTTAAGCACCAACGTATATACCAAGCCCACCAACATAGGATTATGCCTGAACGGTAGAAGTGAGTGCCCCCAAAGATACAAAGCCAGTGTTCTCAATGCTTATATTCGTCGAGCGCTTACCCACTGCTCTGAATGGAGCAACGTGAGTAGAGAGTTTGAAAGAGTAACTCAGGTATTGGTGAACAACGGATATAGCAACGCGGAAATAAACGCTGCTATAAGAAGACACTTGGACCGTTGGTATAATTCAGAACCTAGAACAGAAACCACAACACCCCCAATAAAATTATATTACAAATCAACCATGCACAGTGAACATATAAAAGAGGAAAGAATAATGAAAGAAATAATCCGTAAAGGAGTAAAAAGCACTACTCCTAACCAAAACATAAACCTGATAATATTCTACAAAACCAAGAAGACTTCCGAACTCCTTATCAAAAACAGCCCGAAGCCGACGGAGAACCCTCTACAGCAGTCAAGCGTTGTATACATGTACACTTGCCCCCACGAAGGATGTAACCTTCAATGTAAGTACATAGGTATGACGTCGACCAAGCTGACGAGGCGTTTGACATGCCATCTTCAATCTGGTGCCCCTAGGAATCACATGAGACAAGCCCATGACATTACTCTAACAAGAGAAATGTTGAACAAGAATACTTGCATAATAGACAAAACCCAAGATTCAAGAAGATTACAAATTCTTGAGGCAATTCACATAAGAATAGAGCGACCTACCATGAACACCCAAATCACGGAACTATTTACTCTACCCACCATGAGAGTAAGGACAAGACAAGAACATATCGATGCCAACACAGAAGACAATGTCCAACATAACAGGCCAATTACACTGGATTAATCTTTGTGTTTAGATAGGAGATGCCTCGTATGGGCCAATAAGCCTTCTGCAGCCCCTATGTTTATCCCTTATGTATCCCCCCATGTTTTCACCTTCATTGTATTATCACCTGACCTAATGCGGGTATAAAATCAACTAGTATTGTAAGATCTGTTCACTTGAGAATGAACCATGGAGGTTCGAAACGTCGTGCAAATTATACAAATAAGTGTAATACACTCTATAGTAAATCACTTCTTTTCTTCACCTTAAAAGTACGAAAATGAGTTTTGGAGAACTCCTATTTCAATTAAGCCCTGATGCTAAGAAAATAGTTAGAGGGATAGAAGCCCTAAACCAGAAAATAATAAATACAGAATATGCGGTCATATTCAATGAAACATATATATATATATATATGTAAAAGGGAGAGAGAAATTCAATCTTTTTTCAACTGGCAGCACACAGAACAATGTGCTGAAATTGATAACACGCACCAAAAAAATTTTAAGGGGAGACTTTGTGTATATTTAAAAACGAAATGTTAAGAGTGTTTAAAAGTTCTAAAATTCTAATCCTAGTGCTTTTTCAATCATGATGGTCATGGATTTGAAAGGATTGGTTTTAAAGTTAATGTTCGTATTTGTTATTATTCCTGTTATTTTTTGCATTTCTTCTAACTCCCGCGACAGACCTATGGACCCTTCGCGGCGGTCCACACCCTGAATAGGCGTCTCACACTTCATTTGCAGGAAGGGGAATTAAACAACACTACTAACTACACAACACCATCCTAAATCATCAGGACATCGTACAAGGCACTACAATCACCATCACATACCAGTGACCAAAGAAAGCTGCGGACACTTGAGGCCATGTTTATTCGCAAACTTATCCCATTAATCATCAAATGAATTAAAATACCAAGCATCCAGCTGTTTGATGGCCCACCTATGACCCCAGAGCAGAGGGAAGACACCTGTAATGTTAGCCAACTATCAGCTGACCCTACACTGCCCCGCTTCCTCCACCGGTCTCCCTCCCCTCTCTCTCCTCTCTTTTGATCCCTTTCTCTGACACTACATTTAAAATTTCTCTCGACATGTGTTGCTACTTCCCCTTGTCGTCTATCTGTGTGAAATAATCTGAATCCCTCCTGTTGTGCTTTTTCTTGTAGTTTTCCCTCGCGTCCTGTCTTCCTTTGGGTCTGTTATTCCAACCCGTCCTCTTAAAATAACGTCGCATTTCGCTCGTATGCGCGCTATGGCCAAAGATGGAAGTAATTTGAAATGAAATCTGCTCATGAAAGTGACGTACTGTTCCGTTTTCTGTTTGAGTCCTTCGGCTTATTCGGTTAGGTTAGGAGAGGAAACTTTCAATTAACGTTTGGCATGACGTTTTGAAACGTTAGGAGAACTTCCTGCACTCCCAACCTACCAGAGGACCAGCAACTTACTCTTTTTGAACAAAAAAAAAAAATCAATTATTTTTCATTTTCAAATTACGTCCATTTTCGGCCATACTGGCAAACTGCCAAATTCGGACGTAATTTGTAAAAGGACAGGTTGAAACTTTACCTCGACTGTATAAGCCAACACTATTACAAAGGTCATTCAGGAGTATTATATTTGTTTGGAAGGACAATCTGGAGCATAAGAACATCATTTGTTACCCTTAAGAAACGTAAATTGAAAAGTCAAGAATAGAGTCTTAGCATGTTATTGTGTAGCTCCAGCAAGTCTTATTTATTTGTAACAGATCCCGGGAGTAAGGCTTGGAGGGTTGGTAAGCAGACAGACGGAAGCCATGAAGCCTTTAGATTAACGTTTGGAAAAACAGAGAACGATGACGGCGCCCAGCTGGACTACGATAGCTCCTGTGACTGCCCGAATTCTCCCTGCTACTGTCTGGGGACTGCCAGAGTGGCTCAGGAGCCTC